GATCCCCGTGGCCAAGAATGCCGGCCTGCCAGCCCGCTCCCCAATCTCTTTTCTTTTCCTCCTCTCATCTGACTCCAGGCACCCGCCGAATCCATTATTCGGAAACACACCATCGCCGCCCGCTCGTAGACCGCCAGCCAACCCGGCGTTTCTTTTCCCAGTGTTTCGGCTCCATCTTTTTCTCCTCCCAGACTATTTTCGCCGCCGCGCCTCTCATCCCTTCATCCCCATCCCTTCCCGCGCCAGTTTCCGCGGGCACGCCGTCGCTCCCTACGTGCACCCCCCGTGCCCCATTCCGTCCGCGCCGACGCTGGCGTAAAGTACCCGTCGTGTATGTACCTAACGTATGTATGTAGTCGTAGTACGCGCTAGAGGTATGCAGCAGCTATGTAGATCTGACTACCGTGCCACCGTATACGAAACCATCGCGCCATTCGCTCTCGCAGGCGCCTCCGCCGCCGCCGCCGCCGCCGCCGCAAGACGCAGGGGAAATTCCGTCTCGTGTGTCCGCCCGCGCCCGCGCGCACAGCGGCGGGGAGTGAGGGGGGGGAGATCGAATCGCTCTGCTTCCCATCTTTCGTTGGCCGCCGGTGGCACACGTACACACCCACGCATGCACACCCAAGACCCGGGTGCGTCTCGTCAACGTGCTACACGCCCCCTCCCCGCCTTTCCCCCCTTTCCCTCCGCCGCGGAAGTTTTATCTTTTCTCTTCTTTCCTTTTTTTTTTTTTCAATCGCAGGGTTCCTTTTTTTTTTTGTGCATTGCGATTTCCCTTGCGTGAGGCGGCACGAGTGTGACCCGACGGATCTCGACACTTTGTCTCTGTGGCCAGCCAGGAAGGGCAGAAGAAGCGAAAGCGAACGAACGGGGGGGCAAACGAGGGGAGAGGGAGAGGGGGAGAGAGAGAGCATGTCGCACTGATGTGCTCCGGAATCCGGGCAACCCGGTCTGTACTTGAAACCGGACGACGAGCGAGCGCCAGCTCGCTGGTGTGTGTGTTGTCTCTGTCGCCGGCGCCCGCCTGCCCGCCGTTCTTCCGCGTATGAGGGGAGGAGGGCATCGGCGACACACACGCATGCGTCGCGGCGACTACACATAGGCACGTACACATGGACGTCCTCGCGAAGGACCGACGACGCACCGCGGCTCTGTGCGACGTGGTGCGCAGCCGGCGACGCAGGGGATGCAGCGCGGGCGGACGAGATAGGTAGGCAGGCGAGAGGGCGCAGCCCGGTTTATGTGAGTCGTGTGTGATCTTCTCCCGTGGCTGCAAGGACGAGGTTGGACGTGGTGGTAAGGTTCTTCTTCCTCGCGTCGCTCCGGACTCGCGCTGATGCTGTGCGATCTCCCTCCCTCCCCCCGGCCAGGGCCAGGGTTCTACGTGTGTATATGTGTGTGTACGTGTACGTATATACGTATCTGCGTAGGCTGGGTGTGCACAAGGAAGCCCGGCGGTGTGATGTGCTGTGCTCTACGAGCACACACATAATATTAGTTGTTTGCGTGGGCGGTGAACCACGGGATGAATACCTACATAGAAACACACAGTCGAACGAGCCGCGTCCCGGTCGTACGTCACGGGCTTCTCTATCTGTATGTCTACCTATCCGTTATCATTATTGCCTAGCTCGGTTTCAACCCGCTTCGTTTCGCCGAACTTCGCACGCGTCCTGCAGTCCCTCCTCATAAATGTCTGTCTCTCCGCTTCCCTCGGGCTTGGTGATAGGAAGAGGAGGTGCGTGGACGCCTCGCTGCGTCTCTCGCTGTTCCGAGCCGCTGGGCATTGCCTACCTACTTACTACTATACATGGGATAGACAGACACGACGCGACGTATCGACGGTGAACGGACGCCCAAACTTCGGGTCATGCACATAGGCCGCGCGGCTTATACCGGGAGAGGCAGGTAGGCCGCGCCGTGGTGTTGGCCTGTCGTGGGTCGATGTGACGAACGTGGTCGGACCCGTCTCGCTCGTGGGATACCATCTGGCCATTTGTATGGGGGACTTGAGAGTACGCACGTACAAGCCAGGGCCAGCCAGCCGTCCGAACCCTGGGATGCGACCTGTCATATCAACTAGAACAACCGTTCTTCGGCGGCGATGCTTGCCACTAATCAGAAGTCATCGGGGGGTGGTCCAGAGATAAGATGTCTAGCAAGTTGTGTCATCAATAATATCGGGTCAAGCCTGAGGAACCATGACAGGAAACCCGGAGAGACAAATTCGCACGTTATGCCTACATTGAGCACGCCCGGATGTATAGCCGATGGTGTAAGGCCAAACTGTATGTGTATGCCTCCGCTACCACGCTGCCCTGCACTAATACCCGACGCCGGCCTCTAGGGCCCTCATTCTCGAACCTATTTCTAGTGCCAAGAGGGGGCATGCCACCTAACACCGCTAGCATCGAGCTTGTGGCTAGCCAACGACACGAGACCGAACAGAGGGGAGCCCGAGGGCGCGACGCGTACGAGCCGAGGGGGTGAAAGGCGCAAGAAGAGGGCACGTCGAGGTTGAGCAGTTGGACGCCTCGGGTGCTTCTATATGCCACTGAGTCCGAGTGACCGTGACATAGACCCTAGGTGAGCTCTGTTGGGGGAAGCGAGTGTGTCGGCGTAGATGTAGCTCCTCGGCCAGGCACGAAGCATAGCCTGGTACAAGATCTCAACCCGTCCCGTCGCCCCGCCTAGGCCTAGAGCTGCTGGGCGGCAACGCGGGGCTCCTCCCCTAGGGGAGATCCCTCCTCCGCGCGGGGGCGTCGGCGACGCAGCGTCAAGGGCCCCGACGGCGCCGTGAACACCCACGAGAGGCCGAACTAGCGCATATGCGAGTTGCGATTGCCGAGCCAGCAAGCGAAGCCGCGCTGCAGGTGCGCCCGCCCGCCCGAGTCGCGGCCGCGAAGACGCCGCCAACGTCGCCGCGGCCCGGGTGCCGGGCCACGTCGTTCCGGGAGCTATAGCGCCTGTCCCGCCGCGGGGTGCCCCCAGCGTGCCTGCGATGCCCGGCCGTGGTCGGCGTGCCCTGCTGCTGGGGGTGGTCCTGCGTCTACCTGGACGTATCCCTGGGGAGTAGGATGCCGACGTTCTTCGCGGGTGTAGGTGAGGCCGGTATACCTATTTAGCTGGTCCCGGATAGCCAGTGGGCCGGTACGTCCGCGCGGGGACCCCGAGTCTGCCTTCGCAAACAAGAGCTCCCTCGCCGATCCTCTCCCCCCAAACTCGTCCCAGCATCTTGTCCCATCTGCCCCTTGCTGCGTCCAAGCGGCCTCTCTCTATCAACGAGGGTTTTGCGCAGGCTGCCTAGCCGGGCAGGCGACGTGGCTTTGTTGAGAACCCGTCTCGCGCGGCTCCTGAGGCCGCCATCTTGCCGGCGCCCTAACGGAGTCCTGCCTGCTACCCGTGTCCAACTTTGCCGCCTTTTCTTCTCTCCCCTCTCCCTTCCGTTTCCTCTTTGTTGTTGTTGGTGAGGCAAAGGACAGGCTTTCGGCCGAGCCACACGTCACCCATGCGGTCTCATAACCAGCGACATCCTTTCCCTTTCCCCTTTGCTGTCTCGGCGCGGGCAGGTGTTGACCCGATGCGCAGTCGTTTGGGAGTCCTGATCCGCAGCCCTGGCGATAGACAATTCTCTTTCCCAAGTGGATACCGCCCCGTTGGCATCTGATATTGAGAGAGTGGTAGCGGTAGCTTGTGTTCGTGTCTTGATTCCCGTTAGCCAGCCAAACCGCTACCTCGGCAGCATATGCTTACACGCTTCCTTCTGTCAGAACTCATCTTTGGGAGATGGGTTCATTATCAAATCAATACCCGAAAGACCCACGACCCAAGGACTTGGATATCCCCTGCAAGTAGGACGCCGACTAGGTTATACTGGAGATTTGCGTAATGCTGGACTTCGGTAAACGACCCAGATTGGGGCGTTCGGTTTTGCTGTGTTGGTTGCTGTTATGCCCACGTACTGTGAGGCCCCCATCTCGTGGGCACTGTTGTCCACGGCCCCCCTCTCCCCGAGACGGGACTGAAGAACACATCATCTATGCCCCCCCCATAAGCTGGACTTCGGGCAATCATTGTTTATCCGGCGGAATCTTGATTACCCGGGAGGGAACGAATGAATGTTTTCGCATGTGTTTACTCGTGAACGACTTGCCAAGGTCAGTGGCGGCGGCATTTGAGAGGGCGGGAGGCTGTGCGGGCGTACTTAAGGTGCTTATTATTAATAGCAAATATTATCAACCATGCAAGTCAGTTCACGTATGCCTGTATTTGTGTGCGCGGTAAAGCGAGACGGCGGCACAGGCGTTGAAGATGCTAAGCGCGGCGAGCGACTCGGGATCTGGTACTGGGGTTCCAAGGCAGGCCTCTTGGAAAACCATCCAATAGCAGCAACGCCAACGCCCAATAATCTCGCTTCTTCGAGGAAGCGAAAGAGACAAGCTGCACGAAGCTGGGGAGGTGGTGTGGATGCTCCCGCAAATCAAGGCCCGCCGCGACCCTCCCAGTGCTATTTTGGGCTCTTCGGCTCATCGACGAACCGATCTGTGCCCCTCGTGAGAATGGGGCTTGACAGGCTGGCTACTCAGCTGCTTTTTCTCTTCCGCTCCCGTCTTTTCGTTTCGAAACAAATCCCCGCTTGCACGCACACGCGCGCTGAGCACCTCGCCCTACCAGTCCCGGGGCGCTCTTGGATATTACAGCGTGCTATTATACCGTGCCCAACCTAGACAGGAATAGCTCTCCCAGTAGAGACATGTGGTGCCAATGGCCGAGTTTCTCCCTCTCTCTCCGCCGCCTGCTGTTTGTTGTTTCTATTCCAGGCGTGTGCACGCCCAAGCCCGCTCTATAACGGGTGGCGGATAGAAGTTATCCGGGGCGGAACCCCACACGGGTGCCGGCGCTTTCTTCGCAACCTTCTCTTGGTTCGGGCTGTCGAAGCCACGGGTATGCTAGGCAGATGGGGTGAATTGGGCAGCCGGGTCGGCGCAGCCCGTGAGGCGCAAGCAGAGGTGCATTGACGATTGCGCGCTGGTGACGGGCGTATGCCCAAGTGCCAACAAGCAGCAACTTAGGACTCTAAGGCGCCACTTAGAATGCTGGTAGTAGTTAACTGATGCCTCATCTCGAAGTATATTTATTAATGCCGTGCCCTGTCATCAAGGGAGGAGAGAAGCCTGCTGGGAGCACCAGAACACCACGAAGCTCATCTCATACCTGCTACTATCTTATACCAGTTGGGACAACGAGGTTGCACTCGATCATCATAAACGTCCGCCAGCCTCATTAGGAAATACCGAAACTACTTGTCCCTTCCGATTTCCAATTCTAAGCTCATCCATCTCCTATTCCATCACCATGAGGGCCGCCGCATTCTTTCCGATCCTCCTTGCCGGCATGGCTGGCATGACTTCGGCCGCTGTCCTCCCTCGCTCGGACGCCGACGACATCGCCATATATGGCAGAATCGGCATCTGCTTTTCCTACTTCGCGGACGGGAACATACAGAAGGAGCTCGCCCCGTGCTCGGTCTGGTGTCCGACGCAAAACCCTGACTCGGACCCGAACGCCGTGGGGGTATGTATCCGTTTTCCTACTCTTCTTTTCGGAGAAACCAGAAGGCTGACACTAGTTTCCTGCAGTGCAAGGGACCCGGCATCTCGCGCGAGAAGATCGACCGCAGTATCGTCTTCAAGGACGACGACGGGAAGGAGTACACGCCGGGCGAGTGCATCTGCGACCTGGAGGGCGCGAGCGTCATCCTCGCCGTCGTACTGAAGGCGCTGTCGGAGCTCGACGAGGTGCTGTGCGGCGTGGTCCTGTCGGCCATCACGACGCTCGTCGAGGTCGGCCTCAGCGCCTTGCCCGGCGGCGCCCCCGGCACGGCCGCCCGCCGCGCCGTCGAGAGCGCCAAGACCTTCGCCGAGAACGGGCTCGACGCCGCCTCTTACTTCGACAGCTGGATCGGCGCCGTCTGTGGCATCCCCAACTTCGCCTTCAACATCGACGACGTCTTCCAGGGCCTCAACAATGCCCCCGACTCCCTCGGCAGGAGCAGGGGCTGCTTCAAGAAGGGCGGTTGCTAGGCATGCTAGTTCTTTGAGGTACTTACGAGTGGGAATCGGACCTATACGCATGTCGACAATGGGATATTGCTTTGCTCGGCGCTTGGGAGGTTTGTGGGATAGGCGTGTCGGAATTCCACTCCTTTTTATTTTATATACCCTGTGGTTTGGCGTTCGGGAGCGGTTTGCTCGGGTAGACTGATATCGTGGTTCGGGGTGCATTCTGGATGGTAGGGGACCGGGCGGGTGGTGTTCATACCGGCTACCGGATACGAGCTGAACATAATGCTAATACGTATCGACATTGTTGTTTTTGGAGTTTCGAACACTCTCGTGTTGTATATCGTTGATTCCCCGTATACGTATACTACGTCAGGTTCCTCGCTCGGGTTAGAGGATGTGTACCCCCGAGTACCGATATCTCCCAAAGATATGTAGATATCAGGTATTTTGAACATAACAGGTGTATGATCCTTGCCATCTGCTGTTCGTCCCCCACAAGCATAAAGTTACGCTGGTTTATGACCCCCGCGCTGCGTAATATTGCGAAACGCTTTTCTTTAAACGTTCAGATGTTTGGTGGCACACTCATTAATTACGGCCTTTCCTGACTGAATATAAGAAGTTTGGTATTGCTAAAGAGACTTGATGAGCTTGGAACTTGAATAAATCTTGGGTTTACACACGGTGAACACAGTATATATAGGTGCTGAAGAGCGCAGAAGATTAAGACTATCTTAGAAGGACCCCCCCAGTATTGTCTTGCACGGCAGTGTTCCTCGTTAATGGAGTTTGTTGGTTCATCTCGCAACCTACTTGTCTCAAGCGGCCTTCTGGATGCTCGCTTAGTTAGTTAGCACGGCCTCAGTTGGGCTGAGCTTCCCACGTAACCCTTTCGGGTTACAACCGGCACTTGTCTCTAAGCGGCATAATATAAGCTTATGCCGGCTACCCTGCTTATAGCATCGTATCAGGGCGGCTGCGTGGTCGTGAAAAGGCTGCAATATCATTTAAGCTATTAGCACGTCGATGAAGGCGTATAGTTAAGTTGGGCAATTAAGTATGCTGCATCGAGCAGTGCTTCGAGGCTGTGCTTGTAAATGTATTTCTATTCTTCTATTACTACAGTTGTTGGCTCTTACATCTGTTGACGCATGGCGGAGGCAGCGGCGGCGACGGCTGCGACGGTCTCTTGGCGCGTTTTGCTTTCTTTCCCGGCCTTGTCACTTCCGGCCGCTCTCTAGTGGCTCACTCTCCGCTCTCTATCGGAGCACCGGACTCCATACTGTGGCTACCTTCAAAGAAAATGGGGCTCACCACGGACTCGGAAGCTACCGCGGCCCTGCTCTGAAGCCACCGTCACTATTCTGCGCTTCCCTTCGACTAATGTATCCCTGTCGGGGAGAGCGCCAGCACGAACCCGCGGAGGTACTATATCCAGGGGGCAGCGGAGTATAAAGGAAGCCGTGAGACTCACCACACCTTTTAGTTATGAGGGAATATCTATATAAGGTATAGTGCCTCTGTTTTCATCCTAAGAATCGGACTTGGATGCCTTGACTTGCGATGTTATAAACCCGTTCTTATTTCCCGTCTTACTGAGAATAAGCCGCCACTTTACCCCGTCCCTCCTTTTCGGAGTAATATGACCATAGATCGTCTTTCTAGCCCACATACTGGCTCGGGGAGACCTGGGGTGGTGTATTTATAACCCGAAATCCAAGCCATGATTATCGGGTCAGTGTGGCGACGTAGCGTAGAGGAGGCCATATATTAGGCCTACGTACGGCCTGAATTAGGGAGTGGGGATGTGTGAATTTTCTTCGTGGTGTGTTGGTCTATTGATTCTTATGTCCCATCGTGCCATGTTCATCGCGGAGCTGCAGATAAATCGATACGTGTGTCTATGAAAGGGCACGTGTAATATGCCCGTCCACACACCATTTCCGGAGCTGCATACTCCGGTTCGCTATTCCCAGAGGGATCTAATAGCCGCCTCCCGTCTTTTCCACAACCTGGTTGCCTTCAGGATTTCCTCCCACGGGTATGCCGCTTGAGCCGCGGGTCCCAGGGGATGCCGGGTTCCCCCGGTTACTTCTGCAGGCTGCGATATTATGAAGTGTTTCCCTTCCCCCGACGCTGCGGTCCAGTAACTTCTCCTGTTGGCATGCGTCAAGTTGCCGGTGGCTGCATCTTGCCACTGGAGGAGCCCATGCGGGGTGGCTCTCTTGGAGGAAGCGAGGTGCCTACAGACCTCCGGGTGGTGTCCATTTCCATGTCGTGTGTTCCAACACTCCTGATGACATCGTGTCCGCATTTCGACATGTCGACATCTAGATTCCCTTCTGGCCCGGCTAGGCTATGGCGCCTTCGACCAGGCCGCCACCCAAGTCCCAAAGATGAGGCTCCCCACGTTGTTATTGTCTCGGAGTTTTATTGTCTCCGATATCTCCTCACCTGTATCAGACCCATTTGACGCCGAATTCCGAGCGCCAGGAAGACCTTGGGATCGTAGGGCGAGACTCTGTGACGGCCCCCAGAGGGTGGCCCGTATGATCGGTCGACTACCGATGTGTCGCCGAGAGTGGTTGTGCTTGCTAATGCCAAGAGCCGTACCCATCCGCGCGCTGGCGACCTGGTTTGAGCAGATCTGCTTCTACCCAAATGAATCTATGCGTTACCTGCCTGTACTGGCCCTATCCCTTTATTTCGTATCGGTAACGCCAAGCCTTTTACTTGTGGCCCGTCTGGTCACACTACCAAGCCCTCTACCTCATCTTTCCAAGACAGACGTCTGCTGAGAGGCATCTGCCTTCCGTTCCGGGTCGTTGCGGCGTTGGATTAATGTAAAGAATGCCTTGATAACCTAGGTGGTGGGTTTGAACCTCGGGGAGCCAAGGGTAAGCTTGCCGTGTCTCTGCGGACTTGCGGCCCCCGCCCCCCTCCCCCCTTCCACCCCCCCTTTCGTTGTTGGTAGCGGGAGCGGTTATCGACATTGACGGCCCCCGTCGGTAGACTCGAGCTGAGGAGGCTGCGCTAGCGTCTACTAGACACAGTGAGGATACCCAACAGCGAGATCTAGAATGCAACGTAAAGGATTTGCCCGGACGCGCCCCCGACATTGGTGGAATTGTTGCGCTTGCCATCTGTACTACCGCCTGGACTCGTTGAAGTGGAGCGTTCGTAAGACGACGTGATATCACGCCAGAATTACCCGTCTTCTTTAAGATTAGAATCCAGGTGCGGCTACCAATGGTTGCGTGGGCGGGCGAGCTGTTGGGGCTCTGGCAGCTCCTCGTGTAGAGCTGCATGATCCTGTATTGTGCGCGTATTTCGCATCTACCGTGGCTCTATTCCCGCCTAGCATCTGATCGTCCAATCCGGACGTGAAGACGCGGTTGTCGGCGAGTATTTCCCGCTCGTTTATTTTGCTGGCAAATCACATGTATGTCGTCCTACGGACCTGATTTTCGACCCTCACACTGCGTTAAGTAGGTGGTATTGGCCCCAGTTTTGGTGTGGGATCTGGTGGTAAAATTTGTTTCTCCCCAGAAGCATCCCATGTACAGTGGCCAAACTGCCGGCATGGTTTTCACTTGAAAAGGGAGTGCTGATAGGCGAAGTTGCGGGCGTCAAACCTCAAACTGACATATTAGTATATCGTCAACGCAAGGCCGCTTAACATCCCTGGTTTGAGTCAAGACAGCATGCGTATCTCTGGGCCCGACGATGGAGAATGGGATATGACAAATTGTGCTGTACCGCATAGCAGTCTGCTATAAAGACTTGTCGATCCACTGCCTGGATGTGCCCGGAACGATCCCGTGCATAGTTCACCCCCAATAATCGGGGATTGTCAACTCGTCTGTGGTGGAGCCGAGCCCTAGAAAATCTAATAGGTCGCCATCCCTTCACCTGGCTGCAGCCACAATGCCAAGTCAAAGCTGTGCCTGGCCCTGAGGATGCCCGAATCATCCGCGTATGTCCACGTTCTAGATCTGCAGGAATACGAGAAGAGGAGGTAGAAGTTATATTGAAGGGTCATCAAGGCCTCATGCCCGATGTTGTCAATGTAATACTGCCAATCCAGGCCCCGATCGGATAAGAGTATGCACGGTGAGGCCGAGAATGAGATCCTGATCCGTCAAAAAGGGCCAGAATACGTTCTGCCATGAAATACCCCTTGTTCAGGATATCCCTAGTGCATATGTCTCGTGAGTGCTGGAATGGTAAACACATCATGATGCGTCGTCCATGGCCCTTTCGTTGCCCAAGCAATACTGTCGCCAACGCACTCGCTTATGTCGTACATGCAGAAGAAATTGAAGTTGGGTGTGCTCGGCTATAGTTGATCAGGGGAAAACTAGGCAGTGAAGGATGAATCGGGGGCCATGCCATGCTGTGTAAAGTACCGAGTTTCCCCTTTTGGCCTCTATCGTAATAAAAAGATCGATGTAGAGCGTCTTGTGTCGGCCCCAGCATGAGACACAGTATGGATTTTTGACGTCAGCCTAAGGATAGAGTATCGTTCTGGCCCGGGATATCGATCTTGCCAAGCGAGGCCTTACGGCGAGCGGTCGTGGCTTATAGTCGAACGAAGCCATGTGATATGCTGATCGGGTTCGTTTCTTGCCGCAAGAGGACTCCGCCGGTTTCCTTAGCACTCGCTACTACCTCTTCAGGTCTTATTACCCGTGTCTTTGTGGCATGTGTCTGTGTTTCTGCGAGCTCGATTCGATAGATAAGTTTCGCCTGAAATCGCCTGTTTGCGTGTTAATGATGGTGATAGCTCAGCAAAAGTCGCCGATTTTCAGAATAGATTTTTCAAGTACGCGCCAGCAAGATGTCCAGCCATACGGACTCAGTAGTCTACAGACTCACCATCCTTGATTTGATTGCAAGGCATATCCACAGCCACCCAGATGCAGAGGCGATCTGCTCTTCTAACGACTCCATGTCGTACTATACCCTCGATAATGATTCGCGGATCTTCGCATACCACCTAGTGTCACATGGAGTACACTCGGAAGTTATAGTGCCTATCTGTTTCGAAAAGTCGATATGGACAGGTAAGATCAGGCTCTCGGCTTTGTATTTCTACTAACGAGAGGCGATAATAGTGGTCGCAATACTTGCCGTTCTCAGGGCAGGGGGTGCTTTCGTTCTCCTTGACCCCGCTCATCCCACCGAGAGACTGGAGACGATCATTCGTAAATCCAAAGCGAAGGTCGCCGTCACCTCGCGTTCTCAGCAAGGCCGAATCGCTGACCTGGGCGTACAAGCATTATGCTTAGACAAGCTTGCCCTTGGCCAACTGGAATTGGCTGAGAGTGGTCCGCTACCACCTGTGACGGCAACCAGTGCGGCATACGTGGTGTACACGAGTGGGAGCACAGGACAACCCAAGGGCGTGGTCGTCGAGCACGGTTCATTCTGTGCCGGGGCGGTAGGACATGCGCACGCGATGCATATGGACGCGTCGTCACGCGTTCTCCAGTTCGCATCGTATAACTTTGACGCGTCTATTACTGAGATGCTGACGACTCTCGTCGTCGGTGGGACAATATGCGTCATCGCAGAATCGGATCGGCTGGACTCCATCGCCTTTACTGCTGCGGTGACGAAAATGGGCGCGACCTTTGCGCTGCTGACCGCATCCTTCATCGATACGTTGCCCGTTGGCGGGCTGAAAAGCCTAAAGACTCTTGTCCAAGGTGGTGAAGCCTTACCGCAAGGAGTGCTGGAGAAATGGGCTGACAGAATTACGTTGATGAATGCCTACGGCCAAGTTGTAAGTTTTGAGTGCTGATATTTTATGAGAGTAACAAGCTGAGCAAAAGCACAGGAGGCTTCCGTGGTTTCCACATGCACTCCACCGATACCTCGCGGTTCGAGTGGGAGTAACATAGGAAAGGCCGTCGTGGGACGTTGTTGGGTGGTAGACCCGGACGACCCCAACAGGAGAATGCGACAAGGAGAGGCCGGAGAGCTTCTCGTCGAAGGGCCGCATGTCGCTAGGGGCTACTTGGACGATCCAAAGAAGACCCAGCAGTCGTTCATCAGTAGGCCTACTTGGCACACGCAACTTTTCCCGGCGGAACACGACGTCCAAGCTCTTCGCTTTTACAAGACAGGCGATCTTGTCGTCGAAGAAGCGGACGGCAGCTTTGCCTTTGCTGGCAGAAAGGACGAGCAAGTCAAGGTTAATGGCCAGCGGATCGAATTGGGGGAAATCGAACACCAATTCAAGCGCGTGATGAATTCCGCGCGAGATCTCGTGGTCGAACTGGTGAAAAGGAAAACCAGCGGCGGCTACCGTGGCATTCTAGTTGGCTTTGTTGCCCTGAACCTCGACTGGACTGATAATGATGACGCGGCTAACAGGCGACTACTGGACTCAGAAATGGGTCCCTTAGCGAAGCAGGTCAATAATGTTCTTCCCAATTATATGATGCCCGCTTCGTTTGTACCTGTCCGGCGCATCCCAATCTCTATCAATGGCAAGATTGACCGCAAGGCCCTCCGAGCTTTAGGTGAAGCTCATTTCTCAGGGAGACAAAACCAGACGGAATTGCCGGGGCCTAAGCGCTCTGCTCTCAGTCAAGTCGAGCAGAAACTCCGAAAGATTTGGAGCAGAGTATTGAATGTGAGAGAGGCGGACATCGATCGGACTAGCATCTTCCAGACCCTTGGCGGCGACTCCATCTCCGCGATGCAAGTTGTATCGCAGGCCGCCACGGATGGTTTACGGGTTACAGCACAGCGTATTCTTCAACGGAAGACTATCGAAGCTCTAGCCTCTGACATGATGGTTAAACCGAATACGCAGAGGGTTGAGGCAGAAGAAGAAGAATACGTGGAGGAGCCCTTCGGTTTATCCCCGATTCAACGGCTATTCTTTGCGCTGTCACCCGAGGGCAACAATCACAACAACATCAGTTTCCTGCTTCGTATTAATCGTACGATCGAACAAGATGCTATTGAAAGCGCTGTTGGCGCAGTAGTATCAAGGAATGCCATGCTACGAGCCAGGTTCCTTGAATGGAAGCCGGGTAGTTGGCTTCAATACGTCTCAACCGATGTTTCGGGGTCTTACCGCATAACTACTCACGAGCTCGACAACTTGAGATCAGATCCGATGCCAATTATAAGAAAGTCCCAGAGAAGCATCAGCATTAAGGACGGCCCTCTCCTTCGCGTCGATCTCATAACAACTCGGCAGGAACAAGTTCGTCTCCTATTCATATGCGCTCACCACCTCGTCACCGACTTCGTATCTTGGCGCATCATCCTACAACAGCTTGAAGAGTATATCCAGACGGGAAAGATAGTATCTCCAAAAAGTTATCCTTTTCAAAATTGGTGCCGAGAACAGGAGAGGCAGATTCGACATTCACATTCCCAACAGCAGTCATCTGCACCATCCATGCCCGACTACAACTTTTGGGGTATGCAAGGGACGCCAAATACGTATGGGGATTCGGTCACTAAGACGATCGTATTGGATAAAGCACTTTCGTCCGAGATACTAAGTTCAGCACATAAAGACGCCCTCCAGGTCGAGGTAGTCGATATGATACTCTCCGCGGTTATGTATTCTTTTCAGAAGATCTTCTACGAGAGACAGTTACCACCATTCTTTGTGGAAGGGCATGGCCGAGAGCCGTTCTGGGACGATAGCATAGATTTGTCCTCGACAATGGGCTGGTTTACAACTATCCTTCCGATAATACTATCTCGCGGAGATTGTAACGACCCCTTGGAAGCGCTTCGGCAAGTGAAAAGCCAACGTGCGAAGTTTTCCGATAACGGGTTGGCTCAGTTCGCGGCCAACCTTTACAGCCAGAAGCGAGACCAGAGCGGCATCAAATACTCCTCCATGGAGGTGACGTTCAACTATGCCGGCATTTACCAGCAACTCGAGCGCCAGGGCAGCCTCTTCTCCGAAGTGACAGAACACACACTTATGAACCTGGACGGATTTGGAGAATCGTTGCCGCGGTTCGGCCTCATCGAAGTATTGGGCAATGTCCACCACGGGCATATTAAGTTGTCGTTCACCTTCAACAAAAGGATGCAACACCAAGATCGTATTAGCTTGTGGATCGAAGAGTGTCAGCGGACTCTTCAAGTGACAACCTCCCATCTGAATCCCTCCTGGCGCGACTTCCCACTCCTAGGGGCACCTTCGTCAGCTGATATCCAGAATGCATTGTCAACGATGGAACTTCGGATAGAGGATGTCGAGGATATTTACCCGTGTTCTCCGATGCAGAACGGCATGCTCATCAGTCGTGTCACTGAAAGAGGGAGCTACCTGTCTCAGCTCTATCTGGAAATCAGGTCGAACAGTGCACCTATTGATGTTGGTCGTCTTAAAAGTGCTTGGCAAGCTGTGGTAGACCACCACGCTGCGCTGAGAACGTTGTTGATGGAAAGCGTCAGGGGCGACGGGAGTTTTGATCAAGTGGTGCTACGCCGATCTGAAGCGGCCATCACGCAGGTTGATGACCGTCTTGAGGAGCAGTTTGTTGCCTCTTGGCCCTTGAATAGACCCCAGCACCATCTATTCTTGAGATTTGAATCTCCTTCGCATCTCCTCTTACGCTTGGATATCAGCCATGTTTTGATCGACGGGAACTCTACTGCAACCCTGTTGCGAGACCTTCAGCGAGCCTACGATAGTCCTAGGATCCTCACCCTTGAGCCGCACCCATTATACAGCCTCTACATCAAGCATACCTCGAGTCATTCCCCAAACCATTCCCTGGATTACTGGAGGCGGCACTTGTCTGGCTGCCACCCTTGTATTCTTCCGGAGTCGGGCGATTCGAAAAAGGGGCGACTGGAAGTCGCCCATGTGCCCACACTTGATTCAATGCAGACGATGAACTTCTGCCGAAAGAACGGTATTACGGTCTCAGACCTGCTTAAGACAGCCTGGGCTATCGTATTGCATTGGTATACGGGATCAACCAGCCCCGTGTTCGGGTCGCTGAGCACCACCCGAGGCGAGGAGCACGAGAAGACGGTCGGCGTGTTCAGTAATATACAGCCGTTCTCTGTCAAAATCGGCCCTGATTCGACAATTCTGAGGGTGCTGGAAAGTGTGCAGAGCGATAGCATAGAGCAAATGGCCCATAACGAGTGCTCTCTTGCCGACATAATGAATGTGGTAGACATGAAGGACGCACCACGGACTGGACTGTTCAATACGGCCATGTCGCTGCAGAAGTTGGCTCCCATCCACCATGACAGCAGCATAGACATCAAGATAACCCGCGAAATTGATCCGACAGAGGTATATATCCCCTAATACAGAGACGTGGGGTGACATACTAATGGTTACACCTAGTTTGCGGCGACATTCCTGGCCTACGTTAGCAACTCGAGCATCGAGCTTTCAATCCAACATTGGACCTCTAAGTTGTCGACGGAGCAGGCGAGTAACATTGCAGCCACATTGTCAACGGTGGTGCAAACCATGATTAGGAACCCAGACTCGACTGTCAAGAACCTGAATGTCATCAGTGAGAGAGATTGGTCTCGTCTAGGCCGATGGAACGCAAGACTAAACTCGTGTGCTCCCGTCAATGCTTGCATCCACCAACTTGTCAAGGATGTTAGCATGAAGCAGCCGAAATCGCTAGCTGTCGATGGCTGGGACGGCAAGTTGACATACGAGGAGCTCGACTGTTTGTCTTCCAAGCTCGCGGGTCACCTTCATCACCTAGGCGTTCGCCCCGAGTCCAAGGTCCCGGTGTGTATGGAGAAGTCTGTTTGGACTATTGTTGGCATGCTCTCCGTACTGAAGGCCGGGGGAGCATTCGTCCCCTTCGATCCGGAAGCGCCGCTCGCACGGATGCTGAAGCTCATAGGGGACCTCTCGGCGAGCCTTGTAATTGCAAGCCCGAAGACGGCTCACCGGCTACAGGATCACACAACTCAGGTCGTATTATCACTTGAGTTTATACTAAATCTTCCCGAGCGGAGTTTTCAGGCGGCTGTCAGCCCTGAAAATTTGGCATATGTCATGTTCACCTCAGGCTCGACGGGGGAGCCTAAAGGAATTATGATGCAGCACTCACAGATACTGGCCAGCTCTGCCCAGTATTGCCAAATGCTCGGTCTCGATGAGCAGTCGTGTGTGTTGCAATTCTCGGCTTATACATTTGACGCCAGCATTTTCGAGATATGGAGCACGCTTATTTCGGGAGGCCGCGTATGCCAGATATCTGAGGAACAGCGTATGGACGACGTCGAGGGTGCGATAGGCAGCCTTTCCCCCAATACCATGTTCATGACGCCTGCGATGCTAGGCTTAATGCAGCCCCATAAGATACCCAGCATCCGCACCGTCGTGACAGGCGGCGAGGTGATCCCCCAGAGCGTCCTCAGCACCTGGGCGCCCGCCGTGCGTCTCATCGAAGCGTACGGACCGACGGAGACCGCCGTATTTGCCACTTTCCAGATGGACCTCAGTACGGATTCGGATAGGCTATGTATCGGACAGAGCTTCTGTTGCCGAGCCTGGGTAGTTGATGCGGAGTCACTGAACCTCGTCCCTATCGGGGCGGCTGGCGAACTGTGGCTCGAGGGCCCTAGCCTGGCCCGCGGATACCTGAACGCCGAAAAGCAAACTGCTGAGAGCTTCGTTTACCACGAGAACTGGTTGGAACCTGGTAAAACCTGTCGGTTCTACCGCACCGGTGACTTGGTGCGGATGAAAACGGATGGTAGCCTCCAATTCGTCGGCCGCAAGGATTCGCAAGTAAAGATTAGGGGCCAACGTATCGAGTTGTCGGAGGTAGAGCATCAGGCTTCGCTTGCCCTCGAATATCGCACACCAGTTGCAGCTGTCACGGTAAATTCCCTGCTTGCTCTCCTCGTCGAGGTAGGAAGTGTTTCCGACCAACACGCCTCCTCAACCGTCTCACTACTACAAGCCGAGCTTCCCGAGCGCCTACCACGATTTATGGTTCCGTCAATAATCCTACTAACCTCTGATTCCTTTCCACGACTGTCTTCGGGAAAGCTGGACAGAAAGTCGCTGCAAGTAATGGCGACGAGACTCAGGGAAGAGCAGCGCCTGAAGAGAATGGCGAAACGGGCCGACGAGCCTTTGCAGGATCACAAGCTTATCAAGGCCGTCGCATCAGTGCTCAAACTTGAGTCTTCCCAGATAAAACTGAGCGATAACTTCTACCAGCTCGGCGGAAATTCGATATTAGCGATGAGACTGGTGGCTGCTACGAGAGCCGAGGGCCTTCGCCTCACCGTCGCCTCAGCTTTGAAGAACCCTGTGTTGCGTGACATGGAGAAGACACTGGTTCCTATCGCACAGGAGGCATCCACGACGACTGATATACCGCCATTCGGTCTTCTAAAGGACCACGTGGAATTGATCCGAACGGAGGCCGTCAAAGCCTTCAATCTACAGTCAGAAGATGAAATCGAAGACATATACCCGGCTACGCCTATGCAAGAGGCCCTTATTGTAGAATCATCCAAGAACCCTTTGGCTTACGTGGCTCAGCATGTGGTCGAACTTCCTTCGGATCCTGACTTTAGCCTCCCGAGGTTTCGCGCAGCTTGGGAAAGGTGTGTCGAGCAATATCATATCCTACGTACACGCATCTTCCAGTCTGTGCAAACGAGGCCGCCTCGCCCGATGCAGGTCGTTATGCGTGGAGTCTCGGTGAACTGGGAGTACGGCGACGATTTGCAGTCTCACCTAGAGAACATTGCGTACACACCAGGGGAGTCCGTCAATGTGGTCGCAATAATCCACGACAGTAATTTGAAAGCTCGGTACTTCGTCTGGGTGGCCCATCACAGCCTGTACGATGGATTCTCGCTTAGCGCGTTACTACAGAGAGTCCACGATCTCTACAGCGGAAATACGCAGGTACCCAAGACAATACCCTTCAAAAATTACGTCAAATACGCCAACGAAGTTCAGGATTCTAGAGCTGCGATGGAATTTTGGAGGTCCTACCTGGCCGGCGCTTCACCCTCTTCTTACCCCCCTGTCCGAGCTGGGGCCAAGGCAGACAGCACACTGGACTTCCAAATACATCTCCCGGAACAGAGCGAAATAGAAGTCACTCTAACGACTATTCTACGAGTAGCTTGGGCGTTGACGATCGCCACATGTAACGACGAGGCAGAGGATATTGTGTTCGGAGGCATTGTGAGCGGCAGGAATGCGCCGCTGGATGGCGCCGACACGGTCATGGGGCCTACCATCACCGCTACTCCTGTGCGAGTGACATTCAGTTCCGGTGAACTAGCACGCGAAGTTCTCCTGCGAGTCCAGAAACAGGCATTTGCCATGATTCCACACGAGGTGCTATCCCCACGGAACATTCGCGCACTCTCGCCAGATGCGGCCAGGGCCTCGTCATTTGGCAGTCTGCTTGTTGTTCAGCCACCGTTGGAAGCTAGCATGCCATACAAGGTCCAGTCCAACGCCGTTGACGTTTACGGCTCCTTTTCGTACCCTCTGAATATCGTTTGCACCTTGGTCGATAAAAGTACCGTCAAGGTAGATGTCACATACGCGTCGGCGGCCCTTGAATCTTCCCACGTTGAGCAGCTGATGGACCAGTTCGACTACATCACGCGAAGCCTTGTTGACGATAGGGGAGATCTGGTGGTCGGAAATATTGGCTCGATGAGCTCCGCCTCCCCATCTAGTACCCCCGGCCCCGTATCAACTCGCGGCAGCTCACCCGACATTGCGCCCCTGACACCGATGGAAATTCAACTGCGGATATTCTGGGCTGAACTGCTGGAACACAAAGAGCCAGAGAGTATTGGATCATCGAACAACTTCATAGAATTGGGCGGGGATTCTATCACGGCCATGCAGCTTTCGGGGATTGCCCGGCGACAGGGCTACGCGCTCCAAGTGCCCGACATTCTTCATAATCCGATACTGAGAGACATGGCCGTCTGCATGGCCGTTCTTGATGGGCCCGGGGAGAAAACCCAGATCCCACCTTTCTCACTACTTCCAACTTCCACACCCCGGGACGAGTTCCTCCCCTTGGCTGCCGCCGATATATCTGTGCTAATAGACAGTATAGAGGACATGTACCCCTGCACGCCACTACAGGAAGGGCTCATGGCGACGTCAAGCTCACGCCCCGGCGCATACATCGCACGACTGGTAGTGGATATGAAGCTTCGCGATATCGAAAGCTACAAGGCCGCATGGGAATCTGTCGTCACGTCTCATCCGATACTCCGCACGAGAATCGTCCATCTCGGAACCGCCGGAATGGTCCAGGTCGTATTGAAACCCTCACTACCATCGATCGACTGGAGAACAAGCACGAACATAGACGACTACATCAAGGAAGACCAAGACAAACCGATGGGCTTCGGAGATTCCTTGACTAGATACGGAATCGTCGTCACCGGAAACGATGTGAAATTCATATGGACTGCCCATCATGCCATTTACGATGGCGCCACCGTTGCTCTGCTGTCGGAAGCTGTCCACAACGCTCATACCGGGAAATATATGGAGGAGCCGCCTAAGTTTAACAGATTCGTAGAGTATTTAACCAAACTCGACACAGATGGATCCGATGAGTTTTGGAAGAGGACCCTGGCCGGTTCTAAGTCGATGCCGTTTCCTCTGGTGTTGTCACTAGACCACGCATCCCAAGCCAACCACGTGGTTGAAAGACGAGTCATCCTGGGGCGAAAGAAACCGGCCGGTATCACCATGGCAAGCTTACTTCAGACGGCCTGGGCATTCGTACTGGCTAGGTATTCGGGTTCCGACGACGTGGTACTTGGAGTTGTGCAGTCGGGGCGCCTCGTCCCGGTACCAGACATCGACCGCATGCCCGGACCCGTGATCACCACCGTGCCCCTATTTATCCGCCTCGACCGCACACAGACACTAACCAGCCTGCTCTACCAGGTCCAAAGCGCAACTAATGAATTAATACCCCATTGCCATCGAGGGCTGCAGAACATCCGGGAAGTTAGCGACGATGCTAGACAGGCGTGCGACTTCCGCTCGCTACTCACAATCTTCCCTCAAGAAACAGAATGTCTTGCCGAATTCGACCTGCGGAGAGCGCTCTCTCTCACAAGTGACGCGGCTGACTTTCACAATTACCCGCTCGCCTTGGAGTGCGCTTTCACGGAGTCCGATATCCGGCTCACGGCAACACACGACACCAGCGTCATCGAGCCGCGCCAGATGGACTGGATGCTTCAGCAGCTCGACAATGTCCTGCAACAATTGGTCTCAGTGGACATCGCACTCAAGCCTGTCGCGCGGATGGAGCTATTGACGCGGCAAGATTATGATAGACTCTACGGCTGGGGTAGGAATGCTCTCGCGAGAGACCAAGCCAATTGCCCGTCAGCCTGGGTTGTCGACTTGCGCTACGACGACTGGCTTGCTCCCACCGGGGTGGTTGGAGAGCTCGTGGTCGAAGAGCGCGTAGAGCCGTACAAGAACGGGATCGCAAGCACCCCGAGGTGGCTTGAGAGATTTGGCCTCCGCAACAGACATACGATCAGGACTGGCCAACTTGCTCGGTTCAACTGTGACGGGTCATTAGAGATCATCGGCCCAAAGTCGACACTCGTAGAATCCAACGGCCGTCGTTTTATTGCCAGAGATATCGAGCAGCTCGCGAGCAAATTCTTACGGAATATGGACGTCTCCATCCAAGTGGTCAAAGGAGGCGATGGGTCGGGAAGGGACTCACTTATCGCCTCCGTGGCGTGGGAGCTCGGACAGACGGACAACGAATCGGCGCAGAAGTCCTCGGAAGTGTTACTGCGAACCGTCGGAGACAGGCTTAAACGCGTGTTGCCCTCATTCATGGTGCCCAGCACGTTTGTTCCGATGCGTCGCTTCCATTCACCAACCAGCGACAACACCGACTCGACAAAGGAAGCTGACCTTGCAACCGCCTTCATCCTAGAAAATGTCGCCGAGGATTTGACCAAAACCGGTAATGCAGATTCTGCCGAGATAGAACGCTGCCTTCTCCCGCTATGCGAATCAATCCTTGGTCTTGAAGGTATGATTGGGGATGATAACTTCCTCAACCTCGGAGGCGACTCCCTAGATGCGATGAAACTAGTCGCGGCAGCTCGACACCAAGGCATCATACTCACCGTCAGAGACATATTCGACAACGCCATCATATCAAGGATCTCAGAGGTCGCGAAATTCCGTCCGAAGTCTGAGGTCGTTCTTCCACCATTCTCTATCATCGGCGACAACGTGGACGAGGCGGTCGCGGAAGTAGCCGCATATTGTCACATCGAGAGGGAGCTGATCGAGGATGTATATCCAAGCACACCTCTTCAAGAGGGGCTCATGGCTTTGTCTAACATGGAGAGAGGCGCCTACATCGCAGAATATATCGTCCCTGTACCGGACGCGGAGGCGGCTAAAGCGGCCTGGGTGTCCCTTGTCACAGCCACCCCTATTCTCCGTACTCGTATCGTCCAAACGGACAAATGGGGATGTCTACAAGTTGTCGTCGAGAAGAACGCTGATACCGAGGTCGGATCAGCGAGAAGCCTTGACGAGTACCTCGTGCACGCACGGAAAGACGTCATGCTACCCGGACAGAGGCTCGCCAAGGCCAGTATCGTGACTGAAGGAAACACAAGCTACCTCGTCCTCTTCGTACACCATGCCCTTTTCGATGGTTGGTCCTGGGGCATGCTCCTCGATCGACTCTACGCACATTACCAGGGTTTGCCCTTGAGTCCGGCACAACCTTACAACCGATTCATTCATTACCTTCACAAGACTCTTGACTCCAAGGCATCCGAGGACTTCTGGCGCTCATACCTCGAAGGCGCAAACCCAGCCCCTTTCCCGCCAACGTCAAAACATATTGAACCCCTACCCGAGGCTCACGAGAGCCGCCGCATCCGTCTAGACAGGCCGAAAACCCACGCTCACACTACAACTACCATTATACAGGCCGCTTGGGCCCTACTCGTAGGCCACTACACGGCTTCCGAAGATGCCGTATTCGGGGCCACGCTCTCGGGCAGAACAGTGCCGCTCGACGGCGTTCAAGACATAATCGGCCCGACCTTTGCCACGATCCCTATGCGATTCCGTCTCAACGGCGCCAGGTCGGTGTCTGAGCTGCTCGACACAGCGCAGAGCGTCAGCATGAGCCCGATGCAGCACTTCGGGCTGCAGCGCATACGGCAGATCAGCGCCAGCACGCGGGCCGCCTGCGAATTCGGCAGCCTGCTCGTCGTCCAGCCCGCCAGCAGCGATGACAGCTCGGAGAACTTCTTCCTGCGCGGGAATGACTCGAAGCTCGTGTCCGGCTTTACCAATTACGGCACCATCCTGCTCTGCCAAATGCTCCCCGACTCCAGCATCGACGCCAGTATCGTGTTCGACTCGAGAGTCGTAAGCCAGCGGTGGGCCAAATGTCTCCTCGGCCGATTCGACCGCGTGTTGCAACAGCTCTGCGGCGATGCCGATATTGCGATTGGCAGCGTGGATTACTACATCCCAGATGACCCCGACGGAGAGACCCTGAAGATAGTCGAACCAGAGGATACCCCAAGCGCGATACCGATTCCAGAATCGCCGGAAGAAGCAGCGCAACCTAAGGGCTCTACGAAGCAGATCCTGGTGTCCCTGTGGGCCCGGGTGCTGGATGTCGGGGTTAGCCAGATCACAGACGATATCACGTTTGCCGAGCTGGGCGGCGACTCGATCACAGCGATGAAACTGTCGTCGAAGGCACGCCGCGCCGGCATCGCGCTCAGCGTCGCTGACATCATGAAGCGGTCGCGCTTCGCCGACGTGGCCGCGGCGTGCCGGCCGCTCACCGAGACCGCCGAGGTGTCTGAGTACGAGTACCAACCATTCATGACGTTCAGCCCGGAAGCCGGAATCGACCAGTTCCTCCGGGAGGCCGTTGGAGCGGGCCAGGACGAGATCGAAGACATCATTGAGGCGACGTCCACGCAGAAGGGCATGAACACATCGGCCACTTCGCAGCACGGCGGCAGCATCAACCACGTGTGGTTGGACTTCCGCGGGCCCGTCGACGCCTACAAGTTGAAGGCGGCGTGCTCAGTCATCGTAGCCCGTCACAGCATCCTGCGTACAGTATTCGTCCCGCACGGCGAGAAGCTAATGCAAGTCGTCTTCCGCCAGCACACACCGCAATGGATCGACGTCTACGCCGACGCCGACCAAACCATCGAGACCACCACTGCCGCCATTCTCGCCAGGAGCCAGCACGAGCCCGAGCGGCACGGGCGGCACGGCCTGCGGTTCAGCTTCGTGTCCGGACCCGCCGACGAGAGCCGCCTGGTCGTTCGCATCCCGCACGCCCTGTACGACGGGATCAGCATGCCACTCATACTAGAAGACCTCCGTGTGGCATACGAGGGCCAGCCACTGCCCGCGGCGCCGCCGAGCTTTGCGGCGCACCTGCACGCGCGACGGCGTCTGGTGGCCGCGGGCGACACCGAGGCATACTGGCGCGAGCACCTGCGGGGGTCGCGGATGACGCGACTGGTCCGCCGCACGAGCGCTGCCGCCGCCAACGTCGACCAGCACCTAACACGTTCGTTCTCTGTCGCCGGCGCTGGCTACAGCAAGTACGCGCTGGAGACGGTGCTGCACGCGGCGTGGGCGCTGGTGCTTGGGCGCCTGTCAGGTACTGCCGACGTCGTGTTTGCGCGCGTGGCGGCCAGCCGCGACGTGCCGCTGGCGGGGGCGCTCTCGGTGTGCGGCCCGACGGTCAACACGGTGCCAGTGCGGGTGCGGCTGGGGCGCGGCGCGGCGACGCGCCACGAGCTGCTGGCGGCAGTCGAGGACGACCGCCTCGCGGGCCTCCGGCACGAGCACCTCGAGACGGAGCAGCTCGTCGCGAAGTGCTGCGACGCGGGGTGGGCCGGCGGCAGCGACACCGACGACAAGGCCGCGCCGCTGAGGTTCGGCAGCCTGCTCCTCTACAACAACCTCGACGCGGCGCAGACCTTCGAGCGCGGCGAGATGGGCGCCTGGCGCGGCGCCGAGTGCCGCATCGGTGCCGCGGCGCGACCGTGGGACGCGGCGGACGTCCAGCTCGCGGTCATGCCCGAAGGGCCAGCCGGCGAACGCGCGCGGGTGGACTTCGTCTTCGCGGGGTCGGTGATCTCGCGGGACGCTGTCGCTACCATGATGGAGATGTTCTGCCAGAATGTAGAGATGCTGGCTGCTGAGGAGGACGGGGAGATTGAGGGTTTGGACGGATTTGGGGCTTGAAAGTTAAACACATAATGGGCAATACGAGTTTTTGTTAGGGGGGGAGGGGGATATTCCAATGGTTCAGGAGATTTCATAGCCTTTCGGCTTCTCATTTTTATCTTAATAGACACGGAGACATTCTGGCTGGGAAGGGTGACGATGGGAGGTGACAATTCTGAATTCGCGACTGGATATACGGATCAAAAGGGGGCACACCTAGGGTAGTACATAATAGTATACGAGTAACATGTAACTAGAGAAAATCATACGCTGAATGACCGAACATTTCGGGTTCCTAGGTGAGGATTAAAGATCGTGAACACGGATGGCGTGTGTGCTTGATGGAAGAGGTCCGGCGCCCTTGAATTTGCCCCTATTATGCACCACCGAAAACGGAGTAAGCAACCAGAATCCCTAGTCGCGGCATCGCCAATACACGTCAATTAGCCTCTCTTCTTAGTCGGGTTTATTTCATTATGTTTGACCGTCGAGGCATTCTCTAGCTAAAAAAGCAGAGGGATAGGAAGGAAGCCAACAAAGGATTCCACGTTCGTGGGATGATTGTAAATCTACGGCCCCCCATGGTCATCACGATACCATCGAGGCGTATCGCAATGTTAGCGACCATTTCTTCCTTAGAGAGTATGTCCCGGACCGCAGCTCCTCGAGGCATGAACACTCCGGGCACTGGATGGAATCACGCTGTGCCCAGCTACTGATCCGATAGGCCACGACCTCCAGCATCAAGCGGTTACCCGGGAACTTCTCTTTTATGATCTTCTTCCAGTGGCTCTTCTTCGTCGTCCGGTATCGACAGCAGTAACAGCAGACTGCTAGTGTTCTGACGGGCTGGCCTCTCGCGTTGACCGGACAGATAAGATGTACGAGCGAGCGCATTGCTATGCAGTCCTGCGGTGGGGAAAGATCCCGATGCTTGATGGCAGAGGGGATGCTTAAGTTCAACATGCTCGAGACGTGAAGGAGGCGCTTACAAGCCAACGCCAGGCAGACATTAGCCAGGGGGTCACCAAGGTCGAATATCATGAGCAGAATCTCGGTGGGAAGCTGTGCCAGGCTCGACGACTGGTTGCTTGTCGGCAATTCCTCTAGAAGCTAGCTTATAGTTAGCTATAGCTAATCCGGCAATATGCGATCGAGATTCCATACTTGGGCCGGGATGGTGAAACAACCCCAATGGGTGGGGAATGGTGACGCCGACAAGTACTGATAGCTGACTCGAGGTAATCAGGCGGATACTCGCCATGAAAGCTGGCCATCTTCACAGAACGTCTGGGGTTTTGCTCATTCTGCACGTGTGATAATAATTGAGAGAGGCAGCTCGGCGACGCCCTGTAGAGCTCGACGGGCAGAACAGGTCGGACGGGCACGACGCGGTCCCGACGCGGTGCCCCTCTAGATGATGATGTGCTTAGTGGGGTAAGCTGTTGTCTAGTACGGGGATTTAGAAGGGACGAAATCGACGGCGAGGCTCAGCAACTCGAGCTCGAGAGTCGCTGTGTAGGCCGCGCAGAAAATTGGGACACCAGCCAAAAGAATCACCAAGAAGAGGGAAAAGGAAATTGACGAGAAAAGATCTAGGTTTGTTTTTGCGACTTCACGAGAAAAACCTTGCCATTTAGGCAGCAAACGGTGTGGTCACGTGAGGGTTCTATAGGTACCTACTTCGGTATATCTTATCTTGTCTTGTAGATAGGTCGATGACGAACTCGCATCTATCCATGCACCTCTGCCAGTGGAGAGAGGGAGGATTCTGTCACGATCGTGATGGCAAGACTTGGGTAGTGTCAGATCCCTACGTGCAAGTCGGAACCGGGTGAAGGGTGAGGGGCAACCTACCTATGTGGCGCAATGGACGACGAGGAACAAGTACGGAGTCTCATATTTACATCTGGAAAAACATGAATTTTTGGATGGTTATATTAACTGCCTATTAAATCGAGCGACATTCACAGTAATGGGCAATATTTACTTCAATCCGATTAGTATAAAATAGCCAAGCTCTTTAATTCGCGATAGCTTCTAGCTACCCTTCCTCATAGATCAATGGCTCATTGGGTTCGGCATCCTAAAGATTCTCATCCTAATTACCAACCGGTATCGTAAGATCACAGGAAGCGGACCAGCCGGGAAGCACAAATAGCTATTTGCTTGCAGGCAGAACGCCGGACCGAAACTATTCAGACGGAGCTATTACGATATCACGATGCCCTCGTCCACGATGCCCTTGCCCACGATCGACGAAGCTCCCGTCGGAGAGCAGTCCGAGAAAAACGCTAACGAACTTAACCAAAAGGTTACCGGATCCCGAGAGTCGTATGAGAAACCGGTTAACGGCGCCCATAAACGAATGAAGTTTATCGTTAAGAACCTTCAACGGCAACATACCGACATCCTACATAAGATAAAGGAACGCTTTAAAAAGCTGACCGCCCTTATCAAATGTCGGCAGGGTAATCAATCTAATCCATCAAACCCATCGAATGCAGCAAGTCCGCCGAGTCCCTCGCCGCCAGCGGGATGCGCGATACCCGCGGTTAACGAACGCAACAGCAACGGCGAGGATAGAGCTAAAGCCACTAACGACGCTCGACACCTCGTTGCTGACGACGCTCAATGCAAAGCCCGTCCGACAACCGAGCCAGCCTGTCCTAAGGCCTACTCGGGAGCGGGACCTGAACCATATACCCCCACGGGCCCAGAATGCCTCCCAAACGGGAAGATCGACTTCCATCGGGCAAAAAACCCTGGTCCCGGTTCGGCCGAGATCCAGCAAGAAGCTCCTCACATTTTTCACAGCCCACTGACAGAATTCGCGACGCTGTTACCCATCGTTGGCGAAAGCCTTGTTAACTTTATGCGCCGCATACGCGAAGCTTACTACCGACTGTCGTCCCAGGATCGCGAGAGTAGGTTGATCCGCGAGTTGTTACTGAACCACTTCAAGAACTACGCTCCCAGCGTGTGGTTGTCTTTAGTTGATCACATCCACCAGTGGAACACAGACCAGGTCGTTGAGAAGGCAGTGTGCCGCGCTGAAGTGATTACGCACATAGCGGTGGAACGCAAGATTTACAGCACGCCCACGATCACCACACAGCTGCGGGGCACAGCTGCCCCGTTTTATATTATGAAGATTGCCGAAGCGACAGCTTTAAGACCGGGATCACCTTACGTCAGGCTCCTTGACGCTACTGACGCCGTCGTTCAAGCAGCAAAGCTACCTGAGATTTTAGGTTCGCGGTGCGACGATGGTTAAGCGCCGTGAGGAGCAGGGCTACGCCACGAAAGCAGCTAACGACGGCGACGGCGACGGCGGTGACAACGACGACGACGAGTGCTTCTACCTACGGGATCGAAGCCGAAGCCAACCTGGGAAAATTCGATTACCCAGCGAATTCAACGGCTGCGAGTGAAGCTAGGTATCGTAAACATACCTACCAAGAATCAGGGAGATCGACGAAGATCACGAGGATCACGAGGATCGAGGACGATCCTCAGAAAGGAGAGGAGGCATATGGACCCCAGCTACCTTATCGGTTACCCTATGAACTGTTCCATTGAATGGAGCTGATATTCACCGTAATCGGCGATATTCATCTGAATACAATTGATATAAATAAGTCTTCAATTGGCAGTAGCTCTAGCCCCTAGCTAATATCATCCTAATAGATCAACGGTTCATCAGGTTCGGCATCCCAAGATTCTAACACTAGTTACTTACTGATGGTGTTGTGGGATCACGGGAAGCGGACTAGCCGGGAAGCACAGTGCACCACGTTCTTTTTGCAAGAGCTGTCGAGGCATTATATGTGATCGGACACTTTCATCGCTGTGTGCATGAGAGAAACACGGCAACTCAGTAAGAGTACGATCAAGTGATGAGGCCTGTCGTTCTAGAAGGCAGCTAGGGAAGACCCGAGACGCCGGTACCTAGCCGTACCTTTATAGGTATCATATCCACATAGTGGTTACGCGCTATTAACACGTGATGCTTAGTCCCCCGTAGAAATATAGGAGGATTCCTTTTGCGAGGGATAAGTAAGGGGTGAAGAGGAGGCGCAATAATTGGCTGCTTTTGAAACGATACCTAGATCCGCTATACCGAGAGCAAATATCGCTAAGATCGTAGGAAGATTCAGGACCTGCCCATAAGCAGACGAGTAAAATTTACCTGCCTGGCGTCCATGGTCAAGGCATGAGTGATCGAGGACCCCATATACACGTAGAAGATGGACGTCGTCTTGCGACCCCGGACCGTTCGATCTAGCGAGTGTTGCTCGGACCCGAGCCGCGCACTGCCTCCACATCTGACAACGATAGGTATCTTGGGTATTCCTACCCCCTATGCATGCCTACACAGGGTTGATACCTACCTGGTTACCCTCTACCCAACGCAATCTTACACCGCGTAGGTGCGTGATAGGTATGTGTGCAAGTTGCAGACCGCGCGCCTTGGCGCGTAGCCGCGTTTCCGTCTGTGAGACATCGTGTTGAGCCAGCCAACCGTCGAATCGTTTTGGTAGCGAGCAAGCCTAGCCGCGAGGCAGCATTCATCACCCCATACCGCCGCCTAAGTGCATGGACAGTCGGATGGTTTCCAAGCGCAGGATTCGCCACTATTGTCTCTGTGCCGCTCGGCAGTACGTTACAACGTGGTACGACTACGACGCTCACAAAGGTCCCGGGGATAGAATAGACGTCTGTCGGGTCCGCTTACTTACTCTGCGAGGGACATTGGGTTGACAAGACATAATAGAGAACAGTTAAATAATAAGACCAAAATTACATAGACTACCTCGGGAAGACATAATCGCAACTCTCTGGCTTTAGGCAGCGAGTTAATGCGCAACAGATGGCGGTAACTCAACAGCCAGGAGTCAGCTAGAAACAGGGATCCCTATCGTGGGTTACCTGGACGTTATTGGTATCCTAGTTTCATAGCTACTTTAGGCTAGGTTATCGCTCCACGGACCACTGCTTTGCGAACTAGGCCTTGTTATGTATATTTGTATATAAACGATTTTTCCTACTGAAAAATCGAGTAAAAAATATATTTAATTATATAACTAGTATACTTAATTAGGTTAATATATATCTTTTTAGATTAATGAATTAATTTTATGAAACAGTTTATATAATTTTAAGTTTTTTTCTTATATTAATAGTTTGTTATATACTTTGTTAAAAATTTAATAAAAGATCAATTAGATTATATAGTAGCCCTACTCTATCACGACGAAAAAAAATCTTAAGTGTAATTATATTATTACTGGTTTTGTTTTTCTAAATTGTGGTACCCTGCTGGACTCTGGGCGTCCAATCTCGTAATCGAAAGCCTAACAACACTTTTCTATCTTACTTCAACCGTCCGATCATTTACCCTTGCGCTGCCCACACGTCATCACCCTAGACCAGTATGAAATTGACATTCTACCTTGGGGCTCTCCAAGCCCTCCACTCCCGTCCAGTCCCCCACTCCCGTCTAGTCCTCTACTCCCGTCTAGTCTTTCACCCCCGCCAACCCCTCCTCGCTCGACCCTTTGTGACCGAAGCAGAGAAAGTTGCCTCTGCCCGACGTGAATTGCTTGAGAAGATCTATGAGCCGTTTGCGAAACTTGACAAAAACAGTCCAGAATACAATGAATTGGCGACATCGGGGCGTGTTTGGGAAGACTACTGGCAACCTGGGGATAGCGATAAATATGGCTATACAAGAGTTCAACAGGTATTTAATCCCAAGGCGTCTTTCATTCCTTTATGCCAATACCGATGCTAGGAGGTTGCGTCAACCCTTCTAAAAATCGACACGTTGAAGAATGCTATGAGCGTTCCTGCATCTGTTGTCGCTAAACAACTTGTCAACTCCTACGCTCAGCAGTCCGCCGCTATCGAAGGAAATCGTCTTAATCAGAGCGAAAGTATGGTGATCGACGAACAACTTCGTTCTGAAGTCTTTAGTAAGACTCCTCTCGGCTCCATGTCAGCAGATGATATCAGGAATTTGGACCTCCCAGACCCTTCGGTTGTCCTTCCTCAGGCCGACAAGCTTCAACTTATTGAGCTACGAAACCATCTTGTTGCCTCACACTGGATTTCCGAGACTTCGCCGAGGGCTCAGTGTTCTTCAGGCCTGGATGAGAGCGAGGTACGCGCCCTCTCTGCTCTTACTATGAGAGACTTGGATCCTCATGAGAAGAACCGCTATCCAACCTGGTGTGGGGATCCGGTTATGCTCGGGGGCTATCGTACAAACCCTGCAGGTATCAAAAGCAACCCTCTGGCAGTGTTTCCATATCCCCTTGAGGTGGATGCATGTATGCGTCGGTTTTTTCAATGGCGTCAACGAGTTTCCGAAGAAAAGGAGCTACATCCTGTGATCATTGCTTGTCAGACCGTGGTATATTTTTTACATATCCACCCCTTTCCCGACGGCAACGGCAGAGTTTCGAGGATGATTATGCACGACTACCTGCTCCGACACGGATACATACCCATTGTTTTTACCCCTTTCAGCCGACCAGAATACCTGAGAATGATGATGAACGCGCAGGATGGCAGGCCTGGCGAGTTCGTTTCTCGCGTTGTAACAATTCAGCTGGAGTGGATGCAGACATTTCAACTGCAGGACATGGCTAGGAATTCCCACCACGAGTAGCTTATTTATAGTGTTCTCACATTACTATCAAGCATCTGCCACAAGGCAAATAAAACATATCATCAGCGATGACACTTTTATATCATAACACTTGTAGTGATTGTTCTGGCTAAGGGCTTATCTTTGAAACATTGACCTCATAGTCGTTCTAATTCTCAGTACAATAGAGCAGCGAAGGTCGTAGAGTCCGAGGTAAATATGTTGATTAGAGAGTTGCCCGGCAATCCAGAGACGATAACTAAAGATTCAACGTAGACTAGAAAATACTGCTCCTAGGAATAGGCAGGATAAACCTAGATAAATTCCGCAACAAATTGAAACAGGAGGCCTAGGTGGCTCATAGCGCAACTATGTACACAGCACCTGTTCCCCAACTATCGCCTATGGTTCTCCTCCAGTACAGAAGCCTCCAAAAACGACGGTGCTTTACTCTCGATTTGGCGGCTCCAGCAACGCTTTCTCGATTCATGAAAATTGGGATGCCAGAATGTGCAAAAAGGGGCGCATATCCGAGGTAGTGTGTGGAGACCGAAGTATTTGGTACCTAGTTGTATACTTTGTCTCCCTCTCTGCTAGCGCCTCAAAAAAATAGCAGCAGAAGCCACTGAATTAGCGGCCACAGCAGTGCTTGCTATTGTCATAGAGTAATAATCGATTATTTTATTAGATTCTTTAATAGATTATAAAGGAAACTATTAATATAAGAAGGAAAAAAATCCAAATTATGTAAATGTAATTTTATTATAAATTAATGAATTTAAAATATATTAACTTAATTATGTAAACCAATTACGTAATTAAATTCTAGATTTTTAGAGGAATTTTATCTGATATTTTACAGAGAAAAATCGTTTGTAAGTAAATATATATAAAAAGGCCTAGTCTGCGAAGCGGTGGTCTGTAGAGCGGTAACCTAGCTTTCTATACCTATAATAGGCATATGGGAACACGATCCACTCGCTCGGCGAAGGCATCGAAACGTTCGACATAAGGTCATACAGCGCTGCGGGACAGGCAACCGAACAAAGCCTCACCATGTCATCGTCCAGGGATTCTACTCCGTTCCTGCGTCTCCCCCACGTGTTGTGGACAATCACACCGAACACATACGCCGGGAAAATCCTTGGAATCTACGAATCGCGGCATCTGCGAGTGAGAGGCACAAGCGCCATTGCGGCGCTGCGGCACCGGCGTGGTGTGAAGACTGCCATACAGTGACCGCGAAGCCAACGCTAAGCCGTCGTCGAACCCACGGTTTGCGGGTACGCATAACGTAACTAGCCCATTGCCATTGTGAATTGGGTACGTAAGCGATCCTTCACAAGGGGGCCCGAGTTGCTCGAGCCGTGAAGCCGCCCGCCCGTCCGCCGACCTGCCCAAAAGGGCCTAATCGAGGCACAATACCAGGGAGGAGGGTCTGAGACATAGCCTTGTGGGGCGGCATTGACGAGAGGGAAGAGACGAGATGAATACACAGAGCACGCTTTAGGAGTGGTATAAGCGAGACGGGAGCGTAGAGGGAGTATTAAAACGCTCGTCGCCGACGGCACAAGTCGATCCGATGGAGGGACCAACACCATCAGGCTTTCGGTCCAGACTCAAAGCACTACCCAAGAAGAACGTCATCATCATCGCCACCATCACGATGCTCAGCACAGCCGGACTCACCATCGGCCTCGCGGTCGGCCTGTGCGCGGGGAGGTGCACGGCGCGCGGCGCGGACGAGGCCCGGGCCAACGCGTTGTGGCAGCCGGCGGTGGGCACGCAGTGGCAGATCGTGCTGCAAGACAGCATCTCGGTGGGGGCGGCGGCGACGCCCGACGTGCCCGTCTTCGACATCGACCTGTACACGAACACGGACGACGGCGCCAACGCGGAGCGCGTCATCGGCCGCCTCCACGCGCTCGGCAAGAGGGTCATCTGCTACTTCAGCGCCGGCACCTACGAGCCCTACCGCCCGGACTCGAACCGCTACCGCGAGGCCGACCTCGGCGCCGCCCTCCCCGACTGGCCCGACGAGCGCTGGGTCGACATCCGCGGCGACAACGTGCGCAGCATCATCCTGGGCCGCATCGAGCTGGCCGCGAGCGTCGGCTGCGACGCCATCGACCCCGACAACATGGACGGATACGTGAGTTCCCCTCTCCTCTTTTTTTTCCTTTTCGTCCTCCCGATCGTCGCGCCCCCCCCCCCCTCTCTCTCTCCCCTATTTCGCGGTGCACTGACACGAACGTGCGCAGAGCAACGAGAACGGCGGCGGTTTCTCCCCGCCGCTGACGGAGCAGGACTCGATAGACCTAACGCGGTGGATGGCGTCGGAGGCGGCGAGCCGGGGGTTGGCGACGGGGCTGAAGAACGCGCTGTCGATCATCCCGGACGTGGTGGACGTGGTGCAGTTCGCGGTCAACGAGGAGTGCTCCGACTGGAGCGAGTGCGCTGAGATGCAGCCCTTCATCGCCGCCGGCAAGCCCGTCTTCCACATCGAGTACCCCGACGGCGCCGGCACGAGCAGCGGCCTCTCCGCCGCCGTGCGCCGCCGCCACTGCGAGGCCACCGGCACCACCGGCTTCTCCACCGTCCTCAAGACCTACGACCTCGACGGCTGGGTCCAGTACTGCGACGGCGCCATCTTCACCACGCCGACGGCGTAGGCGAGGGCTGGGAAAGGATCAGGCGAAGGATGCCGGCAAAATTTGACGCTCGATCTTATGCTTACTTGTATATATGTGTGTATTTACGTGTACTTCATTTCGTCTCACGGCCACTGCTTCGACCGCCCTAGGGAGCTCGGTCTCTAGCGAAAGGAGGCGCTAAGGCCATGAAAACAATAGAACGATCGCGTGTTTGGGGGCAGGGACAAGATTGTTCCCGATTGACAGGTGACAGGTTATAACGGTTGAGCAGCTGAAATTCGTGCCTTATACCGACTAGTTTCGTCGTTTTCTTGTCCTCGACTGTTGAGGACTACGCCAAGGGATCACAATCGACGGCAGAAGAAAATTCGACGCGACGAACGGGGTAAATTCGGGAAATGATTAGGGCGAGGTCAAGACGCGGGATAGGGCTAGGTAGAGCACAGCGTCACAACGGGTCCTCATGATCTGCCTCAGGTTCCATAATGTACGAGGTACCTGATTTGAAACGCCACCCGTTTAGTGAACAGCCCATGTACCTGCCCAGCATAGGTACCTATCTAGGTGCCTAGGTACTTACCGATCCGGATCTTGCTCTTGCTGAGGACATGATCAAAGTCCAACGTGCAAAACATGCTGGATTGCCTGATACGGTACTCGCCTACCGGATGTCGCCGATGGTCCATTTGGGACGGGATAACAGTACGGCCGAGCCGAGGCGTCGGGTGAGGAGGGGGGCCGAAGCCGACATTTGGACTTCTTCGATTCTCCACCATTACGTAGCTGCGGCCTCGCTCCTAGTTGGTGCTCGAATCACGACCGGCCTAGCTTGAATGGGATCAGATGCGAACCGGACCGCCGACTCCGCGAACTGCCATGTGAAAGGACAGCCTATTTTATCGTCCTAGACATTAGCGCTCCCGCTTCGTTGGGCCGAGCCAGCAGCTAGGTATTAGACGCCCGAAATCGAAATCGCTCGCCACCGGAAATCCTGCTTCGAGCTCAACCATCTGCGTACCTCTGGCTGGGCGAGCTGCGAAAATGGCGGCGCCGCTCGCCCCTCCCACCTCCCACCACGTTTCCTTGCTGACCATGCCGCTGGAGATCCGCCAGGGGGTCTACGGGTTCTGCATCCCGCAGCACCTGCTGTTCACATACTCCACTCAGATGTACTATGAGAACCGCCACAAAGGATGAAAAGTACCGCTGCGGTATCTCGAGAGGACACTCGGCCACCGCGCCGCCGAGGGCGTCGTCTTTCGCTCCAGAAAGAATAGATCCCCCGCGGGCAGCTGGCATTGGGACAGCGATGACGATTCCGAGGCTGATAGAGCCGATGACGGCGACGACGGGGAGGGCGGGTACACGCCTTCGGGCCTCGACGACTACGTGGACGGCGCCAAGCGATATCGCCCCAGGGTTCCGCAGTCGAGTCGGACCGCCCTGCCCGGGCTCCTCCTCGTGTGCCGCCAGATCACAGACGAGGTGACGCGCATGATGTACGGCGGCAACACGTTCGCCGTCCTGCTCCACGGCGATGGCCAGTCCGAGCTGGGCCAGTACTTCGGCCCCGAGACGCGCGAGAAGATGCGCAAGATGATCCTGCACCTGCGGCCCACCGGCGTCTCCTACCACCCCAAGTTCCGCATGGACCCCGAGATCTGGGACCCCGTCCTCGCCAACCTGTCCGTCGTCGGGCTCATCGCCGAGCAGCCCGAGGGCGAGGACCAGTTCGAGAAGTGGAGGATGTGGCTGACGCCCATCTCCGAGTACCTCGGCCGCGCGCTGCCCGCCTCGGCGCGCATCGTCGTCGACGCGGACGGGAAGGAGGGCGCCGCCCACGTCCTAGAGAGCGTCGTGCCGGGGTGCTGTCGCTTCCAGCGCCTGCGCGCGGCCGACCGCGTATTCGAGCGGGGCGAGTTCACCACTAGTTACTGGGGCGGTTATGATATGATTAGCTGTAGGGACATCAAATCCGATGGGGAGTATGACGATTATTATTCTGACTGGGATGCGTGAATCGGCCACCTTCTTCGAGCTATGGACGTACTAAACCGGATGGCCGGAACAAGGGACCGGACCGCTCCTTATGCCTAGGCACTCCTTACGCCTACGCCTTCTCCCAGGGATCAGAAGCTGCTAGGGGTATTTTATTAATAGAGAGATCATCGACGTGCAACCCGCAAAAGCGTCGGCGTTTTCTTGTCTTTTCTTTTCTAGGTCGTGAACAGCATTGTTTTATTCGTCATCACACCCAACGCTGGGCATGCACATACGGAGTCGTCTGGGAAAAAACGATTCTTTTGATAGGTGAACCCTGAAGTAGAAAGGGTGTAGTTGGTACGTACGATATATTCAATTAAGCAGTCGTAGGTTCGCCCCTTCTCCGTCCCCTTCCCCTTATCGTTCGGACGTAACCTGCCTTATCGATTGGTACGTACCCTTCTTATCGGGAGGTACGTACTCATTCGCCGTAACCTCTCCTAGATCAGTAGGTTACTTAACGAGGGATAGGTTCGATTCCTAACAGCGCTACTTAGTAGTCTTCGCTACTTAGCTCATCTCTCCTGCCTTCGGTTGTAACTACCTTCAGTCGCAACTACCTTTGATTGTTATCTATCTTCAATTACAACTACCTACCTTCATGCTAACGGACGAGAATGAGACTTATAGTTAAATATGAAAATTATTATAGCTATAGTATTGCGCTACCGGTAATATGCATTAAAAATAGGTACCCCATTTTATTGGGGCGTAAATCTCGACATTAAAAGCGGGGAATCCCACCCCAAAATGGAGTAGCAGAATACATAGTACTGGGACGAAGGTATTCTCGAAGAAAAAAACATCGACGCCCCTTCATCCACACAAACGAGCGGTAAACGGGAGACCTTAGTTTGGCCTGCCCAAAATACATAATAAGCCCAGGAACTGATTTGTTGCTGTTTGGTGATGTCGGGTTCGCCACCTCCCTACTCCAAATAATGCCTTGATTGGACGCCGATCTCAGCCTTGAAACCCCGCGCACGGAGACGGATCGAACAGTGGCTTGCGCCGGGCAGCATCTGCGGGAGCCAGTCGGCCATTGGGGCGTCGTATCCGGCGTGGGAATTTGAAAGTTATGAATATCGGTCCACGAGCTATCCCTCGCCTCGGTACTGGAAATCTGCGGATTTTGCACCGCTTTTCGGTAATGTTCTTGCCATGAACGTCGTCCGCTGGCTAATAATAGGGGGCTAGATCACCGCTCTCAGATGCAGGTGGGGTGGTGTAATTCCTCCCCCAGGAACCCGGCCCTTCGCCGCTGGGACCCCCTTGTGGTCCAAAAGGAGATTTGTCCCTTCGGCTGAGCAGCGAGCTATCGTGGAGCTCTCTCGCGTGCAGAATGTCGTCGTCTCGGCAACACCCGGCTCTGGGAAGACGGCTACAGCGGAGGCCATCGCTCGTGCGAACCCAGGTCTGGCCTCGGTGATCCTCACCTATTCGAAGCGTTTGCAATATGAGACCGCTCGTCGTGTCGATGACTATGACATGTGCGATGTTTACACCTTCCACGGAATGGCTGGAAGGCTCTTCGGCACCGTAGTTTACAGAGACGCCAAGCTACAGGCCCTCCGAAGAGAAGGCGAAAGACCGACTTGGAGGGGTATGCCCTACGATATAGTGATTTTAGACGAACTGCAAGACTGCACCGAAAGCCTTTACTGGCTAACGCGCACTTTTCTCTTGTCGGTAACGCACGCTGCAGGAGGACGTCCCCCCCGAATTGTCGCTCTCGGAGACGAACGGCAAGCTCTTTACGATTTCCGGGGGGCCGATGCCCGTTATCTTACCCTCTCGCCGACGATATTTTCGGACCTGTCGCCTTACGAATGGACGCATCTGCCTCTGAGTAAGAGCTTCCGACTCTCTCACGAGAACACGCGCTTTGTCGAGGAAGTCTTCCTTAACGGCGAGAACCACATGACCGGTTCGCATAACGGGCCAAAACCTCTCTATATTCACGAGGATGTTTTCAACATCGGAGCACTTGCTAAGAAGCTGGTGCCGCTCATCCAAAAGTATGGACCCGAACGGACGGCCATTCTTGCGCCTTCTATTCGTAAAAATACTCCCGTCGCCCAATTCACCAACTTTCTCTCCGGGCGTTGTGATATACCGGTTGCGGTCTCAACATCAGGGGATATATCGCTAGACCCGGATGTCACTAACAACAAGGTTTGCGTATCCACGTACCACCAATTCAAGGGGAACGAGCGGGATCTCGTCATCGTATATGGGATAGATGATTCCTATTTCAAATACTATGCGAGGGACTTCCCAGCCGACAGATGCTCGAACGCGACCTACGTTGCTATTACCCGTGCTGTGAAACAGCTTGTCGTTATGCATGATCACAATTGTCGCCCCATGCCATTTATACGACTCCCCCAGCTCGAAAGCGTGGCCGAGCTTGTTTCGACCAAAGAAATGCAACCACAGCGCCTCCCCGGTGAGCCCCCCCAGCCGGGATTACGACTTGTCCCGGAGGTCTGGGCCGCCGAGATGGCGCGCTACGTTTGCGAAGAGCTCCTTGAGGAAATAATCCATACCTACGTCGAAATCCGACAGGTCTCGCCCCCGTTGCCAGCGGACCAGCACATACGCGCGCCAGACAAGGTTCTGACGGACCGGGTTAAGATGATGTACGAGCCGGTGAGCGACCTCAATGGGATAGCCGTGGTGGCAGCCTTCCGATCCGCTCTGCGGCGCAATATTTTGGGGCCCGGAGGCAATAAGAGCAACACGGTCTGGGTCGGGCCGACCGAGGCGGTGCATTTCTGCCGCGCGGCGTGCGAGCAAGACGCGCGGGATTCGGGGTACCACTCCCGGCTCGTGCAGATGCGAGGGCACCCCTTCGACTGGCTCAACGAGCACCTCGACCCGGCGGTGCGGCGGCTCGGGGAGCAGCTCCACGCCGACGGCGCGTCCGAGAACATCGAATTCGAGACCCCCCTCATCAATGACAAATTCCGCGTCCCCGGGGGCGGCGACACTAAGGGCAAGGCCCAGGTCACAAAGCTCAGCGGCAGCATCGACATCGTTGTGTACCCGCGCGGCGCCGCGGATGTCCAGCAGCAGGAGCAGGAGCAGGAGCAGGAGCAGACCGGGAAGAGGGTGAGAAAGAAGAAGAAGGAGCGGCAGCAGAAGAAGGCCGCCCGGGAGAGGGCCGCCCACGCGGCGCTCTGGGAGATCAAGTTCGTGGCGCAGCTGTCGCCCGAGCACGTGGTGCAGGCGTGCGCGTACGCGTACCTGTGGGCGGCGCAGCACAGGCTGCCGGCGCTGCCGCGGATGGTGCTGTTCAACGTGCGCGACGGCGAGAAGCGGGAGATCACGGTGCCGGCGGCCGGCGGCCACGGGAGCATCGCGAGGGCCGAGGCCTTCCTGCGCGACGTGCTGCGCGCCAAGTACACCACCGCGGACAAGTACTCGACCGACGAGTTCCTCGCCGCCTGCCGCCGCGTCCGCGACGAGGTCGCCGCCATGTGGTGAGCGCGGCCTGCCTGCCTTCCTCCCCCCTCCCCCCCCCTCTTTCTCCCCCTGCGAGCCAAGGCTCTCCGCGCCAGGGCGGGCGGGCGGGAAAAGCACGGCCGACGCGACGACGCGCCGCCGCTCCCCCGCCCCTTATACCAATAGAGTAATAACCTAGCTACCTGGCGAGCCAGCCGCACTGCATGTGCTCGCTGCGCGCCCCCTGTACCATAGCGGAGGACCCGTCGCGGCTCGCAGAAGAGCCCGCTGTCCCCAACATACCTAACTCCCCAAGCTCTGAGGTTTTTCTCTGGTGCCCGATCGTCGACGTAGAAACAGTCCTAATCGCGGTAAGAAGGGTATTACTGCGTAGCGCCTCGACGCATTACGCGTGTGCCTACCTACCTACCTACCTACCTACCTCTTACGCAGCGCGGAGGAGCCTGGGACTCAGTCGAGACAGAGGGCCGAGTACCTCCGCAGCGTTCTACGGGTTAGATATCATGCGTGCGTCCCGTCCCCGTGGTAGGGATGCGGGAGCACGTTGCCTAGCACGTAAGCGAGGAGGTAGAAGAGGCAGAGACATCAGGACTCCGTACGCACCTCCGAAGCAGTCAACACATCTCAGGTCTAGCATTTGTCCCCCCATCTATCTTGTCAGAATCGTCAATTTCTATGTAACAAGTACGAAAACGCCGAGGCGCGCGCGCCGCGGAACGGGCAGTCGAGTTCGCCGATACCCTGCGGCAACGCGTGCGAATCAACCAGAAAGCAAATCCCCGCGTGGCCCCTCCGACCGCCGAGGCAACAAACGTGCACTCCCTAAACGCCAGCCGTGAGGCTACATCATCTTATAGTCCCTTCTATGTAGGGTGTGTGTCTTCCAGATTTCCCCTCAGCCTTGGATTTTTTTTTTCTTTTTTCTTTTTTCTTTTCGCCCCCTCCTCCTTTCCATGTATATCTCAGCCCCTCGAACTCCCGATATGCGCGTAGAGGGTAGCCGTAATAGGACACGTGCGGACGTGAACCGGACCAGACCAGACGCCTTGCCTGAGATGCGATGCGAGGCTAATGTTGCGAGGGGAAAACAGAATGAAACATATATGCGGGATGCGATGTGCGAAACAAAGGCCGGATGCCCTGAAATCAACCTGAACGCCGACAATGTCTGATGATTCCTGACCTGTGCCGTAATAGGCCTCATCATGTAACATAACGTAACGTGACAGTAACAGTAACAGAGACAGTAACAGTAACAGTAGTAATAGAGTAACCCCGAGAAGTCGCGACGGGACCCTGCCAGGCTGAGGGGGCGGGGGCCAATCCTGCTCTTATTTCGGAGCTAATCTTTAATGTACTTTCCTTTGCCACAGGGCAACCGTAAATTTCGGGCGATAAAGACGGGATAATGTTCGCACTGGCATTTGCATCATTATTATCGACATCTCCTCCTCCTCCTCCTCTTTCCGATGGCGGCACTGCCTGCTCTTTCATCCCCGTGTCCGCATCTCAGTAGCGCAAATCGATTTCTGACTAGCGGCCGAGCCGAGCATGAGCTCGTCGAACACCAATCCTAGCTTCCTCTAGGCGCCTACGCTTTCGCGGTCCGTCGCTTAGGCTCTCTGGCTCGCGACCCTCGTAGAAGCTCGAATCGAGAGCCGGATGGAAATCCTCTCGGGGGCGCTTTGGCGAAGGCACCTTGGCGACATTCTGGTGGGGTCCATCTTCTTTGTCGCGAGGCTGCGGAGAGGGGGTCTCGCTGAGCTGCCTTGTCTGCCTAGGCAAGGTAGCCGCCCTGTCGGTATCATCAGAATCGACATCGTCGAATGTCTGTATTGTGTTTTCGTCAAAGTCCCCGACGACGCTCTTGCCCAAAGCCAGACCCAACCTTTCCTTCAGGCCCAGGAGGGGCCATATAGGAACTTGGACGTATTCGATCGTCGTCTGGGTACTGCCTTGTGGTGCCTTACCCGGCTCGTTGAACATTTCGAGCAGTGTCTTTGACACGGTGGCCTTGTAGATGACGAAACAGGTGTCGTCGTCTGAAATAGTCATGACGCTGACTGGGATATCACTCAGTACGAGTCCGACGTTACTTGCGCCTGTCGCCTTCAGCTTGGCCGTCTCCGCGTCGACACGCTGCTGAGCCATGGCAATCATAATGGCGACGAGGTAGGCATCTTCAAAAGGGTCAGCCGGCTCCCGTTTTCTGGCGTGAAGCTCGTTCAGTCTGATAACCGGCGTGTTGCGACGCTTTGGGTCTGGATGTTGCGGGACGTGGAGAGCATTTTGTCGCACCTTGGAAAGGAAGGTGAGGTTGATATATGCCAGCACCGGCGCAGAGAAGACCGCCTTGGTCTTACCAACTGTTTGTCGGAGCACGTCCTGGTCTGACGAGAGAGCTAAGGCAAGATCGCAAATGACGGCCTTGGGATAAGAACGCGCGCCAAAATGCAGGGGCCATTCGGACGATACCGCGGTGAAACGAGTCGGGTAGAACGTTCTCAAAATCTGCGTCATCCATTGAGGCTTTAAGAGATGATTGGTGTCGTATAGTAAGCAGTTGAGGGTCTGGCTGATGCGGATGGCCGCTTGCGGCGTCTTAGATTGCAGCGGGGCACCGCCCGACGGTGAGGGAACGGGCAACGTCTGAGGGGGCAGCTGCAAAAATCGAAAGCCGAGCAGCTCGGTATGAAGGTCAACCCAAAATAGGGGGTCGACGTGCAACGCACGGCCGCCATGGCGGCGAAGGATGGCATAGATAGAGCCGACCTGCGGACTCTTCGCCCTTCGGCACGGACGCTTGGGCTTCCTGTTATCCTGGTCTGCCGGGTCTTCCGACGCTAGTCTCTTAGACATGGCGGCGATTGTACGGTGGATGAATTTCTGTCTGCGAAAGTGGTGCACGGTTAGCGGGGGATTGGACAGGAAATGGAAAAACGCGCTCTAGATATATGCACGCGAAGAAATTGAGAGAGGAAAGGTGGGCGGCCGGCGGGAGTGGGGCGGAGGAAGACAAGGAGATAAAAAAGGCATTCAGGGGAGGAGGAGAAAGAGATAAAGGAGGGCGTCGAGGAGAAGAAGAGGAGGAGATAAAGAAAGGCGTCGGGGGAAAGAAGAGGAGATAAAAGAAAGGCCTCAAGGAAAAGAAGACGGGAAGATAAAGAAAGGAGAGGAGGGGAGAGTGAGTAAGCAACCTACAGTTTGGTCAAGTCATATGGGACAAACCTTGATACGAAAGGCTGTGACTTGCGTGTGAGTCGCATGCGTATCACCAAGTTGCTGGACGAGAGGAAAAGCGCGATAACGAAGGGGTGACGTAGTTGACGATTGATTTTGATAGCGAGCGGTGCTCAAATGGGATGCCGAGATACGACTGTAGAGATGCCGGAGCGACAGGGATGCAGATTCGGTAGTAGACGGGGGGGGGGGGCTGCTCGTAAGAGTTGGGTTTGTGCGAGTGTCAAAGCGTGGGCGGGACGACGGAGAGTAGATGTCCGCGGGCAGCAGGGTCAGACTGAGGGAGTGTGTGATAGGGCGGATACGTGGAGTGATGCGACGACAATGGTGAGAGAGGGAGGGAGGCGGCGGCGGTTGAAGATGAGAGTTGGGTGGGAGAAGGGGGAGATGCGACGCGCTGCGGACGGCGGCAATTTAGCAGATCGTGGACAGCAGTACGTGGGTAGCTCCGGCCGAATCAACCCGGAGCGCTTGCCACGAAAGACGCGAATTCAGGTGACCTCGTGTGCTACCCGATCAGGACTAGCGCCAGGCCGCCGCCAACCACTCCCGGGTCGGGGCCAATCAGGCGGCCGCGCGAGTGGCTGCCGCGTCAGGATCAGGAAGGGGCCGCCAAGACTCGACATCGGCCGCCAGTGGCTGCTTCCTGCGTATCATCGGCTTGGGTGTTGCCATGTCATCGTTTGCTATTTTAGACGAGTCACCAAGTATCCATGTACCTGCAAGGTCTTCAGATGTATCTCCGTACTTGCTTGATGTTGTTTGGCTGTTGATCAGGTGGTTTCTGTGGATGCCTAAGGTGCCAACGTACCTAGGTACCTAGGCACTAATGCAGGCAGGCACTTTCCCCCACGCCGGTGTTTACCCGAAGCCTCCCTTAGGTAATCGAGTCGCGAGACGTCATCTTTGTTAGCACCACCCAACCGTCTGCCTTAGGTAATCCTCCCAAGCCCAGTCAAGCCCATCCTCACCTCGAGCCTCTCCTGACGAGCCCCTCCGATTGAAAAGCTCCACGAATCGGTAGCCAACCTCCATAGCTGCCAGCTACATACCGACATCCTTACCTGCGTCCGACCTCACCTCCCTCGCACGCTCCCCGCCGCCGCCGTCGTGCTGTCGAGAGCTCATCACCGACTTTTCTCTGGGTGCACCAACTGCAACTCGACAAGATGCCGGTACGCACGCACGCCCCGAACACAAAGCCCGTCCCCGTCTCCCCCCCCCCCCTTTCTTTTACTCGGCTGCCTTGAGATCCAAGACCAACGCATAGATCGATCCCTCGACCCCCCTTCCACCCAATACATTTTCCCTCATTCTCTTCCTTTCTCCCCCCGTTTCCACGCCCCCCTCCCGCGATCCAGTTCGCGGCTTTCCGCCGGCAGAATCCGTCCGTAGTACGTTCGCTCGCTGACCGCCGGTTGCCTTTGTGTGGGGGGGCACGCGGCTCGCTAGGCCTACAACTCGATGTTCAACGGGGACCCGAACGTGCCGCGGCTGGTGGGCAACGTGCCGCTGCTGCCGCTGCGGACGAAGACGCGGGGCCCGGCGTACGCGCTGCCGCCGCTGCCGGCCGGCGCGCCCGCCGCCGAGTCGCCCGACCCGGACGCCGAGAGCTACGACATCCTCGACGAGGTCCTCGCCCTCTTCCGCGCCAACACCCTCTTCCGCAACTTCGAGATCCAGGGCCACGCCGACCGCCTCCTCGTCTACGGCATCCTCTTCGTCAGCGAGTGCCTCGCCAAGATCCGCCCCGCCCACTCCCTCCGCGACGCCACCAAGGAGGTCCTCAACACCGCCCTCGACCTCAACTTCGCCATCCCCGGCGACCCCGCCTTCCCCCTCAACCAGGTCCGTCGCCTTCGTTAGCTGCCCCCTCTCTGCGGTAGGCTCACACGCTAACCCCCCGCCGCGGCCGCAGATCTACGAGCCGCCGCGCGACCGCCAGGACGCGGAGCTGCTGCGGCAGTACCTGTCGCAGGTGCGGCAGGAGCTGGCGACGCGGCTGCTGGCGCGCGTCTACGACGAGGAGGGCGGCGACGGCAAGCCGAGCAAGTGGTGGCTGAGCTTCACGAAGCGGAAGTTCATGGGCAAGTCGCTGTGAGGCGGGTGTGCCACGACCGGAGGGAGACTTCGACGCCGGGGAGACGAGAGAGTACCCGTACCGTTACCGACCTGACCCTACCATGTGTAAAAAAAAAAAAAGGGGAACTGCCTGCTTGTCCTATACAATCTACGTGCAGCCGTAAGCGGTGAAGAGGCTAGGGGAGGAGAGGGAGGGGGGGGATGCAAGGGGAGAAAGGGAGTAAGATCTAGCGAGACAGACGTATTTTAGAAAAGGCATGCATATATGCAGATAAGTGTGGAGAGACGACGGCGTGGTAGGAGAATGGAACGTATTTCAAGACTAGGGGGGTAGGGGGGGGGTATATAATACAGGCGTCTATCCACGGCCCGCCTAGACCCAAGATTCAAGCCTGGCCTGGGAGGCTATTTTCTTCGACTTTACGTGCCCGGGCCATATCCTCGTACTCGTACTCTCACGAGTACGGTGCCCTCTGTCATCGCTTTCGTGCTTGTCCTAAAGTGTATGCTTATGCTCGTGCTCGTGCTTATACTTATACCCGTCCCCTCCCGTCCTCGGCCTCACCCCGCCTCCTCGGCCTTCGCCTCCGCCGCCGCCGCCTTCTTCTTCTTCCTCGCGCGCCCGTTGCCCCGGGCCTCGACCTTGCCCTCGGCCGGCCGCACCCGCCACCCGGTGAACACGTAGCCCTCGGCGCCGCCGCGGCTCGTCATCAGCGGGTGCGTGCGGCCGGGCAGGACCTGCCAGCGGCGGGCGCGGCTCGTCTGGACGGACGCGCCGAGGACGAGCGCCGGGTTGAGCGGGAACGCGTCGGAGCCGGGCCAGGCCTCGTCATCGCCGTCGCCGTCGTCGTCGTCTTCGTCGTCTTCCGCGTCCTTCCGGGCGGCCGCGGCCCCCGCGGCCCACGCCGCGCGCCGCGCCGTGCTGTAGCAGTCGGCGAGCGCGGCCAGCGGCTCGACCGACGGCGAGTAGACGGCGATGGGGGCGCCGCCGGCCAGCAGCGGGACCGTGTGCCGCAGCACGGAGACGGGGTCCATGGCGGTGGCGACGACGAGCCCGGCGAAGCCGCCGGCGCGCGCGGCGTCGGCGACGTGCCGCACGCGCGCCCACCGCCGCCGCTTGCGGTGGTAGGTGCCGCGGCGGTTCGGCTTCCAGGCGCGCAGCAGCTCGGGCGTGGCCGTCGGCGGGTCGGCCGCGTACGTGCTGTCGGCCGCCGGGTCGACCAGCTGCAGCCACGACAGCGTCATCAGGTGCGAGGCCAGCGGGTGCTCCGGCGTCTGCGACGCGTTCGTAACGTCGAAGTCGAAGTGCCGCAGGAAGCTGAGGTTCGGCTGCGAGTTCGCGTGCACGACCGTGATCGTGTTGGTGCGCGCGTACGGCACCTGGAGGTCGCTCGGCCGCGGCTTCTTGCCGGGCAGGGCCGGCTTCGGTTTGGCCGCGTCTTCCTGGGCCTCGGCTGCGGGCGCGTCCATGTCGATGTCGCCAGCAGCGTCGCCGGCGACTGACAAAGGGTTGCCGGTGGCTGTCGTAGCCTCCGCTGGGGCTGCGCTGTCTTTGCGATGCGCAGGCATTGGTGCGGGCTCTTTCGGGTCTTCTGGTAGGGGTTTCTCGGGGGGATAGAGTATACCCATCCGCTCAGCCATGGCTGCTACCAAAAGACCGCCTGTGTCATCCACAATCAGCCAGCGGCCGGGGGCAGGCTCAACTTCCTTTTGTTCATGGCCTTCAGGGTCTGGGGCGCCTTCGCTCTCGGGTCGGTCCTCTCCACCAAAGTGAACATTCGCCCAGCATCCTAGCAGCGCAGTCATCTCCTCACGCATATCCATGACCTTGTTCGCGTCCTTCTCTTCCACCTGCCAGTGATTCAGCATGGGTACGTCTAGAGGCAGCACGCAGACGCGTCGAATGTACTTCTTGGTCTTGAGCAGCTTGTACTTGGCTAAGGAATACTGGGTCTTCTGGTTGATGGCGGTGTGCGATAGCATCAGCTTCGCTATAAGGTCCTTGCCGGCATCCGTGCCATCTTTCTTGAGGGCCTCGATTTCCTCCATGCTTAGGGCCTGGCGCGCCGAGGCGTCGAGCTCCGCGCGGTTCGTCCTGGCCACCACGGCACCGGATTCGGGATCGACCAGAGAGTATTCGATGCCAGTAGAGGGCACATTGTCGGCATCTTCGCCATCATTGGTTGCTGGGGTTTCCACACCCTCAGCAGAAGTCGAGGAGGTATCCGACGAGAGGATATCGCTGTACAACTCCGAAGCGGGTACGATACGGAGGCGGTTGAAGCTCTCGCCGGGCTTCCTGTCTTCCAGTTCGTAGGTAAGGTGGTAGGGTCGATGGATGATGAGATTACTGGGAAACGATCCGTACTTGCCCAGGGAGATGGTTCTGGGGAGTGAGGGCGCGTCGTCAGTGCCACTCTAGAGCGTGTTGCAGTAGGACAGGAGTGAATGAAGGGGCTGCTAAAGATGGGATAGCATACGTGTTCGGGGTCACCTGGAGCACTCGGAGGTTCCCCGAGGGCAGCTTGAGGACGACCCAAGCGTGGGGCTGGACCAGCGAGTGCATCCTTCTGTCTGCCTAAAATAGGGGGCTCTCAAGGCGATTGGGTTCAGTTCCTGCTCTCTCACTGCCGCCGGCTGTGAGCGAAGTATAAGCCGATGCGGTGCTAGTCGGGTTCACGACATGATGGGAAAATGGGAGGGGAAAAAGGGAGAAAAAATACGATGACGAAGGGTACCTTGCAGATTTGGAGATTTGGGGGCATTGGATAACCCCACCATTCCCCAGGTCCACTTCTCGCCCGCCTAGGAGGTACCTATGTACTTCCAAGGCTACGTCGACGCCGTACAGGATGAGGGGAGCCGCGTGGGCGGCACCATAGATGATGCATGGGTACCGACACCGTAGAGATGTTAAATACCTCGGGCACCTTGGATATTTGCAGTGTGGAAATGGTTGGCGTTGTGACGAGTACGACACCGTTGATGACAGGACCGAGACAGCGGCAGTGTGCTGGATCATGTACCTGTCTGATGGGAGTAGGTACCTGCCTCGATGTAGGTACGCTTATAGGTACCTACTTAGGTAAAGTGAGTACCTACCTACTCTACCCGGAGACACCAGTTCGTCAATGTCATACAAATAAGGCCAGTAGGTATTACGAGGAACCGAAGAGTTGAGATGCAGACAGGTAGGTCACTTGAATACCTACGTCGATATCTACCTACTCAACGTCCCAGAATACGTTCCACGTATAAACCGGAACTCGATATAATTATCTGTCACTCCAACTTGCGACAGTCTCAGGTACCAGCGTCGCATCGTAGCGGCGGGCATCCTAAGCGATGCTGTATGATGCCCAATGCGAGAACACATTACCATTTCCATTAAGTAATCTGCCTAGGTAGTTACTCTCGAGGTGAAACCCGGGTTTCGTGGATATCAACTATGAAGCACTACGACACCCTCCCATCCGCATCTCCAAACGCAACCTCCCTGCGGAACGCCAACTATGATGTGGGTATGTTGAAACAAAACAAAAGGAAATGAGGACGAGTGCGGGGAGGAACCGAGAAAGCGACGGGGGACGGGAGAAGAGAGAGCCCGGAAAAAACAGAGAAGCAGCGTAAGACAATATGCGGTCTATATGTGCGTGGTCCGACAAAGGAAACCCCAGCCGTGGTTTTCTTCCCTCCATAGCGATGGACAGACAGGACACATTAAAGCATTTGGCGAAATGACATTAGAACCCGAAGAGAGTAGAGGACCGCGGTCGGAACGTGGAAAGACAAAAACAGGCGCGAGAGAAATACGGAGGCGAAGACAGACAGACAGACGGCTAAAGCCTACTTGGACTCACCGGCCTTGCCGTTCGTGAACTGCCCGTGCCGCGCCACTTCGTTGCCGTGGTTCGGCAGCCGCCCGAACTGCCACTCGGGCAGCGTGATGCCGGTCTGGTCGTGGATCGTCGACATCAGGGGCGGGAGGAGCTGGTACACCTGCGGAGCCCTCGCGTTAGCACACATGTAGACACACCTATACGAAGGAAAGGTCAGAGAGGCAAACTCACATTCCTCAGCGAGGCGGCGGGGTCGGCGGCGGCCCCCGAGGCGGCCCCGGCGCCGCCCTCGGCCGCGCCCGTGTTCCAGACGCTGATCTTGGGCTGCATGCCGTGGACGGCGGCGGCGTTGGCCTTGGCGAGCTCGACGTAGGTGCCCTTCTCGATCATCATGTACTGGAGGAGGCCGGCGGGGCCGCCGAAGGCGTGGCTCATCTTGGCGTAGGCCTCGGCCATGGCGGTGAGGCCCTCGGCCTCGCGCAGCTTCTTCTGCAGGTTGGCCTCGGCGTTCTTGACCGCCGCGTGGCTCCAGGCGTCGGCGTCGGCGCGCGTCTTGTACGCGGCCGCGTCCGTGCTCTTGGTCGTGCGGTTGTAGTCGGCCGCCGCCTGCGTCTCCGCCTCGACCCGCGTCTTGTACGCGCTCGCGTCCGTCGCCTTGGCCGACTTCTCGAAGTTCGCCCGCGCCTCCGCCTGCACCTCGTACGCCCGCGCGTCCGCCGCCTGCTGCTTCGACTCCCGCGCGATCGCCGCCTTCACCACGTCCACCGCCCGCAGCCGCTCCAGCTCCGCCGCCGCCCGCTTCACCTCCACCTCCTTCTTCAGGTCCTCGTCCCGGGACTCCGTCGCCCGCGTCGCCTCGATCCGCGCGATCTCGACGTCCCGCGTCAGCACCGTCTTCTGCGTCGCCAGGTTCGCCTCCGCCGCCGCCCGCTCCACGTCGCGGTCCGTCTTCTGCACCGCCGTCTCTGCGTTGCTGTTGTCACGATCGTGTCAGCTTTTTTCCGGCAGCTAATTGCCCCCCGTGGTCTCTAGGCGCGGGGAAGCCGAAGGGAAGGGGTAAGGGTTTGTTCAGCTTACATCTTGGCGATAGACCGCTCCTGCTGACCGTGCCTCTCCGCCTCGCCGACGTTACCGCGGAGCTGCGCCTCGGCAACATCGATACGGGCTTGGTTGGTGGCGCCCTCGTGGGCCTTCTGGGAGAGCGACTGGAAGTAGGTGGAACCGGCAGCGTCCTTGAGCTCCTTAACGTTGGCGTTGTAGATCTTGAGGCCGAACTGGTCGAGCTCGCTCTGGATGTTGCGGAAGATGCGTCGCTTGAATTCCTCGCGCTCGGTGAAGATCTCCTCCATGGTCATGCTCGAGACGAGAACGCGGGTCTCGCCTTCGATGATGCCCTTGACGATGTTCTCGAGGTGCAGGGCGCTCTTGTTATCGGCGGTCGAGTCCGCCAGCAGCATCGCGTACTTCATCAGGGCGTCGCCCCGATCCTCGGAATGCACATCCTCGGAGGCGCGAACACCCCCTTGCGGAGCTTCCCCGGCCTTTTGCCTCTTGGCATTGGCTCCTCGGCTGTTTACATCCCTGTCAGTAGGTTAATATCTGGTATCCCAATCGCGCGGCCTGGGCCGGCGAGGGGAGGAGGGCGTACGGGCCAACTGTGAATACGACAGGCAGGAGGAATTGCAGCTTCTCCTTTGTCATCGCTGTACGCATAGGTTAGTCGGCGGGGGGGGTCCTAGAATCGAAGGAGGGGGGGAAATTTCGGTACCCTGTAAGTTCATAGCATAGTCGTGCGGTTGGACGGAAAAGCGCGTGCACTTCTGGAAGGGCCAGATCCACGCGGCCTTGGTGATAAGAACATTCTTGATGTTCATGCCAGTAACGGCAAGGTACTCATCGGGGGCGGCAATCTTGTAGGACATCTTGACGGTTTTCGGTTGCCGGGCGTCGAAGCTTTGTGACCGGGTAAAAGGGAACACGGGCGCGTGTGTGAACTACGCTCTCCTGGGTTGTCGAGTGACAATAGTTGACTCGGAGAGCAGATTGTGTGTGAAACAGCTATGTAGAAAGGTAGGAACTTCTACGGAATCGGTGTCTAACAAGAATGAACTAGAAAGAGAGAGGAGGGAGAAGGGGGGGGGGGGGGATGCCAGCTTTTAAGTACGAAGGAGGTAGAGAGTAGCAAGCGAACGAGTTGGGTGGGCCGAGAGAGACAGGGAGATAGAGTGGGGCTTAGAGAGGCTGAATTGTTTCCGAGTTTATTGAGTTGACGAGGGGAGTCCCACCAGAGTTTCGTCGGTGACGTTAGGAGGACTAGGCCGGGGCAGAATCGGGAAGCCAACCTAGCCAAGATTCTTGGAGCTGCGGTAGAGAAAGAGGGGGGAGGGAGTACACACAGAGGGATATCAGGTTGTCTGTTCGTGTTGACGAATGCCAATAATGCTTACCTACCACTATTACCCCTACGCGAAGTATTTCTCTAAAGGGCGCCACCCGAGGGACGGAGCCGTGACTGGGTTATCGGCTTGGCACAGGGCCGAGTAGCACGGAAACGGGGAGAAAAAGCACAATACTTACCTCGACAACGCGTGGCGTATCACCCTCCGCAGCACGGCGCGCGTTGGGTATCACAATGGATCGATGGAACAGAGGGCGCCACTATGCCGCCTCACGTGTCATGGGAGCAGGGAGGATCCGGCGTGGCATGGAGATGACATGATGGACGAGCGGTCGGCTCTCCGCGCAGCAGGACGCGGTCCTAGACGTGAGCGCGGCAGACAGCCTTACCGGAACGACAATTGGCAGGCAAGAGACCTACATACCTATCACCACCTCTTGGCACCTGCGGCAATGGCACCCTCGCGATTCCTGCGATGGCTAGGTGGGAAGTTGAGCGAGGAAATTCCCCGGACGGAGCAAGGACGGGGACGGGGGTGGATGGATGGGATCGACGCCCAATGGATGGCAGAGGGATGGCAGAGGGATGGCAACCCCGCCTCCCCATACCAAGACAACCAAACACGTCTGACTTGCACGAGTTGACGGACTACCCGATGCAACCCAAGGCGGTAACGGATCGGGCGTGGCGGGTGGCTGAGCGTGAAATTGTCACCAGACTTACTGGTCTGTCGCTCGGACCGCTTAGGCGCGACAAGCTCGCTGCCCACTTCACTGGCCTTCTGGAATGCTTCTGTACCTCAGGTACAGCGGGCACCTAGACCACTCGCCCCCGGCGCCTATAGCAGGGTGGTTGGGTAATAGTTGGGTGGGTGTATGGATAGGTGTATATGTTATAGGGCCCCGGGTGCGGTTTGGCCCCCCGAAGGACCCGTCGGAGCGGTGCGAGCGGTCCACCAGGTCCCACGGGCCTACGCAGACGCTCAGGCGGAACAGTGCCTCATTCGCCCTCTCAGCTCGCCGGCGACAGCACGCCTTTCCTCGAACCCCTTTTTCAGAGAGGGCGTATTGACAAAGGCCCTGGTTGATCCCGCGAAAATGAAGATTGCCCACGTGTGGACATATCTGGTCTCTGGGGGGAGAGGAGTGGACGCCGCAACGGAACTTCCCTGTATATGTACCTACGTAGGTACGTCCTAGGTACCTAACCTCGTACGACATGGCAATGCACATGTAAGCATTCACATGACTCCCCAGAATCCAAGCCTCTTAAACAGCAGCGAGAATATCTCCTCATCGCTATCGACTCCGCCTTACTTATTTGTCCGTCCTTATATCTCGTATATTAATTACTAAGTTAGGCTACCTCTCTACGAGCTACCCCTCTACGAGCTACCTAAATTAAGTATTACCGAGTAATTATTACGTTAATAATTAAAGCTATTTATATTATTAAAATTAATTAAAACCCTTTAATTCCGGCGTTATAACCTCGATATAATTCTCCGCTTACGATGCCTCGTTTTTAGGCGTTCCTAGCGCCGTTTTAGCTTCTCTAGGTACCTTCTCGTCGCTTACCTCGTCCTTATATACTACCCTACCTTTTAACGACCTTTTTACCCGCCGTATATTCGTTATACGAACGAAGCGCTTCCTTAGCGCTACGTATACCTTCTTACGCGTTTTAATAATGGCCTTATCGTTTTTAATAGTTTTATATTAAAGCTAGGTTATAAGAATCGCGATCGTATTAACTTACCGGTCGAAGGTATCGTTAGTTTTCCGAATAAATAACCGCTACGATACTGTAGTGGTGCGGTGGATCTAGGCCACGTAGCCTTTTCGATGTGTATTTATATGGGTCGCGCACTTATATTTTCATTAGCTAGACTTAGACCTGTAGATATTATAGCCTATAACCATTTACTCGTTTCTTGCCATGCTTTTCTAGCCATCCTCGTCTTTGCCTTTCTAGTCTCCCTTTCCCAGCTACCGTTTTTAGCTAGCCGATTAACCGATTATAGCTATTTATAGCTATGATCTTAGTTAATCGGTACTAGGCTAGTTATTAGTAGTTAGGTAGTCCTTTTCGTACCTCCGTTAGCGTGCCTACGCTGCTCCTGTTTAGTAGCGACCACCTAGTAGCTCGTCCTTACCTTATCTTAGGAGTAACCTTTTGCGACCGTTTTTATAATTATCAGGTTTAAGATACGACGATTAGGAGATTCCCTGTTTTTCAGTTAATTAGGAGCTGTTTTCGTAGCTTCAGAGCCGTTTTCGTAGCTTTCGGATTAAGCCTTTTTAGGCTATAGCCTGAATTTTCAGGTGGCTAGATCAACAAGGAGGGCAAACAACCATAGCGACCATCAATAACCACGCCCTCCCATCAGCTTTTGATTAGCTTACCTAAAAGCTCGTTCGCCGATTAGTAGATCTATCTTATCTTCGTTTCTTAATTATCTCTTTTAAAGGAGCTATGCCCGTTTTTATCTAGTTTTCGCCTTCGTTTTTTACCAGTGCCTAGATAGCCGTTTTCTTAGTTGACCTAACCAAGTTACCGCCACTATCCCCTTTTTATAACATACGCTTAAAGGCATCCGTTCTTTACCGATCGATTTATTTTAATTATAAGAGGCCTGCTATCCGATCGCCCTTATTTTATCCCTTCTAGATAGTTACGGTACCTAGGGAGGTCTCTCCTTACCTCCCTAACCGATAGGTACTACGATGCCTTTAATTACTATACGAAGATACCGATAGACCTTATACCTACGCCATAAGCCTAATCGGGGACGTACCGATTAGGATTAAAGACCTATAAACGATACCGCGATACGAAATAGATACGATATTAAATAAGACAGCCTAGAAATAGCCATAGGAATAATAACGCCTAGAGACTCCTCTTGTCGCCTTTACCGATATATGGTTAGTAGGAAGAGCCTAGAGAGCCCCTAGAACTACGTATAGGGGAGGGATCGAGGGTTAAGGGAAGCCCGGTAGATGCTGCCGGACGAATATAAAAACGGTTACACGAGAATAGCTAGAAACGAATTAGAAACGGGTATGAATAGGATATATTAGTTAGTTTATAGGATTAGGATTAGTTAAAAGGATCGGCAAAAGACAGCTATGGACGAGAAGGACGGGATTACGTTACATTAGATTTTTCACGGGATTATTTCTTCGTTTCTCACGGGAGCTACGCTTATTTTACCTACCCGTTATAGTTTCTGTTTTCCGATTAATTCCTATTATTTCTTAGTAGCCCTAATGGACCTAGCTCGCTCTTAGTTAATTAGGGTTAATTAGGAATAGGTTAATTAGGTTAGTTTATAGGTTATAGCTCCGCTAGCCTAGTTATTCTTATTATTAGATCTTTCCTGTTTCCTATTGATCGTTAATTAAACTAGCTTAGCTCCTAGTTAGTAGCGATTAAATAGGTTCGGGATTGATTAGGTTTAGGATTAGGTTCAGGATTAGGTACGGTTATAGTTACCTACCCTACTACCTACTTGTTACTGTTATAATCGTTCCTAGTTGACCCTGTTTCTTCCTAACTTATCCTATTAGCCTTTGATTAAACTAGCTAGCTTTTAATTAATTAGGGTTAATCGGGATTAGGATTAGGTTAAATAGGAACGAGAGCTACCGTACCTATTACTATTAGGAGTTTAATTACTCCTTACGGATTAATTAAACTAGGGAGGCTGTAGTAGTACGGTGGATCTAAGCTACGTAGCCTTTTCGATGTATATTTATATAGGTCGCGTACTTATATTTTCATTAGCTAGACTTAGACCTATAGATATTATAGCCTATAGCCATTCACTCGTTTCTTGCTATGCCTTTCTAGCTATCCTCGTCTTTGCCTTTCTAGTCTCCCTTTTCCAGCTGCCGTTTTCAGCTGGCCGATTAACCGATTACAGCTGTTTATAGCTATGATCTTGGGTTGATCGGCACTGGGCCAGTTGTTAGCAGTTGGATAGCCCCTGTTTCGTGCCTCCGTCAGCGTGCCCACGCTGCTCCTGTTCAATACGGCTTTAGCCCTAGAACTAATAGAAATAAATCATTAAGTAGCGTTTCGTAATACTTAGCCGTTTAAGGATATATTAACGTATTTTAGAGCTAATAACGTTAGGAAATTAGGTATTTTCGGCCTTTCGATAGCTTCCGATACCTCCGACCGTTTCGGCCGAAATCTAGGAATATCCTTATCCTTTATAACTACGAATCTCGACGATAACGGCTTCTCGCGGTTTTTAGGATAAATCCTAAAGGTTTTTTAAGCTCTTTTAATAATTCGAGAAGTTATTATATCGACCTTAGCCTATCGGTATACCTTTAATATATCGATCTTAATAAGGTATAGGTTTAGATTCGTATTTTAACTCTTCCTAAGAAAGCTTTTAAGCCGTTTTTTTAATAACCCGAATATTCCGATATTTAAAACTTATACGACGTAACTATAGTAAGGCTAATAAAAGACGAGCTATATTTTATTTTAAAGATAACGCGTAAGAAAGGCGTCGTAGATATACGATTTATAGCCGTCGTAAATTAAAACGACTTATTTATTACCGAAACGGGCCCGAATATAAGGAATAAAGATACTTTCGAGTTAATTTAACGCGATATTATTATTAATTTATCCTTTAAGTAACGCTTAGAACCGTTAATCCTCTTAAAGATCGTAAGAATCGTTAGGAAATTATTAAGCCTAAACGTCGATACCTTTAAAAAGTACTAAGGAAGGAAAAGGCTTTCCGCCAAAGCTTATATACTTAAGAGTAATAATTTATTAACCTTTTTCGACGCTTTTCTTAAGTATTATATAAATATCGGCTTTAGAAATTATCTAATAGTTACCGGTAACGCCTTATGCGATACTTATTTCGTCGGCGTTAAAGAAATATTCGGAAGGGATGGTTAATAATTCAGAAGCTTTTAATCGGTCGAAAAAGAGGTTAATATTTACCGCCGTAGCGCCCTTAATCCGCTTATAATCGACGATCTTAGTCTTAGAAGCCTTAACCTCCGGGTTTCGATTTAAAAAACGGTAATGCTAGTACTTCCTTAGCTTTCTAGAACCGCCGTTAGCGTTTAATAAGCGGTCGGCTATAAGCCTAAATTAAATAAAGGCTAGCGCGAAACTTAACCTAGCTTACGAAATAATTTAACGAAATAATTTAGCTTTTAAGATCGGTAATAAAGCCTACCAATTCTTATTTAGCTTTTATTTCGTTAGTTTACTAGCGAGACGGCGCGCTAGGTAGGAACGAGAGACGCTATATCGAAGGGTAGCTTTTCGAATATTAATGCCGTATATAACCTCCCGAATAACGGCTTCCGTACGGATTTACGTTTCCTTTAAAGATATTATCTTAATTAGTAAGAAATTAGGAAGAGATTAATGGTAAAAGGAATTATTAAAGATTAAAACTAACCGAGAAATTATAGGTTATTTAAGTAAGGGCGTCGCGTTAAAAGGCGCGTTCGTAGGTCTTAACGCGGTAGTCCGTGAAGGGGTGGCTCGTGGAGGGGTGCCCTAGCTTAGTACCGTGCTATACGCCCGCATCCGTGCGATCCTTTGATTTGGCCTAGAACGAGAAGGCTGCGATCAGGGAACACGGGACTTGATTCCCACCATCACGCCCGTAAGCGACCTACCACTACGCGATCGATACGCTCGAGGCCACCCTGTCTGCCTCGGCCGATCAATCCGGAGGCGGGGAGGAGGTGGCGGCCTTGAAACTCTCGATCTATGAGTAGCTTCGTTACGGAGATTAGGAAGTCAGAATCTTCCGACGTGCTGGGTCTATGTCCAGAACCCCTGTCTTTTATTTCCCCCCTGTCTCGTTTCCTCCTTGAGAGCATCTCTAGTGCTGCCCAATGGACAAGGGAATTAACATGTATAGTGTCACGTAGCAATTGAATCGGCCCTTATAAACCTACATACGTAACAGCGTAGATGTAGGCGTCTACGTTTTACGCCACATAGGTACAGCTATTCCCAAACTAACTCGGGCGCGCTCAGGATGGCAGCAAGCCACGACGCCAATACGCTGTATACGACTAGAGGTACCTAGGTAATAAAGAGAGTGAGAGGGAGGCAGAAAGGGAGAGGGATAGCGTGGGCTTGGCAGGCACAGGCGACACCATAAGCGTCTCGCGCGACGGGAAAATATATACGCCTACGTACGCTCGCGCCGGCGGAGATAATACGTAGGACTCTCCTGTGCCCGTACCAATCGTCACATCCGTCGGCAGGTGACCCAGGAGGCGGATCGCGTTCCTCGCTCCCTCGCTTCTGCCATACCCCAAATCGGTCTCGGTCGATAGGGCTGGCGTCCATTGTGGCAGTGTTCGCAGCCCAACCCCCCACTATGGGCTTGGCGGGGGAGCGCCGGTTCGACATCACGATCATGATCAGGGATAGTATGAGTATAACTCTGTAACGGGTATTATACCTAGTAAGTTAGGCACCTATATGACTAGGGACGAGGTTGTCAGACAGAAACGGATCACCCCCCCGGTCCTCCGCGTGGTCACGTTCGACTCAGCCAGTAAGTCAAACCCGCAGACAGTCGTGCTTATCTTATAGCTAGCCCGTGTAAGTAACGGGTGCTGTTCTTCCTTAGCAATTCCAACTCAATGCCTACGCGATTCCTCCCCTCTTTTCCTTCTTTTTCTTGCTTCCTCTAGCAATTAATTATGCACGCCGTTAGAATCCCCAATCAAGCCCGAAACAGAACCATCAATCACGCCTGTCTGTCTTTTCCTCGCGCCGACAACCATTTCATACGTCTTCCTACTCGGGGTCCCGCAATTGCAACCAAATCATTCGAGCCTCCGTAACTCGACACCACCCTTGACCTCCCCGCAAACGCCGGGGCCAATGCCAATCACATCAGCCTCGACCTCCAATCGAGACGATCATTTCCTCACCACTGATCCCATTCGAGGGCTCTCCGACACTTGAAATAGGAAACCCCCCCCCCAAAGGAGGAACTCTCACATGATCCACCGCGTCCCGCACCGCAGCCGACCAACGACAAAATGGACAGCAAATTCCCGTTCGACGCGCCGCCGCCGGCCTACACCGCGACCGCCGACGCCGCCGTCGCCCCGCCGATCCCCGCCGAGGGGTCGCAGCTCGACCCGCTGACGTCGCACCTGCACGAGTACGTGGCGGCGCTGCCGGGGCGCATGCGCATGACGCAGGAGGCGTGGCGCGCGGCGCAGCGGTTCGGCGACGCCGCGGTGCTGGAGGGCGCGGTGCCGGCGGTCGCGGGGTTCCTGGCGGACGTGGGGGCGCAGCCGGGGCGCGCGCCGCCGCGCGCCACGCTGACCCTGGTGCCCGACGGCGCGGTGCCGCGCGCCGCCGTGCTCAGCAGCGCCGAGGACATGCGGCGGCGGGGCGAGCTGTGCCGGGTCGCGCGCGTCGCGGGGCCCGCGCGCGGGGGCGCCGGCGCGGCCACCAAGGAGAAGGCCGGCCGCGCGCGCGACCCCGACGGCGAGGACCCGAGCTGGGCGCCGGGCCGCGAGTTCAGCGACTGGGGGCGGTTCGGCGACGAGGACGGCAGCGCGGCCGGCGGCTCCGCCGACCCGGACGCCCTGCTCTGGTGGCGCGACGAGGACATGGCGCGCCGCCTCGCCGGCTACCTCCAGCCGCCGGCGGACCCAGACGACGACGACGACGACGACGCCGCCGCCGCGCCGGCCGTCGAGCTTAGCACCCCCGTCCGCGCCGCCGTCGAGGCCAGGATCCCCGCCAAGAAGGACAAGAAGAAGGCCTGGGGCTGGGGCCGCAGCCGCGGCAGCCAGACGCAGACGGAGGCACCGCTACCCGCTGCGACGCCAGCTGCCCCTCCAGCAGCGGGTAGCGAGAAGCGGCGGCGGCGCGGCACCGTGGTCACGGCGACCGCCGAGGAGGTTTCGTTTCGCCACGAAAACGCGTTCGGGCTGCTGGAGAGCTTGAGCGGGTGGGGGGTGGTCGTGACGGTGGAGGTCAAGATCTGAGGCCGTCGCTGATAGTTACGCGTATATCCCGCCCTAGGTAGCGTAGGTAGGAGAGGACTGGGTAGAGAGTGGCTTATGATACCCCTCAGGCACGGAAAGTATATCCCGGACGGAAAAGACAAATCCCATCTGCCAAGCGTTCGGGACCAATGGCAAGGAATAGCCCAGGGATGGTCGCAAAGGGGGGGAGGGGGGTTGTTCTCATGTACACCCTTTCGGTGATCCGTCTAGCCGATAATATCCGCCCACGAGTCCACCGCGTAGGGTCACTAATTGCTTATTTTAATCCAGCCTCCTTATATCGTACGTGAGCGCCTAAAACCATTGTGTTCCTGTCCATATCGTATAGTGAGACCGTTTCTCAATTAGGATTCTCTGTTACTATATAGGTGTGTTAGAGGCATATTGTAGTGGTGCGGCATTGCAGGGTTTCGTATACCTACGTATTTTCACTTCATAGCGCTATAGGCTACCAGCCAGACGTTCACTTCTTTATCACTATCCTTGTTGCCATGCATTCGTACGTGTCCATGTCGATACCTTCTTCCTAGAGCTTTCCTTCTCTTTTCTCCCAGCTGCCGTCTGCAGCTTGCTGATCACAGATACAGCTGTCGCGCATGCCGATGCAGCTGTCTGATGCTGTTGGTTGGCAGCTGGGTCAGCTGTTAGCAGCTGTGGCCGTGTTCATGTCCACCCTACCGACAGCGTGCTCACGCTATTCTTCTTCAGCACGTAGGTAAATAATTGTCCATTCAGTAGCCAGTCTTGTTCGTATGAAACCCAGGTATTGATGTAGGTAGATTACAGTAAAGGTTGTGCCTCGTCCGTCTTTTGGACCTAAGACAAGGCTCGCTGGGTTTAGCCAGAGTCCGCGGGTGGCTTGCATTCTGTGCCTACCCCCTAAGCAATCTACCTAGCTTGCGCCTGTAAACACCTAAGGTACCTATCCAGGTGTCGGTAAATATAGAGGCCCCAGGTACTCGCGTAACGTGGAGGGTCAATTGCGATTTGCGGCAAAGGCTCTACCTAAGCCCCTACCTACCATAGGAGGGAAACAGTTAACTAGGTTCCCCGGGGAGATCTGTAAGAGGTGAACATAGTCGAGGTGGTCACGGGAGTCGGGCAGAGAGGAGCCCATACAGACAGGTATTATATATGCGAGCTGAGGCTGCATCACGACTTTCCTTCCAGTCAACAACCGCTGTCTATCCGCTCAACGTATGCTCGGCCCACCAGTCACACCTAAGCTCAAATGCCTCTGTCCGAGGGAGGTTCGTGCTCCAAGCTGCCCGATGTACGTACGTATGAGCACCAGCTTCAAGACAAATGGGAGCATGGGAAAAAAAAGCCGGGAACTGATATTGCCAGCCAATTGCGCTTCAGGCGCTGCCAGGCTAGTTGCTCGACAGTAATGGTGCCCAGTGTCGCAGCCATATGTACCAAGGGGTTGTTGGGATTGGGCGTTATCCGGAGTTTCTTTTCCGGAGCAGATCTCGCTCACGAGGGCTCCAGCGAGCCGGGAAACGGGCTCTGCAGTTCCTCCGCAGTCGATGCCATTTGCCAGGGGAGAAGCAGCACAATACCGCCAGTCTTACAAGTTGCGGCATTTTAAACGCCAGCGTGGTGAATCTCTATGAGTCTAATTTAAGTTCTATAGGGATTGTGTTGTTGTTCACAAGTGCCCTTGGGTATGACCTCGTTAACGAACCTGGCGCGAGTCGTCTGGAACTTTACGGCCCCGTCTCGGGTGATGGGGAGCGAGAAGGCATTGATACTGATATGAGGAAACTTTCCCATTGTGAGAGCTACAGCAGATGGGCTCAGGACAATGGGGACGCGAACCCAACGTCTCAGAAGTTGAGATCGAAGAATGCCAACATTACTAGGTAGGCCACAGTTTTGGTTTGTCCCCAGCCCTGCCTTACAACCCACACGAGCCCGTTGCGGACAATCCACCGACGCGGCGCCGGAGGGCTTGAGCAAGATCGGCGGAGCGCTCGTCAACCTCCCACACCACACCAACCAACTCGGGATACCATCGCGCAAAGCACGCTGACGATTGTAAATCTGCCCCCGCCTTTACTGTATTAAAACCGGATAGAGTGATCGCCGGCAACCTCAGCGAAAGTAGTAATAAACGTTACTATCAATATGCGGTGAAACGAGGCATGCAATAGGTATCTAGTCCCCTCTTGACCCGCACTCAGTTCATCCGCAGTCACAGACTTGCAGAGGGAATTGATAATATCTCGAAATGTCCATGTCAAAGTCTATTGGCTTGGAGCTTTCCCCCTTTCTGTCCGGTCCTCGACATCTTCTAGCCATCTTCCGCGCGTTATCTTCTTCCTAGCTGAAGCGTGGGTGCGGAACGGGTTTTATCTCGCCCGGAATACATATACACTTGTCAGTACACACATCCCATCCAGGCCCACAGGTCAAATCCCAACTTTTCGGGATCTGTCACGACATGGATGGAAAGCATTTGCTATCGCCGCCAATGGGACGATAACATTCCAGCCGACATCAACTTCCATCTAACCCTCCAAAGCTTCTTCTTGGGCGTTTCTCTCCATTACGCTACTATGCGAGGTGGTGGGTGGGCTTCGATGATGTCGGGTGTGAAGACAACCGGGGTGGGTGGTAGATATGACAGCGTGATCTTACGGCGAGGCTTCGTTACCGATGAACATCTAAAGAATCTTGGCCGTCTTATCTATCCCCAGCTCGTTATGGTTGTGTACAGCTGCATTCTGACGTCTCGCCTTGTACAATGGCGTATTTTCCTATATGTTATTGGCACACACGCGAACCCTCAACTTTCAACCACCTCTCCAAATCCATCTTAGTATCCAACCAATCACCGTAAACCGGTGTGAGGCAGAAGATCAACAACCAACTCAATATGAAGAGTAGCATAGATAAGTGATCATACGTGTCCGAGATATGATGTGACTCGGCAGGTATCAAAAGCTAATGAAGCTGGTATGCGACAATATGCGGATCGTCTCTTAATGCACGTTACTAAGGGTAGTATGCTGACTGCATGCTGCCCTCTTCGCTTCGTGCAGTAAAGAGCTTTTTGTGTAGGGTTGGAGTGGGGGAGTTCATCAGTGATGAGGTTGAATGGGGTTGTTATACAACATGTGACGATAATGGTGGTGGATTTCTTCGCAGGATTGCCTCTGACGATGTCAGGAGGCGACATGCTCGGGGCTGACGTGTTCTCTTTCGATAGGATCGCCGTGCTTTCCGTAATGAACCTTGGGAGATATAAAGGGCAGTGGTAATCCGACGAGATGCGAGGTCTTCGATGGTAAAGCCACCTACATCTCATTACAAGTCAAGGACCCTATATCGGTGGCAGAGGTATCCCTGGTTCCTTAAGACGGCCACACCACTCGGTTATGAACAGCCAGTAAGTGACAGTCAAGACCTTCAGAGACTACCGACTCTAGCTATCTATGGAGCGCCCGATGGACTTGGCCGATGTGCGGAAGATGATGAGCACCTTCCTACGGGATTGTGACCTCAAATATTCACGGCCTCAGGAGCATCCCGAGTTCGAAGCCGAAATGATCGCCGAGTGTATGCGGCGTGGGTACACCACTGCAGAGATCGACAGGATGATGCCCTTCATTCAAACTGGCGTCTCGATGGCCCGCAACGCTTTTCATTTCCAGTCGCATGACATCCAAGTCTTTGTCTCCCTGTACACGACATCAATCGTATACATGGAAGAAAAGTTCGAAAGGGACATGGAGGAAGTCCTGTCTTTCAACCAGAAGTTCATCACCCGCGACCGCCAGAAAGACCCCATCATCGAGCATTTCGCAGACCTGCTCCGCGAAATGCCGGCCCTGTTCGGGGAAGTTGAGGCCAACCTCATACTCATCTCCACCTTGAACCTCTTCATCGCGTTCGCGATCGAGCATGAGTTCAAACACGTCGAGGTACGTCTCCCACATTTGTCTTCCACGCCTCGGTCAATAATCTCTGACGCCTGTTGCAGCTGGAGCCGTCCTCGTACATGTTTCCGGGCTTCAGCAGGGCCATGTCGGGTGCGGGAGAGGCTTTCACCCTCTTCATGTTCCGGCGGGAGCTTCCCTTTTGCTGGAAGCTCCAGGCACTACCCGACTGCGCGCTATTCGTCACCAACGCAAAGTAGGTCCCGTGCTCTGCCCTCTCCCCGTCCGCGTCTCTCTCGCTATCTCGGCTGGCCCGGGGCGGACCGACGAGAAACTAACACATCTTGCAGCGACGTCTTGTCGTTCTACAAGGAGCAGCTGTACGGCGAAACGGCAAACCAGGTGACCCTGATATCGAAATGTCGCGGGATCGACGCGGGGGCGGCTCTGAAAGAGCTGGCGGACAAGACCACGGCTGCGCATTTGCGGGCGTTGAGGACCTTGACTCCGAACAGCGAGGCGCTCGAGGCCTACAAGTCGTTCAGCCAGGGGTATGTGGGATTCCATACCGGTGCTAAGCGATACCGGTTGGAAGAACTCGGCATGGGCGACGGCCTCGTGGGCGTTTGACGTCTCGCTGGCCTGCGAGTGGAAGCGATTGACGGCAGTGGAGATGGATTGCGGCGCGTAACTCTCGATTATCGCATAATTGTCTCGGAGGAGCCGTGGGCGCCTCTTTAAGTAACAGTTGATTCTATCCGGGGATGGTTATAATACGTCAAGCCCCTGTTGTCCCTTATTTCATTGGCTGCTGAGAATCTTGCTACTGAATACATCGTGTACACGCATATACGTTTTCTATAGCGAATAATGTACGCTAACGCAGAAATCTGTCTTATCCTTCAGATAGGACGTTGTTCTTTACGCGTACATTCAAAGGGTGAAGTCGGAAAATTCGTCGCAAAGCCCGAAGGTTGCGTAGGGCCGTTTTTCGTGAATTTGACAAAGCGAAGCGGAGTGGTTCGACGAATGTGTTATCGTTTGATATTGAATCGAATATGCAATATAAAATAGGTAGGTCGCGGGGTAGCCTCAGCAGGCAGTCCCTACGGGACCCCTACGGGCGTTGACTGCTACCACTATCTACTACCGTGGTGTGTCGGATAATGAATAGGGGAATGCGGTTCTTAATCCGCAAACCAGACCAAAATCCGTTGCTTCGCTTCCGTATTTCCAAGGCACACAAAACGTTGAAAGCTGAACCTGACTCGGTGATGGAGAAGGAGTAAAATCTAGGTGCCAAAAAGAGCGATTGAACAGCTTTAAATACAGTTGTGAGTAAACCAATCAACAGGGCTCCTCTTGGTGTGCCCTGCTATCTGCAAGGTTGGCGATACGTACCAAGGCCTACGGCCCATGCGATAGAAATGGCCTCGTGAGCGCTAAAGTGCATTATTTTCCCAGCGCCCTGGGGAAAACATTATTACCCCCTGGGTCCACCCTTCAAGCCCCTTCTGCTGATTGCGCGGGGACCGAACACATGGCCCCTTTATTCCGAAAAACAGTTATGGGGTTAGCTCCCACGACAGCGTCCCGACGTATCCCATAGATTCCTAGGCTACGCAGTGCTTACAGGGCGCTTAGGCCGTCACTCGTATTCTCTATATATTACGTATTTTCCCTGAAGAGAGTAGACATGAGTACCAGTATCGATGCAGCCCAATATCGATGCAGCCCCCCTTCGGACGCAACCTTTGCTGACAATAACATGGGTTGGCCAACGTAGATATTTCGCCAAGCTTAGGTATATGCAGAGTGACTGTAGAAAGCTTCTGTGTTATTCCAGCGAGGCGGACTTCTATGTGGGATCATGGGGTTTTTCTAGGTGAAGAGAAGCGATGTGATATACGGGTGACCTCCCGAAGAGCTCACTAGATTCCCAGACTTCGGTGGTCGCACACGCAGTGTGTTTCAGATGACAGAAACCGTGCGGCTGGAAGCAAGGATGGGCTGGATTCCCGCGACCCGGGACTTACACGCTGCTCCCGTCGTGACATCCCTCGCCCCTCCCCAGCGGTACTATTTCACCCCCTCTGAGTACCCCCGCGTCAGCATCTACGTTTCCCCGGGAAAGAAGGCATGAGGCCCCTCAGAGATTGCAAATAGGATACCCGGCTATTCGTTGATATTTCTCCTGAGGAAGGGAAGCATAGCCCAGTGGGCGGAGAGAGAGGATCACCAGATCAAGGGATTAATGCCCTGCCTTTGCGCCTTTCTGTATGTGCCATGAAGTACACAAGAAACGAAATGTCGCTATATATAATTGAACCAGCCCTTCGTAGGCGTCTACGTTTTACGGGGCAGGGCAAAAATAACTCCATCTCTCCCGAGGATTCATCAGAGAAAACTCAATTGTGGATCAGTGTTGAGGGCATATCTCGAAACTACTTTCACAGACGCTTGACAATAATATGGCAGTGGATCGCATAGTTCCACATTCTGGGGGGAGACCCGAGAAGCTCAACCTTGCTTGCCCGTACTGGCTAGCCTACCCAGGTGTCGTCAACGCATCGAAGTGTCCCACCTGCGCGCCATCGACGAACGGTTCTCAGAAAAAGTTCCGGGATCGTTTCGAGCTACTGTAAATTCGCTGAAACCCCTCCCCGACAAATAATTTTGAAGCTATAGGTTGAACTAATATGTTGCCATGTTCCAGTCAGCATCTCGAAGTCCACCACCGTTATCCCAAGGACGGACCCCAGAATATCCCCCAATCAGAAAGGCGGTTTTATATGACCCCAGACGACTGGGAAACGGTCTCGAGTATCGTAAAAAATGCCACGAGAAGACCTCAGGACCACACTTGGCATCAAGTGCAGATGGATTCATGGTACCTACCAATATGGAGGGTGTTGATAGATAAAACCATTCCTGAGCCGAAAACGCTGTGTAAGTGGTATTCAAGCCCAATATAATATTTTCAATCTTCAACTGTGATGATAACTAACTCCCGCAGTTTACCCCACACCGGATGAGCTCCATGTCCGACTTACGTCTGTCTGTGAGAAGACATTTAAGAATATCTACAAAGACCTAGATCTCAAGAGCGTCTCAAAAGAGACGGCCGAATCGATAACGCACATGATTTCGAAATCCGTGGCTATGGCAATCCTGTGCGTCCCTGGCTGGGACAGCTCGGTGCTTCAGCTCGCGTCGTCCCTGTTTCGCCGTAAGCAGTTCCTAGTCAAGCCGGCTTCTAACGACGTGGTACCCTTGGAGAATGAGCCAGAACTTTCCGTATCGGCATATGAGGTCGTTTTCTGGAGAATGGGAGATCCGGTTTGGGACGGGAATTCCTTCTTGAACGTGAAGTTGAGGTGCTGTTCCGAATGCAAGATGGCCAAGGTCCTAACTGACTACGAGATGTGCTATGAGTGCACCAAGGAGTTTATCACGAAACACCCACGCAGCTAGGCGCGGGGCGTTCACTATTGCATGAGGTGACATCAGCTGGGGATTTCAACAGCAACGTTCCGGTATTTCAACAATACCGCCTAGGTGTGGATACGAATACAGAATCGAGTTGGGCACTATTCAGTAGGAGGGGAAGGAGGCAGATTGACACACGCTGGTAGTGCAAGGGTGGCTTTCGGTTGGCAATTCGGAACACTCAGACGGAGAAGTTTTTCATAAATTTTTACTCCTTTATGTTTCCTTATATTTCCCTACATTTCTTTACATTTCCTTACATTTCCTTACGTTTCCCTACATTTCCTTATATTTCCTTATATTTCCTTATATTTCCTTATATTTCCTTATATTTCCTTATATTTCCTTATATTTCCTTATATTTTCATACGTTTCTTTACGTTCCTCTGTCACGGAAGCATTTGCCTCCAGTGGAGAGCAATCTACCATGCCTAGGCTGCACTTCTATATATCATAGGCTCACTCCGCACCCTTTCGTACATTTCCTTCTTCGCTAGTCAAGTCAACATACCCGCGCCCCCCCGCTCACTCTGCGCGCAACCTATACCACTATATGTGGCTTGAGCCAGCCACGTGACACCATAGCATACATCACCGAAATATACCTGGTTCAGGTCCAATATGAGGTTGCCAAGGTTTTTGTGTCTGGCACCTGAAGTTCCCCAGTGCCAAGTGGGGAGGCTGCTCGGGACAAAGTAGGTCTCACCGGGTTCAAGCAGGGAGGTACGGTATACCATTAGTACGTATCCGATAAAACGATTTTCGGAAATATTTACCTCGAAAAAAAAAAACCACTAGAACTCTATAACGTTAAATTAATTTCTTTTCCCTTCTAAAATTAAATTTGCCGTTTAAAATAAAAATAAAGCAAGGTTTAAACTATAAAACTAAATTAGAAATCTTATAGAAAGGACTCGTATGAAGGATTCGTATAAAGGAAATATATACTTACGTTAATCTATTACTACTAGGTAATTTACCGTTCCTTCCTCGTCGGACGAGGCTAGTTTTATTATTTAATTAGCTAGTTATACGGGCGGCGGCGGCGGAAAGGCGTTATCTAGGGGCGGATCCTCGGGACCGCCGTCGCGTACGGAGTACCGTATAACGTAATTCCGGAACTTATAATAAGTATACGAATTACCGAAGTAACCGCGTAACTTAATATAAACCGGGAACGGCCGGTTATATCCGTTCGGATATCGTACGGCTTATTCTCGATAGGTACGATACGTTACCGGAACGGCCGTACCTTTACTTATAATAAGTAAAGTATTAATATAGCTCGGCCGATATAATAATACCTACGTTAGTATTAGCGATTATCGTACGATAATTATAAGGCGACTAGGTAGGGTTAATATAATACGCTATAGGTTATTATAGTAAAACTATATTAACTCCTATCCCTTAATAGGTAGGAGGATTAAGGTTAATAAGTTCTAACGAATAGCGATCCGAGAATCCGCCTAAGTATTAATAGAAGCCGACGAAGCGCGTTAATTATTCTTAGTTATCGTACGTATATTAAATATTAAATATCTTACTATAATAATTACGCTCGGGAAGGGAATTAAGGCTTAGTTATTATTATTTTAATTATTCTAGTTATTTTAGTTATTTTAGTTTCTATATAAAAGAGATATTAGTAATACTTCGTAATAAAGGGATTATAAATACGTACGAAGATATAATAGCGAGAGGAAGAGATAATATTAAGAGAGAGGAAGAGAAACGATATTAAAAGAGGGAGAGAGATAGTCGGACGTAATAGAAGGAGAGAGAAAAGAGGGAGGAAGAGGAAGGAGAGAAGGAATATTAATAAGGTTATGGAAATATATCTTTATACGAAACGTAACTACTATTTAAATTATCCTTATACGAAACGTAACTACTATTTAAATTAAATTCTATATAGTTATTTACGTAACTACTATTTAAATTATCTTTATACGAGACGTAACTACCATTTAAATTAAATTCTATATAGTTATTTACGTAACTATTATTTAGATTATCTTTATACGAAACGTAACTATTATTTGAATTAAATTCTATATAGTTATTTACGTAACTAACTACTATTTAAATTAAATTCTATATAGTTATTCGCGTAATTATTATTTAAATTAAACTCTATATAGTTATTCCTATACCTTCTTATTATTCTACCTTCTTATTATTCTACCTTCTTATTATATCGTTTAATATAATAATAACCTTTATTTTATATATTTAGTATTATAAGAATTATAAATACGTACGAAGATATAATATTAATAGAAATAAAGATAATATTAAAAGAGAAAAAGAATAATAACTAAACGAGGTAGAAGGAAAGAGAAGAGAAAAACGAAAAGAAAAGAAAGAAGAGAAAGGAAATATTAATAAGGTTATAGAAATATATCCTTATATGAGGAATAATTATTATTTAAATTAAATTTTATATAGCTACCTTTATACTCTCTTATTATATATCTCTTCTTTTCTCTTTCTCTTTCTCTTTCCTTTTTCTTTTTCTTTATTTTCTTTTTTCTTCTTTTATCTCGTCCGACTATTACTCTCTTCCTCTCTTAATATTATCTATCTTTATTATTATTATATCTTCGTACGTATCTATAATCCCTTTATTATAAAGTATTTCTAATATCTCTTCTATATAGAAACTAAAATAACTAGAATAACTAAAAGAACTAGAATAATAATAACTAAGCCTTAATCCCTCTCCTAAACGTAACTATTATAATAAGATATCTAATGTCTAATATACGTACGATAACTAAGAATAATTAGCCCGCTCCGCCGGCTCCTACTAATACCTAGGCGGATTCTCTTTAATCTTTATACCTATTAAGAGATAAGACTTAGTATAGTTCTATTATAATAACCTATAGCGTTTTATATTAGCCTTATCTAATCTCCTTATAATTATCGTACGATAATCGCTAATATTAACGTAGGTATTATTATACCGGCCGAGTTATATTAATACTTTATTTATTATTAGTAAAGGTATAGCCGTCCTAATAATATATCGTACCTATTATAAATAAGCCGTACGATATCTAAATAGATATAACTAGCCGTTCCCGGTTTATATTAAGCTACGCGGCTACTTTAATAGCTTATATACTTATTATAAGTTCCGGAATTACGCTATATAGTACTTTATATAAGATAGCGGTCCCGAGGATTCGCCCCGATTAATATATATACGATAATTCTATTATATTATTTACTAAATATTTCTACCTAGTCTTACCGCTCTCGTATATCTTAAGTTTCTAGAATAAATATAGCTTAGTATAGATAATTTTACGCTATACCTATTTCTTAATATGGTATAAGTAAAACTCTATCTCTCTTTATTTTTCATTTAAAAAATACCTCTTCTTTTTATATACCGATATTTCATTTATAGATTATCGTACGCGATACGAATATATATTCAAGAGGCTATATATCTTTAATCTTATTAAGATAGTCGGCTTCCTCGTACGTATTTTTAAATCCGTTAATTATTTAAAGAAACGAGGTATTCATTCTATAAATGTCATTAGCCTATCCTTATTATTATTAATAATAAAGTCGAAGATTCCTTTAGATACGATTCTTTCGAAAATAATAAACTTAGAGATACGAATTCGAATATATTTACGTTCTTTTTATATCGTACGTAGTTTAATATAGCTACCTAAATAATTAATATCTAGAAATACCGATAGACTAGTAATTTATTTTTAGGTCTTTTTATACCTCGTCCGATAAGCTAATAGTATTTTCGCGACCGATTATAGAATCTTATAAAGAATATTTCTAATAACGTACGAAGGTCTATATAAAACCTCGTTAAAGCGGCGAAAAGATATGGGAAATTAAGATTTAGTAATAAATATACTATCTCTTTAAAGATAGAGATTTAGATTATTTAGATATAAAATAATAAATACGGATAACCCGAGACGTTTAAAGTCTGATTTATTCGTACGTATTAAAAAAAGTTTTTATTCTTATATTATCTTATATTAATATTTCTATTTAGAATCTATCGAACTTCCCGTCTTTTATTCTCGAGATAGCCGCGATTAAACTAAAGAATATTAGGTCCGATACTTTATACGACCGTACTTAAATAAAGAGCCGATTTCTTAAGCATTTAGAGAGTAATGGAAATTTATATTAGCTCGGAGTTATATTAAGAAAGGATTAATAGACCTTTTATTTCCTAGCGGCCCTATTCGGACGATCCGAGACTTCTTTTATCCGCCGATAGCCTTATTTTTATCGATAGAATATAAACGAATTCCTATCGCTCTTTATTTCTACCCGCCCCTACGTTTTTTAAAGATTAAAAGCGGTCGTACGGTATTTAAAATAAATCGAGAAGCTACGGTAAAACGATCTAACGAAGACTTTATTATCGTATAACCCCTTACCGTAAGTGATGGTATGAAGATTAAGATGGAAAAATCTAATCGATTATTTACTATTACTGCTACGAATTTCATGAAATTATTCTCTTCGTACGTCGAAGAAGAAGGATTTAAAGACGGAGGGTAAAGCGACGAAGAATAAAGCGACGAAGCGGACGATAGATATAAGAACGAATTTAAAGACGAGGTATTTTAGTAGTAGTAACGATAAGAATCCCTAACTCGAAAGTTAATTACTTTATCTAACTTTAAACGTCTGAGAATAAATTCTATTCCGACGCTTCGTATAATTAAGAAATCCCGACTATAGTTCCTTAGCTTTAATAGCGAATTAAATATATCCTTTATAAAGGATATAGCTCGGGAATATAAAAACTAAGTACGGGAAAGGCAAAAGAAAAAGGAGAAAGAGAAATAAAGAGAAAAGTAGAAGGAGAAGTAAAAGGAGAAGTAGAAGGAGAAGTAGAAGGATATGCCTTAGTTTATATCTAATAGGTATACGTACGATAATAGTCTAGTATTTAATACTCGTAGGGTATCTAGAAAGTAACCTATAAGGGTATTAATAATTAAACGAGGCTTGAAGTATTTTATTTATTTATTTCTATTATTTTTACTTCGTATAATTATAACTTCTCTTTATTTATATCCTTATCTTATATTTACGAAACTTACTAAAGAATAGTCGATGGTATTATATCTTTACGTAAATTATCGTCCGTAAATAATAAATAGTTTTATTAAAGTAATTAAAGTAAAGAAACCTAATTATTATTAGTAAGGTCGTATGAATAAAGACTTTAACTTATATAGAGTTCTATATTACCTATAAGAGGTTTAATAAGTTAAAGATAAGGCTCGATACTAGATAATATATAAGCTCGTACGCGTTCTCGAAGCCGGATATAGGTTTTTAAATATAGCCGAATTATATCCTCCTCCGTCCGAAGCTATCTATCGAAACCTAATTTATTTAATATAGCTTTATATTATTCCATAGTTTCTACCGTTATAAATTCGTCGATTTCGATATCCTCTAAAGGTATATATATAACCTATACGGCTTCGTACGTAGCCGAGCCTTATTTAATAAGGATTTTATAATTCGGAACCTCATTTATATTATAGAGGTTATATAGAATACCTAGTCGTACGTATAGTCGGTTCTTCTACGCTTAAATTTAATAGCTATTCCATACTTTAATAAACTCTACGAATTCTCTTTAAAGTATTAGGCTATAGATTATATATACCGTAATAAGGTCGATAAGGTCGGACGAGATAAATAAACTATTATTAATAAGTTTTGTTTTAAATACCTAGGTATATATTAACTTCGAACGAAGAGATATATAAATATAACTTATAATTCATTTATTAGTACTACCTTTACGGAATCGCTGAAACTAGGACTCGATCTTAATATTATAAATACTAGGCCCTTATATATATACTAAAGATAAACGATTTCCTTATCGATAAAACCGCTAAATACCTTCTTTATTTTCGTACGGGATTATAGTTTTACTAGCTTTAGCTAAAGTAGCTTAGGCACCGGTAAAAAGTAATATTTCGATACCATAATCGGCGCGAGTAAAGCATAGCCGAACCTCGCTAGTAATAATCGTACGTAAGTATTACTTTAATATACTAATAGCCGTAGTTATAAAACGTTTAATATATATTAAATAATAAAACGAGAGTATATATCTATATATATATATATCTAAAATTAAAGTTAAGTTAAATATATTTAATACGTACGAAGGTATACTTAAAATCTAAAGTCTATTAACTTAATATAGCTATCTAAGGACCATAGTTAATTTAAACCGGGAACCTTAAAGTTTATACGAAAGGTTTAATTAATATAGCGTCGGTAGTTAACTTAATCGGGATATAGTTCTTTATATATCCTATAAATGCGGTTTTTTCCTATAAGAATACCGGCTTAGGATCGTATAAACTTATAGAAGTATAACCGTTCATAGTTCTTTATCGAAGTATTATAGGTAGCATGGTTTTAGATAAACTCTCGGGCCTGTTATAATATAGTATCCCTTTCTTCGTCGGTACGGTATCGTCGTTTTATACCATGCTTTAATCGTATAATCTATAATCCTTACGGATTTAATTTAATGCTATTTCGATATAGGTCTCGTATAATAGAAGTATTTTTATATCTATAATAAAAGATAAGGTATCGAATTAATTAAATAACTTCATTAGTAATAATCGTCCGAAGCCGTCGATATAGTTCCTATTCTTTTAATCTTCTTTCTAATATACGACGAGTTATATTAATGTAACTAGTTAAGTAGGTATAAATAGAATTAATCGATTTACTAACTAACTAACGATTAATAATCTCCTGCTTGAAATTATTAATCGAAGACCTCGGACGAACCATATTAATACTTTAGTAGAAGCTTAATTTAATTTAAAAGAGGGGTAGAATTTTTATTATAGCCTTATAATAGTAGCCTTATTTTTTAGGGGGGGGAAATCGAAATTCCGAAATTCCGAAAATCGTTTTGTCGGATACGTATTAATGGTGTACCGTAGGGAGGGGCACGGGCCGGATTAGCGTGACTTTAAATCAACGTCTGCCAAACTTCTGACCTAATAATCACTTAACCAATAAATTATCGAGTTAACCCGAACAACCTCTCGCCCCTCTCACTCCACTCGCACCATTCACCTCCTGATCACGCTCGGCGGTCCCATAGCAGCAAGTAGTCGACAGGAACAAGTTAGACGACACGCTTTTATGATTCACTGGGCACGTCCGTAGGGATAACGTCGAACACCCTACCGCGCTGACCCCATTCAAGGCGCTTGCTGCCGCAATCAGCACTCGTCATCCATTCACTACGCCGACACTCAATGGCCCAGCCCGGAATGACCCACCATTCCCACCGGGGGGGGCCATTGTCGACATGGACAGTGAATCCAGCCCAAGTCCCTCGTTGGTATAAATCCATCCCTCTGCCATCTTCCTGCTCAGCACTATCGGGACCGGACACGACACTACCTACACCACACACAACACACCCACACAACACACTTACCCCGCCGACATCTCTCTCCCATCTCAGCTATTCTCTCTGGACAACATCTCCGCCGCACCAACCAACCAACAAACCAACCAACCAACCACCTCCGCTCGTCCCGCCCGCCGAACGCCACGATGCCGTGCGGCGACAACTGCGGGTGCAACGACCACGCGACGACGGACCCGCGGTTCCCGGGGTGGACGTACTGGGGGTGCACGCGGTGCTGGGAGCGGCGGGCGCGCCGCACCCGGCCGCGGCGCGCGGCCGCGGGCTGGCTCGCAGCGGAGCAGGCCGCTGCCGCCGCCACTGCCGGCGTCGAGGCTGACGAGGCCGCGCTGTACTATCGCCAGCGCGACGACGACGACGACGACGACGACGACGAGCGCTACTACCCCTGCTGCGAGGAGCACATGGCGCTGCACTTCGGCCCGGACTTCGACCACTGCCCGCCGCGCTTCTACCACCGCCTGCTCGACCGCCGCCTGCTGCCCGACCGCGGCGCGCGCCTGCTCGCGTGCCGCGCCCTGAAGCCGGAGCTGGCCGCCGCGCTGGCCGTGCTGGCCGGGGAGCCGGTCGCGGCTGCGGCCGGCGGGCCCGCCGAGCGCCTTAGCGTCGCCGCCCCCGCCGCCCCCGCCGCCGTGGCCCTGCCCCTGCGCGGCCGCCCCGCCCCGCCGCCCGAGTCGGCCTCGCGCGCGCCGACGCCGCGGGCCTCGCAGCCGGCGGCCCGCGCCCAGACGCCGCGGCCACCGCGAGCGGACGCGGACCCGGACTCGGGCTCGAGCTCGTGGACGCCGACGCCGACCCCGCGCACGTCTGCGTCCTCTGAGCCCTCCACGCCGCCCAACCGCGTCCTGCGCCCAGAGCCCCTGCGGGCCCGCCCAGGGGGCACTCCCCGGAGGGAGTCCGCGTCCGGCTCCCTACCCGACCAGCTGCTGATAGAGTCCCCGATGTCCGGGATCGACACCGACGACGAGTCCCACGCCCACCTCCGCAACCCCTCCACGCCCTGTTTCATCGCTCCGCCCCGCCGCAGGCGCCGCGCCCGCGACTCGGCCCCCAACCAGGAGGCCCGCCGCTCCCGCCGCCACTGAGCAAGGCCGGGGCGGGACCCAGAGGGCGGAGGAACCCGGGTCGGCCGCTGCTGGCTATCGAGGGAGTTCGCGACGCTGCGCAGAGGAGGGGGCCGAGGTGGTGCAGAGCCTAGACGATGGGAAACGTCTCCCTCATTCGGCCAGTTGACGCGGGGGAGTACCTGAGGTGAGGCTGGGTTAATGTAATATCTCCATTGCGAGTAATAATAAATCATGATTTCGCCATATCTGTAAAACCTAGCTGGACAAGCTAGCGGTGCACATGCTGATCGTCCGGAACCTCAACACGTGTATGTCAACTTTAGTGGCCTGGATTAGACTTCTATTAACGACGAAACCCAACTGAACGCGGCATTGATATTTTATCGCGGCCCTGAATGACGGCCATATGAACCTATACCATCGTTGCATGTATTTTCATTAGTTTAATTCTCGGTATGCTCGATTTTATGTACTCAACGGAGGCTAAACGTAATTCATGTCAGTACTCGAGATGCGCATCACTCCGCCTGACTCTCATGCCACCACCGCCTCAGCCCCTCGACATCGCACCAGTCGAACTGCGTCGGGTTCTCGTACCACCAGGCGGTGTGCCCGGGGGCCCTGGACCGGTCGCTGGCGTACTTCTTGAGGCAGCCGCCATCGAAGCGGTGGTTCTTGACGCCGAGGAGCAGCACGGCGCTGCCGACGGCGGGCGCGAACAGCTCCGGCTCCAGGAACACGGTCAGAAGCACGCGCTTGTCGGTCGACGGGTCGGCGAGCCGCACCTGTCGCTGGCTGTACGGCGGCAGCGTCGACGGCTCGACTTCCGAGACGGCAGCGACGACGGCGAGTACATTGACGCTCCAGTTCTGCTTGTACGGCAGGTTTGGTATCGCACGCAGCTTTGTAAGCTTCACGGGCCGTGGCGTGCTCGCGACCGGATGCGGCGATGAGGGACGACCCCCATCTGCCGGTGATCGTGGCCTTACGGTATCTCCACCTGTGAAGATTCGGTCCCCGGACCTCACGGCGAGGTCAATGCGATTCTGGGTCGTTCTTTCCGGGGCGATCGGCATGACTTCGAAGTCATCGTCATCTGCGCCGTCAACAGTGTTTTGAGGTGGCCCGGCGTCATTATCAGAGAAGCGGATGGTGGTGCGATCGCTTGGTACTAGCTCGTTTTCAGGTTCGGAAACGCGCGTAGCCTCGTCTTCCCCGACCCGATCGCTACCGCTTGGCCCATTCCGCAGGTTAGTCGCGTCGATAAGGGTGTTATTCCATCCTACTAGCACAATATCCTCAACAACTAGGTAGACCATGCTACCCTCTGCGTCTTGGTCGCCACCGCTCTTCTCCTTCTCCTTTCCCTTTGCATCTGAGGATCCATTTCCTTTCCCCTCGGCGGCGTCTCTCCACTCGACCCTAAACTTCTCCAGCCTGACGTAAGATCCGAAGGAGACTTCTCCGCTATCAATGTATCTATGCATGTCGGCCGACAGGAGGGCCTGTATACATAACTCCCCATCACCTAGAAGCAGGCGCACGGCTCGCCATCGCTTGGACCTGGAGGTGTGGACGACGTCGACGCCCTCGACGAGAAAGACGGAGCCTGGAATGCAGTAGCCGGTGCGCAGGATATCGGCGATGAGGGGTAACGGCTCGAAGGGATCGGAACCGATGCACGTTATGTCGGCTGACGGAAACAAAGGTCGAGACGTGGAGGCAGACATGGAGCGCGGATTGCCTCAATCATGATTCGTGGCGGCCGTATTTTCGTCGCTCATCATATCGGGGGCGAGGAGGAGGAAGATTAGTGATGAGAGGATCTCAATGGGGACGCAGCGGCCCTAGGTGAAGAAAATCAAGCCTATTCCGACGGAAGATAGTCGACTAGGAAAGACGAGATCGAAGGACGTGACGTTGCGAGATTACTAAGTGATAGACAGGCACCAACAGGCACCGACAGGCACCCTAACAAGTGCTTATGTCAGCACGCTCGCGTAGGACAAGATCTTAGATCCGGTTCATGCGATGCATGACAACATCGTGAAATGAGTGGGGGGGCATCCCACCGTTGGGCAGAGTTGGGCCGATCTCGATGTACTGCGCATGTCAAATATGCCGATAAATTAGAGGTTATAGGTACCTAAGTACAAGCTCCCAGTTCTCGGCTCACCTATCGTCCCCAGGGCCAGTTCCTGATAGAACACGCCTAGAAAGTCTACGTACGCAATAGCAATCCCATCTTCTCTTGCTTCTATCCAGAGTACGATCGTGTTATGTAAAACATAGACGCCTACATTACGCTGTGCGGTTAGCCCTGTGGCTCTTCTCCATCTGCTCAAAAGCGCAGAGGAGGCGGTAGACGGGGGCGGCGAGGGCGTCTCGCAGGTCGGAGGAGTACTGTAGGCTTATAAGGCTGGTTCAACTGCCAGGTACGTGACACCCCCCAGTTGTTGGACACCTTAGGTGGGTAACAACTGCACACGTCCGACTACTATTTTAAGTCCCTTATGGCAAGTTGAACCCTCTACCTCCCTGTTTAGCACATCCCCTCTTCTTGGCGCGGCGCCTTACTGCTAGTTCTCGTCTAGCTCTGGGGCTTAACCGCGCCGGGGTTAGGATGGTTGTACAATTGAAGGAACGGAACCATTAAGCCAGAGAACACCGAAGCGTAGGCCCTAGATGATGGAAGACGGACCTGATCACGATCTGGAGGATAGAGAGGAACTCCTCTACCCGGCGAGAAGGGGCAATGGTAGGCATACTGGCGGTTGCGGCGATAGTGAACTATCGGGTGGCGGCGACGGAATGGCTAGTGGTGATGGGGATAGCGCGGGACAGCGCGACGCGACCGGCAGTGCAGCGGCGGCGATGGTGGTGATTGCCACGTCACGCCTGAGGGCTGATTCCGTACGTGACAGTACGTGTCACGTCAAAACGTGGATGCCTGCATTTCCCCCTTAGGCTCCGCAGCTACGTAACAACATGGGAAAGGAGTACCACGGTTGACGCTAAGAGATAGAAATTTGGTAATAGACTGACAGAAGGCCGACAGCGGTATACGTTGAGGCCTGCTGGAGGCTAAAGTTCTCCCGTTGAAGGGGGGGAATCATCTAGGGCGCTTGAATCTGCGATAGTAGAGTTGAGGAGCGTACTCAAAGTCAATATTAGTGTGCCGACTAAAGCAGACCCATATGAAGAAGCATGCGTTCGATATATTGTTTGGCGCAGTGAGCATCGCGACATTCGTGAACCAGCAAGAAGTGTGATTGATCTCGCTCGTAACCCATCCTCTGGAATAGCCGGCGGTTGACACTCTGGTTAGACGACTGCCCGGTTCGATCGCCTTCTTTAATCATGTAAGCCAAGCCCCTTGTCGATGGTATTACCAATGTTGACGAGAATGAGCTAAATAACGAAGACTACCAAGTAGCGGTGTTAGGAATCGAACCTATCCTCCATTAAGTAGCCCATTGATCTGGCGGTGGCCGCACTGACGGCCTCCTGGAAAGCTGACAGCTCCGAGCCAAGTGTGGCTAGGGCAACGCGTAGGTTCTTTTTAGACGACATTTCCTACATAGCGTGTCAATCAACTGCTCGACCGTCGCCTATAGCCAGCGAGCCATCCACTAGTTGCTTCATCGAGAACAACCATTTCACCATCCATCAGACGCCCGCGACACAGCGCTCGCACCATCGCGCGCAGCCAAAGGTCCGGGGGGGGGGGGGGGGCAGACTTACTTCTCCTTCTGGGGGCCGGTTGGCAGGGGTAGAGATTGTAACTCGCCATATGGGTGATGCCGAGACGCTCGCATCCCCAGGCGGATCTGACACCCCGTAACCCACTCTTTAACGGAAGAGAACTACATGGATGGTTAGCTCGCGATTTATTAATGATGAGTGGAACCAGTTGATCCTAGGAAGAATAACTCACAAGTGATGTCGGGCCCGAGAGAAGAAAAGGAAAGGACAGGAGATCAGGCTCAGGCGGAGAAGTGACCTGCCTACTTACACCTAGCTTTTTCCAGTTGCCATTGGCCAGAAGAAATGTGTAGTTTGGGACTTCGTGGCAGAATAATAGTAGTGATTGTGGGGTATTTTGTCTCCTTGGTGGAAGCAAATCATGCATGCGATGTCCTCGTTAGGCGCCGGCGGGTTGTAGGCAGTGTCGGGGGCTGTCTGTTGTGCCATCCCGTCCCCTCGTAGGAAAGTCGTTTTAACTGTAGTCATAGGTGCCAACCCGTGGGAGTCAAGTAGGCCGTTACTAAGAACAGCTTTTAGGTTCTGAAACGGAACCACAAGTCAAAACCCGCGATGGCGTCGTCTGCCGTACTGCTGGCTGTGGTGGTTTAACTGTGCCACGATGTGCACACGGCAAGCAGCCCTCTAATTTATAAGATGATATGTCGGCCGCCATTCTCGGCCAGTAGACTATTAACACTGACAGTCGTCTCAGTGTCAATGCCTTTGGTAAATGGCCCGTTTGATCGTTAGCCTTTACGAGGGCTTCTGCTACGTTATCAAGTAACAGACATTGCTGCCCAATGCCGCGGTAATGATGTTGGAGTCGGTTATGGCTTCCACTCGGGCAAAACCGTGACGTTGGATCAACTTGGAAACGCCGACTTCCGTCGTCTCTAGGGCAAGTCGACGGTAGTATTTATCGTCTGCCAGTGGCCATGGCCCAATCTCTGATTCCGTTCCCTTGCACGGTGTGATCTTGGAGCGAAAAATGACAGGAAACTTGGGAGGACCAGGCGTCGAGAGAGCAGGGTGGTCGCTGTTACAGCGATACTTAATTGAGCACGCCATCAGTGGCGAGTGATTGAGACATGCCGAAAGGAAGGAATTCCTGTCAGCGGTTGTGTTGTTGCGTGGGTAGGGCGTGGTGGTTTTGGCAAACGAGACAGGTCGGAGGAAGAGGGTGGAAGGATGGGACGAACTTCGATGTTTTCTATCTGTCGAGGCATTAGGGTTTGCAGCAAAGAATGCCCCGTCAGCGACCAAGCACGCACACTGGTTGCCCACAAAGTCAACATCTCCTTATATTTATGTACGTACCGGTAGGGAAGCGAGCGGGAAGTGCAAATTGTTGCTGTAGAACCGCGTGGTGGATGGGCTGTACCTTTGGCAGATCTAATATTGAAGAGGTATCTACCTTACGAGTCCATGAGACCCCCCCCTCCCCCATTATACGAAAAGGAAGACACACACGCCCTCACAGCCACACCCAAGCGGCCCGTTCAGTGTCGAAAACGAGTTGAGTACACAGGTGGCGGTCCTAGGTCAGAGAACAGCACATCGACACCGAGATGGGAGCTTGGGCTAGACGACAAATGTAAAGACAAGAAAAGATTTGACGGAGGGAGAAAAATCAAAATAAAATAGAGCCGGGGCTGCAGATGTTGTATTATTTTTATTTTTATTTTTTACATCCCGGTATGCAGGTTTTAATGCACGGTTAGGAATACCTAGGTAGGCTGAGCTAAGTCATCTGACGCTAGGACGAAGACGAGAAATAAACGGTGATAGAAGAATGTGTCCCGCCCGCGCTCGCACGGTATGTGCTGACGGCACCTGCTCGTGGCCGACGCAGGTTCATTCAACTCCGATAGTTCAATAGCTTGTTTGTGCACCTATACGCGGGTAACCCGTTTAGAGCTATACGGGAATGCCGTCCTGAAGACGATCCGCTGCGCATATAGGGGGTAAACCCCCCGGAACGTTTCCTCCGACTGCAGGCCGCCTAGGACCCTCCCATCCGACCATCCCCCGTCACGAACCGGCCTTCGCTCTCTCCAAGCGCTCCTCCGTCATCTGGAAGCATTCGGGCAGGCCGGTGTCCTCCCAAGTGCCGCCGAGGATGAGCTTTGCCACGCCCGGCGCGCACGTGAAGATCCTCGCCATGCCTAGAAAGTTACACAGTAGCATTAGCGATCATTAATCTCAAACCACTTGGACCAACGACGGCATATTTTTTTATTCCTCTTTTAGATACGGGAAGGCTCTACTCACCATGACCGTTAAACCCGGCACAGATCCACTGGCCGTCGCGGCCGGGGACGGGGCCGACGAGCGGGACGGAGTCGGGAGTCATGGCGACGATGCCGGCCCAGGCGTGGAGGAGGCCCTCGCCGAGGCGCAGGCGGGCGGGGTCGCAGGCGGGGAAGCAGGCGGCGAAGTGGGCCAGGGTGTCGTCGCGGACCTCGGCGCTGACGAAGCTGTCGTCAGGGACGAGGCGGGCCGCTTGCGCCTCGGGGCTCGCGCGCGGGTTCGCGATCGGCGCGCCGAGGATGACGATCCCGTCCGCCGCGCGCTGCGCCACCGAGTAGAAGTGCTTCAGCGAGTGGCGCAGCGACATGGTGCTGCGCAGGCGGCCGGTCGCCGACAGCGCCGGCGGCGGCACGAACGCGTGCGCCTGCGCCCGGTTCGGCGTCACGAAGCGCGCCAGCGCCGGCACCAGGTGCGGCGCGAACGCGTTCGTGCAGTGGACCACCGCCGCCGCCGCCGTCGTGCCCCGCGGCGTCGCCACCTCCCAGCGCTTCCCGCCCGCCGCCGCCGCCGCCGTCTGCGACTCCGCGAGCCCCGTCGCCGGGCAGTGCGTGAACAGCCGGACCCCCCTGTCGAGCGACCGCGCCAGCAGCCACTGCGCCAGCCGCGCCGGGTGGACCGACCCGGCCGGCCACTCGTACGCCGCGACCGCGCCGGCGACGCGGGTCGCCTCCCGCGCCGCGTCGCCCGCGTAGAACCTGACGTGCGAGACGTCACCGCCCGCCGCCCGGTACCGCGCGAGGCTCTGCGCGTTGAAGTCGGCGAACTCCGGCGTCATGCACACGTCAAAGGTGGTCGTGGGATTGAAGTCGCACGGCACGCCGTGCTCCCGCACGAACTCGCCCACCTTCTCGAACACCAGCTTCTCGTTCGCGATGACCTTGAGCGCCTGCTCGCGGCCGTGCAGCTGCTCGTACATCTGGAACCCGCGGAACGCATCTGCACCGGGTCGACGGTCAGCGAATCATGCGCTGCCAGGGACTTCTCTCTTTTTTCCTTTTGCTTCTTTCCTATGCAGGGACGGGACTCCGGTATACTGACCCGGTCGCACGTGGCCCGCGTTTCGCGAGGTTGCCCCGCTAGCGGCCTCCCTCGCCTCGAAGATGACGATGTCGCTCGGCGGCACGCCCGCCGCGACTAGCTCGAAGGTCGTTAGGGCCCCCGAGAGGCCGGACCCGATGATGACGAATTCCGCCTCTGCCGGCACCGGCGCGTCCTGGTTGCTGTGCAGGATCGGGTGCGACCGCGTCGTCTGCTGCCAGAACGACAGGCACGGGTCGGGCACCGGCAGGCCGGCAATCCTCTGAGGTTCGTTCGAGGCGGGCCCCATCGTCACAGATAGCTCTTTGGTATGGCGGGAAGAGAGGGGGGACGGGCAAGCGAAGGCAGGTAGGTGGTTTCTACGTCATCGCGGGCAAATCGGTGGCGACCGCCGAGGGGGTTGTGGGCTTGAAGGGGGAGGGCTTTTAAAAGGCGCCTCCCGGCTAACGGGCGAGGCGTCTCTGCGGGGAACACCCGAAATCACCACCGTTCCGACCGCGTGAGGAGGAAGAGGAGGGAAAGAGGAGTTGACGCATGACAATGGCCTGTTGCGCACTTGATAGGCTCGCCCGCTGGGGATTTTATCGACTAGGCTCGGTGCTATCCTTACCGCGTCCCTCCCGATTGATAACGAGGGATGGAGATACCGAAGTTGATGGGTTTTAGGCTTCAACTGCTCCATGAGGAATAGTGAGAAATCGGAGTTGATGCCTGAGCCCCAACTTGTCCCTCGGAAGACTGCTATCACAGTCTTCGATGCTGTGCCCAGTGCCCGTAAACACGAGGCACTCTAGTCTTATACACGCTCCTACGGGTACAAGTGACGAACGTTCACTGCAATAGTTCCAGGGCCGTATCTCCAAACTTCCCGGTTCGCGGGGCTCAACCCCTGTCCGAAGAGATAAACTGCTATCCGACTCCGATCCCGGAGGCCGACCTGGTCAAACCGGGATACGCCGCGGGCGTGCTGCCTGGAGTAACTGAAACGAGCACATCTCATCAGCAAATAGCAGGTAGAAGCGATTGCATGCATTCTAGATACGTAAATACTACGTCGAAATAATAAGTAATATGCTGATGCTGTGCCTAAAGTACAGACTTGACTAGGGGTATTTTCATTATTTTTGTCCCAACGCCCGCTCGGTATCCGAAGTCTAACCATACCGCGAACTCGTCCACGATCTGGCCGAGTCCGACACTTCTACCAGAAAAATCCCCTATTTAACCGCCCCTCCCAAACCGGAGCCACCTCTTAATCGCGGATGGCTGCTCACCACTCTTTTCCCCCTGGCCTTGCCCCCCTTGCTTCGCGTTGGCAGCCTGGCGCTGTAGGCGCTGCTGCTTCCAGCGCAAGAAATAGCAACAGAAGGGGAAGAGGGCAATGTTGACAGCGGTCCAGGCGAACAGTACGCCGAAGTTGAGCCCGATCTGCGAGTGCAGGTCGAACAGGATCTGTCGACTCGCCTGCACGATGTGGTGCAGCGGCCACGCGTATCCCCATCTGAAGAAGCCCGGCGCCAGGTCTAGCGAGTAGAACGCCGCCGAAACGTTCGTGATGACCCACTACGCGAATGATCAGTTAGTTCATGTCCTCGTGCGTAGGACGGATAGCCGAAGGAGTCAAGGGGTGGAGTGGAAAAGACGAGCGACTCACGAAGATAAGCCAGGCAGCGGTCCACGGTTGGCCGATCATCATACCGACGTTCTCGCAAGCAATACCGAGGGCGTTCATGCCGATAAAGTTAACCATCCAATACACGACGAAGGAGCCGCGGCCGTATGCCGTCGCATTGAATGCCGGTTCCGTTGGTGACGCCGGCCCTGTCGAGAACGGGATCTGGAACGCGAGCGACACGAACGAGTAGACGAGCGAAACACTGAAGTACGTCATTATCGTCGCAAACAGCCGCCACACGATCAGCTGCCAGAATCGCAGCGGCGGGTGCCCCTGGGGGATGATGAGTTTCTGCAAGTCGCCCTCTGGTTAGCACGCACACACGCGGCGGGAGAGAGGAGACACCGTTTCCGAGGCTAAGTCCTAAGCTGGTCCTAGGGCTGACCCGCTCAGTAGTTCACTCACCATGTGTATAGGCAGGAAGAAGGCGAATGAGAAGAAGGCTACGATGATTAGGTAGATGAGGCCGATGCTAACAGACGGGCTGGCCGCGGCGGGCAGGAAGGGGCGGAGATCAATAGTCAAGGGCGCGACGGCCGGGGTCAGGGCGGCGGGCGCAAGCGCAAGCGTGTCCCGCGAGACGGACTCGTTGGCCATGACGATACGAGCCCAGGTAGGACCGAAGTCGGCGGCAAACTCGCGGGCGAGCGCCTGCAGCTGCGGCGTGAAGTAATTCGAGAAAGTAGTCTCGTGGCGTGCCGATTGCACGATGAACTGGACGGCACCGGTCGGATCGTACGAGGCATTGCCCGTCGCGACAGCCTCTTGCAGTAGCGCCGTCGCGTTCGCGTGAATGATGACCGCGGCCCAAGCGTCCCAGTCGTACACGCCCCGTCGTACCGCGATCGGATCGAAATCGTAGCGCGACGGCGGCACCGAGACAAACCCAAGTGCTGGGGGCCCGCCGGCCGCGGCGTTGTCGACGAGGCGCTGTGCTGCCGCTCGCATCGCCGGCCCGACAAGTGGCGTTACGCCCTCGAACGGGGTCACCTGCGCGTCGAAGTCGACGATGTATACCGCAAGCTTGCTGAGATTGCTCTCCACGTGCGACAGCACGGCCCAGAACAGCGACAGTACACCAATGATGAAGAAAAGAAGGTATACGACTGGGGATGTGGTAAGCCAAACTACCGACACTCGACATCGCACAACGGCGTATGGGTTCGGAGGGGAGACGGTGTGGGAGACTAACGGATTCGAAACCACTCCCACGCTACCTGTTTGCGGATATTGGCCATCCTAGGGTCCCAGTACCCAGCGGTCCGACGAGGCTTCTGGAAAGGGGCCTCCCCGCGCGCTTCCTCGTCGCTCGTCGGGGCGTTCGCGATCGTGCTACCGGATCCATTCCGGGTTTCGACGCCTTGGTGGGCTATCGTGGTAGGTTGGTGCTTGGGAAGATCATCTTGGCCAGCTTTAGCGAGGACCGAAGCGTCCGGTGGAGGCTCGTTCGGCGGCATGTCTTGCTACTCTGCCCCCCTTTCTCTCGTCCTCTTTCCTCTTCGAATCTCAGAAGGGGGCAATATTGCCGGGGAGGGTGCCAGAGAGGGTGAACCAGCCAAGAAAGTCAGGGTCAGAGTGACGGTGGTTGTAAGAGAGAAAGCCTTTCCCAGGTCGAATGGGGAGGCTGATCGCTGCTGTTTCGCCTTCGAAGAGAGGAGTCTGGTGTTAAACATACCTACCTCGGGCAGGTATATATGTCTTAACGACTCGTGCAGCAGTAACTCCGACCACCCTTCCCCAGCCTTCACGTACACATCGTATACCACGGCCGAGCCGAGCTCGGGGGTATTCGCTACGATCTAAAGCCGCGCGATCCTAAGCCCAGTGAGGGAAGGTCACGTCGCGAACCGGACCCGGACAGGCGGAAGCGACCCTCCTTGATTGGACCTATGCCTACGTAAAGGGAAATAGGGGAGAGTCACCGTCTGGGTGTGATCAGGAAGTAGACCAGGCCAGGGCCTCACCCCTGTTTTTTTTTTCTCTTGGTGTGTGGACCTTGCGGCGGAGTTGAATTTTAACCCTACCTGTCGTAGCCGACGCAGATACGGCGACGAGGAGGCATCGAAAGACCAAGCGGTGGCGGACGGAGCCTCGGCACTGGCAGACCCAATAGCCAGTCAGCCGCCAACGTGATGAGGAATCGGTGTGGGTGCCCGCCGTCACCACCCAGCCCTAGCAAGACCTACCTAACCTACCTATCACCGCGTCTTGGGGACGGAAGGAGGGTGGGTACTACGCTCCCATCACAGCCGCTCAATGCGACAAAGGCTCTCCACGTCAAGCCAGGCCAAGTCTCCCATCTCCATCTCCAAAAGCGCGAAAAGGCGACGTGGGACAGGCGCGGCGAATAAGACAAAGCATCAGAACAAAGCGGAGGGGACGAGCGAGCGAACGAATGCCATGTCATGAAGGAAAGGAAGCCGGGTACGCTGATTCGTCAGCCAGACGAATGAGCGTAAGATGGTGGCTTGATGCCGGGTGCTCGAGCGATGGATCGCTTGCCGGCTGGGCTTGGGCGAGGAGAGGAAGAGGCAAAAAGGATGCGGGACGGACTGGCGAAGGGACGAGCAGAGGGACGAGAGAGAGAAGGCCTAGAGGCGAGGCGACGGAGATAAAGGGCTTAAGGTTGGTACTCTTTTTATTTCTATGTTTTTTCTTTTCGTCTCTGGTCGCCGCGGGTTGAAATATTGAGGCAGGCAGGGACATTGGTGTTGATGTTGCGACGCCTTCCTATCGAACGATGTGTAGCCACTTCGCGCCTTCACACGGGATGGGTAGATGTTACCTGCCCTTAAGTACCTTTTTCATGTACATATACAACCTACCTGAGTATCTTTACATCCGTGGGGAGGCAGGGAAGTACATGCCCTTCTCTACTACCTCGTCGTACACAATACATGCATCCTTTCTCCCTCTTACCTAACCTCATCACAACCCCTGCCCACCACGCCACGCCACACGCCTGCCTCTCGTTGACACATGCAACCTCCCCCAACGGGAGCCACCTTGCCGCATGTGGGCATATCCCTAATCACATCCCTAATCACATCCCTATTCTCGTTACACGACTAGGCACACGCACAATATTACATACGCAGCTCGCTGCCAACTTACACATGCTGACATTGGCTCGCGCGACTGGCACGGAGGGAGGGGAGGAGATACGCCGCGCTGACCCAGCGCTCCGGCACGCGCGTGCGGACTTACCGCCTGTAAGTAAGCAGGCCGATCGCCGCGAGCCCAGCAGCAGCTGAGTGAGAAAAGCGAGAGACGGGGTGGGGATCGTCGCCTCAAAGGGGAAGGAGGCTGCTGAGGAAGATTGCCCTACCGTTACCGCCAGGCGGGGAGGCGAGCGGCGGGGCCTCCGAGAGTTTCTCCTCTCCGAGCGCAGCTAGTTCCGCGCAGCGGTGTTCTGCGCGCGGAGCGGTATGGCCAAGGGCGGATTGCCTAATACCTACCTACCTAAACACCTTACCTATCTAGGGACCTTTAGGGACCTAGGTTAGGTAGGTAGGCATCTAGCACACCCTCTCCAGAGCACCTAAGTGGGCGCCCGCCGGGATGGCCAGTAGCTGGTTTTTAGCGGGAGCACTGCGCAGAGTGCACCTTTTCCAGCGAAACCCAGACCCGAATAACAGTGAGCGAGCCGTCGTCGCGGCCCTGTCTCATTATCTCGTGTAGATAGAATGCGTGACGTTAAATATACTTCTTCTTCTTTAACCCACTGTCTACCTACCGACTTACCTACCTGTCTATCCTTCTACTCGCCGGCCAGCGACCCGCCCCAGCCCAGCCCAGCCCAGCTCGCCAGACGCCGCCAGGTGGCCGGGGGCGGAGTGTCGCAAGGCCGCGACGCGCGACGGGCCGGAGTTTTGTCGACGATTACGGGGGGGGGGGCGGATCTTCGCTGCCGTCGGCGCATCCACACCCGCCCGCCTACAGGCTAAACGGCAACGCAATCCGCACCAAGGAGCCTCTCTTGCCTGCGCGCTGAATTTACCCATGCTGGTGGCTGCCCGCCCGCCCAGGGTCCGCGCCGCGCGCAGGCGTGCCGTCGCCGCACCCTCGCGCCCCCCTCCGCGTCCTCCCTCCTACCTCGCCGACGGACGCATCTTCTCTCTCTCTCTCTCTCTCTCTCGCCGTCCTGTCCTCGTGCCGCTTCCCTTCGCGACGGCAGCCAATCGCCTGCGAGGTGCGCGATCCCGCCAAGTCTAGTCTGTCAGATCAGATCGAGATGGAGGGGACCCGAGAGAGCGTAGTCCTAGATATACCTATCTATCTTGCCTTTCCAGATCCTTGATTGCTTATGGGGGAGGACCAGGGGCGAGAGGAGGAGTTTAATTACATTCAAGCTGCAGGGAGCAGGACGGCACTGAGATGCCGCGCGAGAGACGTACTGTATATACCTAGATAATTACTACGCTGCCTTCCCTCCCTCCGTCTCGCCCAGCCCAGCCCAGCCCAGCCCAGGCTAGCCCCAGCTCGGGGTCGGCTCCCCCCCAGCCAACGCGCCTCTCCTCCCCTCTAGACTCTCCCTGATAGCCCAGCCATAGTCTCGCTGTCCCTTTGCCTTCCGCTATTTCAGCACCTATAACCGCAACGTTTTCCCCCTCTCTCCCTCTCCCTCCCTCTCTCTCCTCACTCCCCCCAACCCCCCCTCCTCAACCCATTGTTCCCCGCAGTCTCTCCTTTGTTCACGCCTCCCTTCGCCGCCCTTCGCGTCATCTCCCCGCACCACCAACCCCAACACGTCCCCGCGGGCCGCCGCCGCCGCCGCCGATTCGCCCGCGCCGGCGCGGTCGCCGCTCGTCTCTTGCGACGCAGTCTCGTCGCTGGGCCGGGACGCGCGTCGGTGACACAGAAGCGCGGGACGAGGGGAAGGGCGTCGCGAGGGGAGAGGGAGGGTGATGAAGACGATGACGGGAACGAGGAGGTAAGATGCGAGGGGGAGGCCTTGTTGGTGCCACCGCGCCCGGCCAGCTCGGTGCCGGAGAGGAGGGAAGGGTGGTGGTGGTACAACGACCGTTATGCACGAATCTCTACTTCTTTATCTGCCCTACGAGCGAGAGACTACGAAGCAGACCACGAAACGGTAGTAATAACACAGTCCCCCTCGACCATTGCCGGTCAGAATTAAGAGGGGAGGAGGCTGTTGCTGGAGACCTCAGTGGTAAGTCGTGGGCGTAACAGCTCTACGTTGGGCTAGCATGTTTCGCAAAACGTGGCACACGGATCAATCAGCAGGTCAAGCCGACACGGGGGATGCCGGTGGCAAGGAGCCGAGTTAGGGGGGGATATCATATATTCTGATCGATGCCTCGACTCTGAAGATGATTATCGGCTACATATGTAGGTGAATGTATTACAGCCGACAATGCTGTACCATGCGCTCTTGTGATTTCGTGACGCGGCCAACTTCTCCTTCGGGTGCTGAGAAAAGCACAACCCGTCCAAACAAATAGAAAGCAAACCGAGGACGTTGCTCGCATTTGCAACAAAGATGTATACACTAGAGAAGGAAATTCAACGTTATCGTGTGACCGGGCCGATCTGCAATGTAAACCGATGCCAAAACTTGCAGCAGTAGTAGGGGTAGAGGAGTAGGACTGGAAGTAGAAACAGCAGCGGCAGCAGCAGCAGTAGAGGGAGTAGGAGTACGAGTGAAGTAATGGGTCATGTTCTGCCGTCCATTTTATTCTTCTGCTCCTTCGAGTTTGTCTCCCAGAAAACCTGAAACGCCGCCCAATCCCCAATCCAATATAACCTGACCCAGTGTAGACCTAAACTTCGGTATATGCGTGTCGCTTTTTTTTTTTCCTATCTAAATTTTTTTTATTTCATAGTGTCGAACAGCTGCGAAGCTACAGCCCGACGGTGAGCCGTTCCAGCCTCGCTAATAAGGGCTCTATGCTGGCCATGAGGCGGTCGACCCTCCTCGCGGCGATGCTGGTGACGATATCCTCGCCTTCGGATTCCACCAGCTCGTACCTGGCGAACGCCTTCTCGGGTTCGACATCGCCAAAGATATCAACGGCAATTAAGCTGTCCGTGTTGAGATCAGCCGGCTTCGAAGAGGCAGTCTCGGGTTCCTCGTAAATGTCCCCATCGAGATCAGAGGCAGGGCTCTCCGACGAGGTCGGCTCATCGGGTGTTGCGGCAGCGTCGGCCAATGGAAGCACCGGGGACACGAGGACGGGAGCTTCCGTCTTCTCGATGCCGGACGCGACCAGCTCGCCTACAAAGTTTGTAGACTTGCCCGCTAGCGCCTCCGTGTCGACGGCCGGAAGATCAAGTGTCTCGAGAATAGTGAACACCTGGGGTTGATAGTTAAAGTGGTCGGGGCCGAGGTTCAGCGACCTCCACTCCATGCTCTGTTCCGGAAGCATGACCATTCCGATGGTGTGAGGCTGCTCGGCCGGCTGGCTGGTGGCGAAAGCATGCACATCCTTCGGCCTCTGACGAGCGTCGGACAGCCGCTGTTCAGGTTGCGGAGGCTGCAGCTGCGACTGCGGCAGGGCGGCGGGGTTGGCACTCAAGTGATCTAGGAAGCCGGAGAATGACGGAGAGGACAGGAGCATGCGAGTAAAGTCGCCCAAACGCCTGTTCTCCTCAGCAAGCGCGCGGTTCTGTGACCTGAGCTCGCCGTTTTCGGTCACCTTGTTCGCGATCTCGGCTTCGAGTTGGGTGATGTATTCTGTTGTTTGGTCAGTCATTGTTTCCCTCTACCCATTCTCGCCTGGCTAGACTCGCGATTACTTACCCTTTCTTCTGGATCGGAAGGCCCTTGCGGAGACCTTGTTGCGCAACTGGCGCCTCTCCTTGCTGCTTAGCTTCTTGCCCTCCTCGCTCGCGAGAAGTCTCTCGTCCTCGTCCATGTCGTCTTCGTCCTTTTTCGCCCTCGGAACTTGTGTAACGGGAGACCCGTCCCCACCATCGCTCGGACTCGCACACTGTGCCCGCATGTGGTTCAGCACCTGAGTGATCTTATGTTCGACGATAGGGTCAGCGGGAGGCTTCGGCCGAGGCTGTTTCACCTTCAGATTTTGTCCTCGCACTATTTGCTGCTGTCGGGCCCTCTCCATCGCGGTTTGCTGGTGTATTCCGGGGTACATCCTCCCCGCATTGCCTGGCTGACGGAGACTGCCTGCTACCACCTGAGAGTCGGGAGCGCCGATCGCATTGGGGTTGATGGTCTGGTCAGGGAAGAGGAAGGACGACTCCGCCTGCGGGTCAAAGTCGAGGTCCATGTCGGCCGTGCTCAGGGACTGTGGCGAGAAGTTGAAGACGTCGTCGGTCTGAGAGAAGTTGTAGGGCGCGTACTCCAAATCGTAACCGGTGATCTGGGCGTTGTTCCGGTTGATAGCCATCGTATTTGCGACGGCTCCGGGTACGAAGGGGGTCTGTTGCTTGTACTGGTCGTACTGATGGCTAGGGCCAGACAGCACCTGACCGGCCGGCAGCGTCGACGGCGTCGTTGCCGTCACCGCCGTCGGCGTCCGGACGAACTGGGATTTGTTGGCGGCACTGGGGGACAGCGAGGGCGAGGAATACGTCCCCGCGTCGTATTCGGAGAAATCGAACAGGTCGAGAGGGTCGGACAGAGCAGTGGGATTTGTCGACGACTGATTTGACGCCATGGCTTGTCGTCGCACTCGGCGTGATTGTGTCGCTGGTTTTGTGCCCTGTTCTGTCTCGTTCTGTTTTGCCAGTACGCCGAGCTTCAACGGGCGCAATAGTAAGAATGGTAGTCCAAGAAATATAACGAATAGGCGCTAGTAGATACAGTAACTATTCATAGCAGGCGGCTGTGGTGGTGGTGGTGGTTTGGTTTAATGTTGAGATGAGCGAAGTGAGAGGGAGAAACGGGAAGGGGGAGATCTGACAGGCAGAGGACGTCGGATTAGCTGGGAGACGGGATTATTATGGGTGCCTGAGCCAGACCAAATCAACCAGGCGGGAAGTGTATTGAGGAGAGAGAGGAAAAGCGAGGAGTGGGTGATCCGCTAGAGTGTCCGGACCAGGGTGGCTTGGCCCGCGACATGGCCTGGTTTATCTGCCCGACCGGGATAAGGTCTGCCATTAAAGAGGGGAGGGACGCGTAAGCCCTTTTCTGCGCTACCTCAGGTACCGTCGCAGTACCGGCAGATGTACTCCGTCGTGCCCGGGGTACATACTGCCCAAGTGCATAAGGTGCCGAGATGCTTCAAACCGGAGGGGAACTAAGCCGGATTGCAGGGAATTCTTGTTGCTCAAGTCCGCGCATACACTCGTTTATTGACAGGAATATGCACTTAAGGGCATGCCCCAACTCCACCCCCGAGAGAGAGCGAGACGTACCCAAGTACCTGCCCACACCCACCCCGGGTACCCGCCTTAGGTACCTCTATCCCCGGCGGCATGGGCCAGGAGAGGGGGTACCTAGGTACGTACCAGACATGATGAGGACACCGAAGCTGTGGAGCCTCCCTTCCCTTCTGTACATAGGTATGTATATAGCATAGGTGGTATGTAACTCGGCGCCGATCACGAAGACGATCGTGACATTCAAGCATGGTGAATACCATAAACACGGAGACTAACCCGAAATCTTCAAGGGAAAAAAGAAACGAAGGAAGAAGAGAAAAATTAGAATACTCGGGGAAATTGAAGACGAAAAACATGATGAAAACAAAGTGCCTGCCGGCAGGTAGGTAAGTTATCATCAGTCAGGGGGGAGTATAATTTACTGTAGGTTAGGTACCTGGTTTTCGGCATCTTGGTTCGACCTGTTACATCGTTGCTGGCATTACCAAGTAAGAGGCGAGTCACTCCGCCTGCAGTCCACGATAGCAACTTGACGGACGGCGCAATATTCGTATATCCTCCTCAACTTATAACAGGTACATAATCTGCATAGCCTACCTCCTGCTGTATCCCTTAGACCTCAGGTACCTACGATTATACCTATATACTTGCGTAGAGGCAGGCGTGCCTCCACGGCTGTTCGGTTACGAGGTAGCGCAGCGGACAGACATCTGAAGGCTACCCCCGATCCTTCGATCTCATCCCATCCCATCCCATCCCATCCCATCCCATCCTATCCTGCATGAGAGCTCACACTCGCCGCAGCTATAGGATGACGACGCCAAATGCCTACGAAGGGCTCCCGTCCAATAGCCGCCGCCCAGCGAAGAGGAAGACGACGAAGACGGGTCTTGGCCGATGGTGAGCGATGACGATAGCGAACGCAGCCGGCAGACGGGCGATGCCACCAACCCATAGACGAGAGAGAGGAGGGTGTTTTGGCGAGCATTGGTAATAGAATTAACATCGGATAACCTAGACGGGATATCTGCCTTACTTGCAGACCCTAGATACTTTTGGGAGAAACCCTGGACCGAACGGAAACAAGAGGTGTGAAAAAGGAGAGCGAGGGCGGGGAGGGGAGAATTGTACTACAGAGTGATAATCCCTCGCGCACGGCGGAGGACATGATATGACTCGGCACACAGTTGGGGGAGGCCCCCCTTTTTTGGCGCCGAGTCGGCTTCGTGGAGCAATAATTATAAGCCGCGACGGGTGCGATTGTTTTGTTTGGCCAGCCAAACCGGTCTCGTTCACCGGGGGAAATGGACGGATAGGTGTCTTTTAGGAAAGTTGGCGGACAGGCAGATATCGAGCCCGACGCCGGCTCGACGGCACCGTGTAGATGTACCCAGGTAGAGAGATGCAAAGCGGCGGGCGACTCGCTCAGGGCCATTCTTGCTTTATTGGCGGAGGGGGGTGCGAAAGGATTGAGAGAGATTCGGGCGCGCACAGCCACCACTGATGTCCGCTTGGCGGATCACTCGATTTCGAATCAAGCATCGCCAAGCGAATAGCGAGCGAGAGATTAAAGTCCGGGAAGATCCCATCGCGCCCGTGTCGGCCCTGGTACATACTCGTAGTTAGGTATCTCTCGAATTGTGCTGATTTGTTTTCTCCCCCAGCCAATCTGGCTTGCTGGGCGTCGCCGAGAGGACAGAGCTTCATGGGCTGCCTCCCACACCCCGGCCCCGAAAGTCTCCGTGACACTCCGACGTGATAACCAAAGAGACTGAGCACCCAATCCTCGCACATTTTAGGTACATAATCCCCATAATCTTCGTCCCAATTGCCTATGTGAATTCCTTACCGTACGGTTTCCACCTACCTGTGGACTCTGGTCTCGATCCATCACCTGAGCCTCACTACGCCCAGTGCCCCAAAACGCTTATATAAGTGGAACGTATGGAAGAATCGGCATTGCCTTTTTCTCATGAGTCCGTGCTCGTATGTAGAGCCGTCGCCTATCTTCTATAGGCTTCCTCGATCGAATCTGGCGTAGCGTTTGAGGCTTAGAGAGGCTCCTGTGCTCATGCCTTCAGCTCGACAGGGATCGAGCCAGACAGGTCCCAATACAATAATAAGCCTGTGCACAATGCATGCAATTCACAGCCAGCGTATTCTTCGATCGCAATGCGACCCCATGGAGGTGGCCTGAGTAGGTGCCGAACCTGGACGGGAGGTGGTCGAGCCACCCACAACAAATCGGTCACGTGACAGAGAGACAGTTCACAGTCTCGGACCAATCCCAACTAGGTACCTATGTATTTCGGTAACGGTAAAACCCCGGCGACAAGAGTCATCAGGACGCGCTCTGCGTAGAATTCTCTCGTTTTTCACCTGTGTGTTATCTTAGAATACGGATCCTTCAAGAAACGGAACGAGATCAGCATGGATAACCCGAGCCCAAGAAGGACCAGCAGTAGCCGATCTAGCCGGTTTGGGGGTGGATCGCTCCCCTATAAGGCTGGTGGCAAGACAACCGTGGTTCTCAGGACGTATTCATGCAGGCGCAGCAGCAGAACGACCTCGTTCATCGCCCACCGCCATATGTCCGGCGCTGAGGTACTGCGCCGGTGCTGGACAGGCCTCGCGCTCGATTGCCGGTGGGACAGAATCGACCAGCAACTCTGGACATTGGATACGTTCGATATAAAAATAGCTTCCGATTCAACCACTACGGGGTCGGCCTGTTTCACGTCAGCGTGGTGGAGGTCGCCCCCACTGAGGTGTTCCATCATGCTCGACCTCGATTGCCCACCTGAGGAAGCAGGGAAAAAGAAGCTTCAGCCCTTTATGCGCCTCTAACCGGGGGAGCGCTGGGGTGATCTTCTCCCGTCCTACTGGTTGCTCGTTCTCGGAGGCGTCTGCGTATGTATGTATGCGCCGTCGGACGAGGAGAACCAGCCCCGGGCGAGTGCCAGGCCATGACGTAGACGGGCCACTGCCGGCATCGGGTTGAGTCACTGCAAGCACACCAGGCAGAGGGTTCCCCTCTACCTAATATCACACTTGCACATGCCTCATGAGGGACGGCCGGGACTTGGAACCAGAGCCAGGACTCCAACCTTTGGCTCGATAAATTAAAGAACGGTGAGGCGAGCTATGACCGCCGGCACTGTGCTCCCTACCTAAAGCAACTCGGAGCATATAAGTATGGAGATATTTCCATTTCACGCTTAACCCGGTGGGGGTTCAAAATCTCCCAGGGTGCCCAACAAAGGCAATCCCCGGCAGCAGGGGACGGAACTTGCCGCAGTTTTTGAAAAGTCGAGACTGGGTACCTGAAGCGCCTTCATCGGAGGTATGGATTTATGTGGCTTCATAGCCGACCTCCGCCGCCTCCAATCTGGTCTCGTGTGGCTGTGGCACCCGTTCATCAAGCAAGAAGGCCCTCCCCCAGACACTGTAAGAAGGGGGTCAGACAGCGCGCGAAGTAGCCCCTTTTCCGACGCTCCGCTCCGCTCTGCTCTGCTCTGCTCTGCCACGCCATTTCTTCTTCTTCTTGCCCTCCCCTTTCACTTGGCTGACCACCGCGCTTTGCACCGTTCTACTAAGGTATATCTAGCGAGCTCAGCACGGCACTAGCCAGTCCTTCGACGGGCAACACGAAGAGGGCGCGCACATTAACCCCGATACCCGCGTCTCTCTCGGCTCTGTCGGAACGGGCTGGTTTTATGCCGTCTCCGCCTCGGCCGAGAGCCTCTGGGTCGGTGGTCGGCGGTAGCGAAAGTGCGTGGCCGAGGAGCGCGATGCCCGTCCCAACTCGGCGTAGTCGCTGTGCGCGGTGGTCTCATGTATGCGAGACACACTGTGTAGAAAATCATATTACTCCAACTAATGCTGCCAGGTATGCGTTCCCTCGTTCTAGAAAGGCATTATCTACTCAAGACAACCTGGCGTCATTTCGCCAGGATCTAGCCCGCCATACAAATCCCACCCCCGTCCTACCCACGAGATGCGCGGCGTGACATTGTGGCAGCAGTCTGCTACTGTGTAGGTCACTTTTCAAGGGAGGTGGGCAGGCGTTGACCAACCAACCAATCAACCAACCAACCAACCAGTCTCTAAAATAGCTACTCTCTCTTACACTACCCACACGCCCATCCGCGGCATAATCCGTCGCTTTTGCTACCAAAGCTAGACAACTATGCCTCCCCCAGAGCTTGTGGTGGAAGGGTGGATGTAAAGGGCCAAGGTCTGGGTCCCTCTCTCGACAACATGCGGGGAATTGTCCACTTTAGGGCCGCTAGGGCCGGTCGCGGTTCGAGGGTCGTTTCACATCTCCTAACGACGACATTGTGATGCGAGGCGCTTTAATCTCCCAACACATAACAGCCGTTTTCACATCACGTGGGAATCCGGACATTACCAGACGAGCAGGTGTAAGGCGCCGACGTTCCCCCGATGTTCTACCATTTAGAACGATGCCAGGATCTTTCTGGGCTTCTGTTACCCAGCGTGTCGCCGCGTGGGATAGTTTGTTTCCAGTGCCACGCGGCAATCGTTTCTCACTACCGCCAGCGACATGAAACGACATACGTAATTGCTCGTCGCTGCAATGCGTAAATGCAGAAAAATTATCTAGCGACAAGTTTTGAGGAATTAGTAGGCCTCTCGGATGTTTTTTTATTTTAGTTTTGTTTCGTCCCGTTTCGTCCGTGCTGATGAGTGAAGTCTTGATACGTTGACGAGTAACCGCCGGCTAACCTCCCATCACCCCACCCAGCCGGCATAGGATGAGAAAAGGAGTAGTTAGCATTTCAGCGTCCTCTACTCATCGTCTTTACACGTGGAAACGTAGTAGTGGAAACACACACATGCCGAAATGAGGGACTGCTTCTGTCCATGTACGACGCAAGGGCCTCCGGCGACGTTGGGTGGATTAGGCTCACACATAGTTCGGGCTTTTCCCACTGTCCTGACGTCTAGCTACATGTTCTGCACTGAACGTAAGCATCTACTTATGTATGTTTTTATCTCGGACTATCCGATAATGAATCCGACAATTTCGGTCCAAGTTTCGCGCATCCCCGCGGTTAGCAAAGTGACAAGGTCTCTACGCTCGATACTTCCTTCACTAATATTGAAATGGAGGCGGTTCATTTCGGGGGTTAATCTGACAGCTTCGGTTTTTCAACAGTTAATTTCACCAATGACTGGAGACTGCACGTAGGTGAATACAAGGGATATGCCGTGCTTACACACGAAAATCTCACCTCGCCCCTAGAGAACCTACTTCTCTTGTTTAGGGCATGGCTAGTGTCTCTCGTTAGATCGGCCAGATTTGCTGTCTACCCTACGGCCGTGTGATAAAATTGACGGCTATACTAGCATTCGTATCTCCCTGTTAGGTACGAAGCCGCAGGAGCACCACCCGGGGATCACCCCTATCGCCTCGAGAATGGGGAAATACCGCGATCTCAGCGAGGGGAAAGTATATTCCTAATGCCGGCACGGCCAAGAGAGTTTGCCGGATGAAAGGTAAACGGCGTGCGGACATCTGGATGCCGTCGGCACCACTTCGACCTCGATCTCGGCCCGTCGGGGTGTCCTGCTAGTCCCTCATCTTCACGTGTGAACCAACCCTACGATGATCTTTGCTCGTCCTGGAAGGCTTCCTCACTAGACTTCCAACCTTTGACTTGATAGAAGGTATCGACCAATGGTAGGAAATCCCAGGTACCTCGTGCCGCTATCGGGTTGAGGTCCGGCCTTGAGAGCCGTCTTGGTTTTCACAACGAGTGCTGTGACAACACAGTGGCCAGGTCAGGAGTAGAAACTGCCAACCCCCATCAGCTGTCCGTGTTCAACGCCGCCAAGAAGATAGACGCATATTAGCTTTGCTGATACGAAAACGATCTGCGGTTACCAATCGCATAGTAACTTTAGTATCTCAGCACACCGAAGCTCAAAATTATGATGCACTAGGGGCCCATGAATTAACCACAGAGCTCACACCCACCGTTGGCATCAAACGTTCCAGCCGGCCGGAAGTGCATCGACGCTATGTAGCACCGATGGGCGGAGATCATTGTTGCCGAAAGCTTATCGATCCCTCGGTCAGATATAACCATTTTTTCAAAGTATATAGTTCAAACATTACCGACTCTTACATGAATCTGTAGGGGATTGAGGATTGCCCATAACGGTACACGATAGTGAGTCCTTACCGTGTCTCGACAGAAACAATGAAGTATGCCTCGGCAGGGGTCACATGAAAATATTCGAGAATGCCGTTATTGAAAGATGCAGTGATTGCAATACCATATGCTATATTATTTATACGGTTGTCTTCTTACTCGGCAGTCCCGCCTCCATGATTCTCTTCTGCCTCTTCTTGGCCTCTAGGCTCGCCTTCCGCGGATTCTTCGCCTCGAAAACCGCGTCTAGCTCCTCCAGGGTCATCCCCTTGGTCTCGACGAAGAAGAAGTAAATGAAGGCAAACTCGAAGGTATCCCAGAACACGAAAAAGACGTAGAACCAGTAGCCGATGGAGCTCAACGCGATGGGGCCGACGAAGGTGTTTAGGAAACCAGCGGCGCCGACGGTGATCTTGAACGTCCCCATCGCCTTGGCTCGCATCTTGTTCGACACCACTTCGGCCGGGTAGATGGGTTGCATAGGGGTATAGCCTGTATGGGCGTTAGCACGGCGCCCCCTCTCCCCCTACTTGCGAACTTACCGGTAGCAAAGACAGCCCCGAAGAAGAAGATGAAAACGATGGACATCGTAGCGGCCTGATCGTTGCCGTACTCGACTTTGCCGGCCGCGCCGGCAGCCACCAGGGCAAGACAGATAGTCATGCCCAGGGTGCTGCCCAACAGCATCTTGCGGCGGCCTATTACATCGTGCAGACGGGCGCCCCCGATAGAGAAGACCCACCCGATCACGGAGTAGATAATGTTGAGGATCTTTAAGTGATACACCGCTCTCGCGCTCGTGGTTAGATAGAAATAAGTAGTGGGATTGATAGATACGTAGAAAGGAAGAACACACCAGTTTGGTATTCGTGTCGGTAATACCGATGCCGGTCAACATCAAGGGCAGGTAATAACTAATAATGCTGCAAGGGCTCACGTTAGCCCGAATCCCAAACCGCCAGACTTTGAACAACAAACACACTTATTGCCGCTGAATTGGCCAAACCAAGAGAAGGCGACATTTAGCATCAGCCTGTACCTGCTCGAGCGCGACTCGACGAGCACCTTGAGGTCGAAGAGATCCCTCCAGGTAGCGCGGGGAGAGCCCTGGATGGTTGCCACCATCTCCCTCATCTGCAGCTCGACGAGGGGGTGGGTCGGGTCGCCGTTGGCGTGGTACTTGGTGATGATCTGCCTGGCCTTCTCGTGCTGGTCCCTGGCGATGAGGTAGCGCGGGGACTCGGGGTAGAGCTTGATCAGGCAGCAGACCGCGCCGGGGCAGGCCATCTGCAGCCAGAGGGGGATGCGCCAGTCGAGGTCGCCCTGGTCGGCGAGGTGCAGGTGGCACGCGTACACGGCCGACGTGGCCAGGATCGAGCCCACGTTGTAGAAGGTGTTGTAGGCGCCGGCAATGGTGCCCCGGTACGCGGCCGGCGAGATCTCGATGAGGTACAGCGGCGCCGCGGTGTGCGCGCACGTCGCGAAGAAAGACAGGAGGAAGCGCCCGCCGATGAACATGGGCAGGTTCGTCGCCAGCGCTGTTACGACCGTGCCCAGGCACACGCCTAGACACCCGAAGAAGATGTGCCACGTTCGTCCGTACCAGTCGGTCATCCAGATGAAGAGGGCTCCGCACATTTGGCCAACCTAAGGATGTCAGCGCTCGCAGGATAGAGCTCTCGCTCTACTACGCTTGTCTGCTCACTTGAAAAATGGCAAACACGATTCCGGTTGAAGCATTCCCATTAGCCGGAAGCCCGAAGTACTGGGTGTAATTGGGCAGGGCCTATGATGGGAAGTACATTAGCTACGTGAGCTCGCAAAGGAGCTGAGGGGGTGGAGGGGGCGTAAGCTACTGCCTCGGACTGAGAGAAATAAAATGCGCTGAGAATAGACGAGCAACATAGGCTCGTCTCAAGAGATACGGGCTCGACAAAAGAGGATCGTCACTCACATTGATTGAGCCCATTAACGAACTATCAAAACCTGCGACTAATGAGCCTCAAGTTCCGAATCAAAGCAATGGTTGACATTATACCGTTCATGGTGGAGCAAAGGAACACCATCCCAGCCAGAATATACAGCTTGATGTATCCGGGACCCCGGGGATCCGGCTTATTCGTTGCCATGATGGTGGCGTACGTTTCCGCGCTGGACTCCATCCCCTCCGCCTCGTCCACGGACGCGGGTTTCTCCCGTTTCTCCATGGTGCCGTGACTTGGGAGCGATCCTACGAGATAGTGATCAGGCTGAGGCAACTCTGGACTGGTCCGCTACGGCGACAAGTTGATGGAGCCATGCGGGGTGCGAGTGGCGGCGCTTCACTCGGAGGGAGAGACGTAAGGAGTCTTCATCTTATACCTACATGCAGTTCGCGATGGCCCCAGGAGAAACCTTGAGAATCCTGACCAGCTCCCCGCTCTGTTGGTAGTCCCAGAATGCGGGAACCCCATGGGGGCTGCGGTTGCGACTGCCTCTGAGGGGGGCAGGGGGGCCTAGGGACGGCGGAAACGACGGTCGCCAACAGCCCGGGGACGATGCTACGGCTCCGGACCAAGGTGTGATTGTCTTACGGGCATTTGATTCTCCAGGTACCTGAACCGCTCGTAGGTCGCCGAGAGGGTCGAGGGGAGACTGTGGGCTCTGTCTAGCGGACGGCATTATATGTCCCCATCTTCCTAATGTGGAAGACGGTCAGACAAGCCCGCTCTTCCCCAAGCGGGGGGCCCCCATCGCCCATTGAGAGTATTGTGGCCTGACCGATCTGGGATCCATCGTCTTAACATCAATGCGTCGGGTGAGAGTGGTAGAGCAGCAGCCAGGCAGCGCGTGGTAGAAGAGCTCCGACCTGACCCTCGTAAAGCACAGTCGCGACAACAGTAGCAGTTCTTCTCTATGCACCAACGAAGTGGTCTCTCGTAAACACTACTAGGGTATGAGCCACCTGCGTAATTTGAGATCCAACTTTTCCCTTTCCGCCATCTCAGGGGTGTTGGGGACGGTTTTGATCTGGTGAGTTGATGGTCACGATGCGGGTGTTGAAGCTGGGTGAAGGTGCGTCGGCCTTCCTTCCAGTAGGGTCCTGCCTATTGACGGCGAGGTACTGATATGAGTCTAGTAAGTGAACACAGCAGTCAGGATAGCTGCTGGATGGTACTGCACGGAAAGGTATACGACGTAGGTCCGCTTCGACCCTCTGCCCCCCCAAGACCGGGCTCTTCTCTGGATTGACACGAGGATTTCCAGATCACTTCTTTTGTGCCGAAACATCCAGGGGGGAGGAGCATTCTCCTGAAAAATGCTGGGCGCGACGCGTCGGTTGCTTTCGACTCGGTTCACCCCGTTGAGTTATTAGACGAGTATCTCACGCCTGACCAACTCCTAGGCGAGGTTCACTCCGGAGACATGGCTGCCGACAGAGGGACGCGGGATTATAAGTCCGCCTCGCGGCCTGAGCATAAGCCTATGACGCCGCCAGAGGCCCCTTCGCCGTCCGCGGCGCCGACCGAAGTGCCACCCCTAGAGTCCATCTTGAGCATAGACGAGATCGAGTCTTACGCGATGCAGCGTCTGTCGCCGAAGGCGATATCGTACTACGCGTCCGCGACGGACGACGAGATCACCAAGGCGGAGAACAACCGCATCTACCGCTCGATCCTGCTGCGGCCGCGGGTCTTCGTGGACTGCACCGAGTGCTCGCTCGCGACTACGATCTTGGGCAACTCGGTCGGCATGCCGGTCTACGTGTCGCCGGCGGCGATGGCGCGCCTCGCGCACCCGGCGGGCGAGGCCGGGATCGCGAGGGCGTGCTCGCGGTTCGGCGCGCTGCAGATCATCAGCAAGAACGCGTCGCTGTCACCGGGCGCCATCGTCGGCAGCGGCGGCGGCCCCGGCGCCGTCTTCGGCTGGCAGCTGTACGTGCTCAAGGACCTGGCGGCGACGGAGCGGACGCTCGCGCAGATCCGCCGCATCCCCGAGATCCGGCTCCTCGTTCTGACGCTCGACGCCCCGTTCCCGGGGAAGCGCGAGGCCGACGAGCGCTTCAAGCGCGCCGAGGTCGCCGCCGGCGCCCCGCCCCAGGCCTGGGGCACGGAGTCCGCGCTCACCTGGCGCAGGACGCTGGCCTGGCTCACCCGCCACACGACCCTGCCCATCGTGCTCAAGGGCGTCCAGACCCACGAGGACGCGTACGCGGCGACGCTGTTCCCCGCCGTCAAGGGTATCATCGTCTCGAACCACGGCGGCCGCGCGCTCGACACCGCGCCCACCCCCGTCCAGGTCCTGCTGGAGATCCGGAAGTTCTGCCCCCAGGTCTTCAGCAGCCTCGACGTGCTCGTCGACGGCGGCATAAAGCGCGGAACAGATGTGGTCAAAGCCCTAGCTTTGGGGGCCAAGGGTGTGGGCATCGGCCGAGCCGCCCTGTACGGACTCGCGGTTGGGGGAGAGGAGGGTGTCGAGAGGGTGCTCAAGAGCAAGTGATCCACCAGCGAATCCTAACGCGACGCGCTGTATTTTCGCTAACATTGGTACTTAGTCCTCGCAGACGAGACGATGACGGCGATGAGGCTTCTCGGCGTGAAGAACGTGTCTGAATTAGGCCCGCAACATGTAAGTCGTACCAAGTTAGATGATACTTTGGGTCTCAGTGACTTGGCTAACCTTCCATAAGATCAATGTTAACGCTTTAACATCGAGACTCTTCGATGGACCCCCGGGCCTCGAGATAATCGACAGAGAGCACCGGGCTAAGTTGTAGATGAAGGGGAGAGAGGAAGAGAGAAACACAATATTGTGTCAAACAGATAGAACGAGGGTATCAATCTTGACTTTTAGCTAACCAAAATGCCGAATGCAACACTGCATCCTATGAGACGGAGTAATTGACTATTGCTATACTTTTTAACACCCGCCCCGTTGCCCCGTTACTGAGTTGTCGTAAACAAAGTCCCCTGAATATCATCATCCATTAAAAAAGAACCCCAGTCGAGCTCGGTCCCAAACGTGAGCTGTTCATCATACCATCCGAAGAAATTCGAATCTCCGTCTTGGGACGGAGTTCGCCCGGCTGCTTCGGCTTCGCCGGTTATCGCTTCGTATACCGCAGCAACTATGTCCGGGCCCCTGTCCGAGGCCCGCATCCAGGGCCTCATCTCAGAGCAAGTCTCGAGGGCTTTGACGAGACTGGCGCGGGCCGAGGAGACCGCGTCGACGTTCGGGTCGGGCCGCGAGCCCTCGATCACGATGGAGAGCAGCGGGATCATGCAGGCCTGGAAGAGGTACCAGGCCGAGTTCCAGACGTGGATCCGGTTCGGGGTCCAGTACAGCGCGATCGAATCGATGGCCTCGCTCGCCACCACTCGGCACGTGTTGATGATCTGGCGCTCCTCGACGCTAAGCTGCGTTTTCTGGATGCGGCCGTGAGCGAGATAGAGTATCAAGGACCGCATCAGTATCAGTCGGATGTTTAAGTACCGGTTTCTCATGAATTCACGAGCGATGGTTAGCCGCGACGGCGAGTTCGTCGGTGACCGGAGGACAAGAGGCAGGGAGTTGAACCACGCCTGGAGCTCCTGGTCGAAGGCGACGGCTTCGGGAATCGTCAACCGGTTGAACTGCGCGAACCGGTGCTGAATACGATTGCAGATCAGGCAGAACTGGGCGCTCGCGCGTAGCGATATGGCCACGTGGTCGTCCTCAGTAACAAGACTAGGAAGCGTAGTATCCATCGTGCTAGCCTCCCAACGCCCACACGTCGGACGGCCCAGGGTCATGCTAGCCCAGGTGTCGAAGCAGAAGAGACCCCACCAGGTCCTACGCCTGATTTCGACCCGGCTTACTGGGTTCAGTGTCGCCCCCGCCTGAGCCTCGGCGGCATTCATATTCCGACGTCGCGATTCCCTGTGCAGCCCTAACGCGATAGCAACGCGGTGTGCTGCGCCAATCACAGCATAGGCCATATTCGGGGCGTTGCGGTAGTGCAAGTACAGTCCGCCGAGGAGACAGAGAGCCTGTAGGCTCTCTAGGTTGCCCGCGCCGAAGCTGTCGAGGTCAACAAAGGTGCGGGCTTGCTCGTAGTACTGTTCGTGCAGCGTATCGCTTCCAGAGGCTATGGAACCTATGGTGATGACCATGTTCAATAGGCCTAGCCAACCCGGATCCCTTCGGTCACCCGTCGAATACGCAGTACGGAAGTCATGCTCGTCCAACATAGGAACGATCGGGTGGACATGCTCGAAGTAGAAGTCGATACAACGTTGTTCTTTCAAGAGGTTGGCACTCATGTCGCCGCTCAGGAATGACTGAGGCTGCGGCTGGCTGGGAATCTCGGGCCATTGTTTAGCCTGCTCGGCGACACGTTGCTTGGCTGAGGGGCACAGGCGGAATATGGCTCGGAGAATGGCGCTGACCGAGGTCACGCCCAAATAGGACCGGCGATGGTGGTCGGTGGCCAGGTTGATCGCGTTTATGTCGTCGCCGACCTGCAGTACCGGCGGCTGGTGGCTCGATTCGTCCCACTGCCGGTCAGCGGCGGGTTCGCCATTCTCGGACACCTGAGCCGAGTCGTCTGCGACGTCAGGGTCGCCAGCAGAATTGCCGGCAGATTCGCCAGCAGCTGTCCCCGGTGTGACGTCGACTCGGAGGAGATCAAGTAACGCATCACGGCTCTTACCGGCGAGATCATCTACAGCTCTGCCGGGGAAGAGCCTCTCGAGGGTCTCTGTCCGCGATCTCAGCCGCTCCGAAACCTCTTCAAGAGTACTACACTCCGGACATATACCAGTTAACCACCGTTGGAACCCGAAAACTAATTACGGAAGGCTAGACGTAAAGCATGTAAAGCAGCGGAAGGCATAGAAGGCATAGACGAGGCAAATACGCTACGAAAAAAGGGCGGCAGACCTTCGGCTCACGGCATTCCTCTTATTACGCTGGCGATAACTACACAGGTGAGAGACCTTGTAGTAGGCGCAGGAGCTACAACCCTTATTAGCATGGGGGTCATTACGGGGGGGTTGAGCGGGACGATGGGAGCATCAGCATTGGGTGTGACGACTCGCCTACATGGGTGGCCACCATCACATTTGACCTTCCGCCTAATCGATGACAGTATTCAGTAAGCGAACCGAGACAAAGCAGGGTAGACTCCGGCAGGGCAGAGCAGGACAGGACAGATCCTGCTAGCGCCACGCGGTCACGCACCTCGTGCATTCGGAGCACGACTTGTTAAGACGGGCTGGAGCCGGAGGCGAAGGACTGGTTTTCTTGTGGCTGCTGAAACTGTGGAACATCAACGCGGTGGGACATAGCCACTAGGTAGGTGGCCGTTCATTCGGAGAGCTCTGCCGTTCGAGATGCTTTGCTTCGTTGTGCTGGGCTATGATTAGGTCGACTGGCGTTCCCTGACGAGCTCCCGGATAACGAAGTGGAGTCATATCGTGAAGAAAACCCTGGCTGGTCGCGACCCAACTGCGTGAATACCCCGATTACTACTTAGAAAATACCTACATGCACCATGCGAATACTTGCTCTAGACGGGGCGTTCACCTGTCACACCCTGTCACCTGGATCCACCTCTCTCTCCCCGCACGAAGAATTGAATTTCCGTCTGCTGCCGTGACGGGGTATCGACCGGCTATCGACACACGGTATTGATCCACCAACGAGCGGGATCAAGCCTCGGAAAGGGCTACACTTGGGGGTTACTTGTCCGTAAGGAGCCCCCGAGGATACGCCGGAGGGCCCTTGTCGACATGTAGGCGTTCGGTTGAACGAGATAGATAGGTAGGTACTGCTTGCGTACCAGGCCGAGCTGAAGAATGGGTAACGGTGACCGTCTACCTAGTCCACGATGGTGAATGCCACCCAGCCAGCAGCATCCTTGCTGCGAGAACGGACTAGCACTGTTGCCGCTCGCTCGCCATTACTAAGTACATCGAACTCGTCGTCACTTGCTATGGTGGGCTCACGCCGCGAGGACCCTGACACTCCTCCCTCTACCCACGAGCTAGGTTACAAGAAGCGGAGCTTCTCCTCCTCTCGATAGTCTCTCGCCCTCTTTTCTAGTCGTCTCTTAGATCTTCATCCGGGTCACACCTGGTTCTCAAGATGGCTCGTACGAGGCACCCTCTAGACCGTGGATGGACCTTCCGGCTGGACGACGACGCGTCGGCCGATTCCTGGCTTCCGGTGCAGAAGGTCCCAAGTCAGGTTCACTTAGACCTGTTAGCCAACAACAAGTGAGTAATGAACCCTTCTGCTCAGAGATAGGACGGGCAATTTACGCATACGTCGGTAGGATCCCGGACCCTTTCATTGACCTCAATGAATTGGCGACGCAATGGATCGCCGAGAAGAGTTGGGTATACAAGGTCCGTTTCAGCAGGCCTGATAGGCCAGTGGCAGATGGGTCAGGCACCACGGATATCGTTTTCGAAGGCCTCGACACCTTTGCTACAGTTCTCCTCAATGGGAAGGACATCCTGAAGACCGACAACATGTTCGTGTCCTACCGAGTCGATATTTCGCAGGCTCTCGAGAGCGAGAACGTGCTCGAAATCAAGTTTGACTCGGCCATGTTGCGCGGTCGGGATCTCGTAAAAGAGCATAGCCACGAGCACACGTTCTACGTTCGTCAGACCGAAGTGAGCCGAGTCCCGGTGCGGAAGGCACAGTACAATTGGGGTTGGGACTGGGGTCCGATCTTGATGACTGCCGGGCCTTGGCGGCCGGTTTACCTCGAGCAATATGTCGCGAGGATTGACGATGTCTGGACTCATCACGAAGTTAGCGAAGACCTCAAGGTGGTCTCGGGTCGGGTATTCGCCAAGGTAGCCGGTCTAGCGCCGAAGTCGGTGACCCTGTCGCTCTCCCTACATGGTCACACTGTTTGGGAGAAAGAATCTCTCGTCGACTCAGACGGACTGGCCGCATCGGATTTTCGGGTTGATAGTCCGGAATTATGGCACCAATACGGGTTTGGATCGCAAATCCGTTACGAGGTGAAAGCGTCGATTGGCTCGCGCGACGAGAAGTCCAAGCTCATCGGTTTCCGGCGAGTTGAATTGGTCCAGGAGAAGGACGATTTCGGCAAGTCATTCTACTTCCGGATCAATGGAAACGACGTGTTTTCAGGCGGGTCGTGCTGGATCCCTGCGGATAGCTTCTTGTCTCGGATTTCGACCGAGCGATATCGTGACTGGATAAAGCTCATGGTTGAGGGAAGGCAAAATATGCTTAGAATATGGGGAGGTGGGTCTTTTATACACTCACAAGTATACCTATATGGATTAAATCGCTGACAATCATACGCAGGCGGCATCTATGAGGACGACTCTCTGTTCGATGCCTGTGACGAACTGGGGGTCCTCGTATGGCATGACTTTCAATTCGCCTGCGCGAGTTACCCGACGTACCCCTCATATCTCGAATCAGTCGAGAAAGAAGCGAGACAGAACCTGCGACGACTTAGATCTCACCCCTCTATCATAATATGGGCAGGGAACAACGAAGATTACCAAGTTCAAGAGCGATACCACCTCGAATACAATTACGAGGACAAGGACCCTCAGTCGTGGCTTAAATCCACTTTCCCGGCAAGGTACACCTACGAATATCTGCTCCCTAAGATTGTCAAGGAGGAGAATCCATCTATGGTCTACCATCCTAGCAGCCCCTGGGGAGATGGAAAATGTACAGCTGATAGCACGGTGGGAGACATACATCAGTGGAACAGTAAGTCCATCAAATCCCCGGTGTGACGTTTGACCCTTCTGCTCTGTCCGTGTTCTTATTGTATCTAGTATGGCACGGCGAGATGAACCGATACCAGGAAGTTCACTTGCTCTCTGGTCGTTTCATTAGCGAGTTCGGCATGGAGGCCTACCCCCACCTCGAGACAATCCGCGGCATGATCAAGGATCCACAGCAGCTATACCCGGGCTCGATGGCGATGGACTTCCGCAACAAGGCCATCGACCACGAGCGCCGCATGATTACGTACGTGGCGGAGAACTTCACGGTCAAGTACGACCTCGCCTCATACGCCCACCTCACGCAGGTGGCCCAAGCGGAGACTGTGCACTTCGCGTACCAGACCTGGCGCCGCGAATGGGGCAAGCCCGGGGCACGCAAGTGCGGCGGCGTGCTCGCGTGGCAGCTCAACGACTGCTGGCCGACCATGAGCTGGGCCGTGGTCGACTACTACCTCGTCAAGAAGCCGGCCTTCTACGCGATCGCCAACGCGCTGAAGCCGCTGGCCGTCGGCGTGTCCCGGGCGTACCACGAATGGACCACGGGCCACGCGGACCCGACGGTAGCCGCCCGCGACACCAAGTTTGACCTCTGGGTCGCCAGCAGTCGGCTGCAGCCGGTCCAAGTCGAGATCGCCGTGCGCTTCATATCGATCCGCACAGGCCAGGACGTCAACCCTCCCGTAAGGCTCGAGGCCTTGACCGCGCATCCCAATAGCACCACGGAAGTCTTGCGGGACCACACTATCCCGGTAGCTGACCCGACGTTGCAGGATGCGACTCTGCCCTTCGACTTCTCGCGGTACGATCCATATGTGATCCACGCCGCTGTGACTGAGGGCGACCGGGTCGTCGCAACAGATACCTCGTGGCCGCAACCGTTGAAGTACTTGGATCTCACCAACCGGGACGTCAAGATCCGAGCTCTGTCCGCTACTCAGGTGGTCATATCTGCCGCTCGTCCCGTCAAGGGATTCGTGTTCGAGGAGACCCGGGCTGCTAAGCTGAGCGATAACGGCTTCGACCTCGTCCCCGGCGAGGACAAGGTCGTGGACGTGTCGGGAGTGAGTCTCGGCTCTCTGCGCTATACCTACGTAGGGGCGCCAGAGGGGTCTCTGCCGGTGTCGTTGTGAGTGCTGAAATAGAAATAGCTACATGGTGTTGTGGGAGGTCGTATGGTTAAGGGCGGCCACGTTGGAGGCATAGAACTATTCCCACAGAGATGGGGTCAAACAAAGAACAAGCACATACAACCCGGCCTCTTCTTCTCTTTCTTGTCCCTTCTCACGTCCGGGAAGTCTGGTTGGTTTCGGAATCTGAGCCAGCTTACAAGCTTAAAGTGACAGCGGGATAGGTCTGGTGCTACGTCGATTGGCTTAGCCGACTCGACCTAGCGGTCCACTTCCCGTAAACTGATCCGGTGTAGTCGTCGGTTGGTTAAACGGGAGGTTGTCCTTCGGTGTCCTTTGCCTGTCAGCGTTACGTTAACTGCGTCTGTTGCCCGGATTCCGATTGCTGCCACAGCACCTATAGAAGCCGCATAGTTTGTCTGCAGGAAGGCCGGGTTAATGATGAATGACCGTGTTCAAATCCCAAACGAAATTCCCCTTTTATTAGGTAGGACCGTCAAAACCAGCTCACAGTCCTCTATGTGTTCTAGTATACGACGTTGATGTTTTGGTATGCCGGCTGAGGCTATCCTGAAATCGGGCTTGACAACATACACGCCCATTCTTCAAGTAGCGGTCATTTTTCTGCGTTTTTATGTGCCAATTCATCTCCCCCAGAATGCCGAGAATGGGTTTTGTCCTCCCAAAAACGCTGTAGTGGAACACGTCGAGGATGTGAAGGTGACCGAGTTACTCTGACGTCTAGAGCCCAGTCAACCCATCCTCGAAGTAGCCGCTCGGCCTTCGAGCCAAATGCTAGCTCGATCTTCCAGCGGCCGCCCCCGTCAGGGAGGCAGCAGAGCCAGAGGAAGCGATGTTTCATACGACCGCGATACCCATGTACCACGACCCGAGCCCGTGGCACGCGCCCCATCCAAAGGCACGTGCTCATACAGGTATATATATGTGTGTGTGTATTTTATGGCAGTATCCAGTCTTTGTGGCCACATTTTGCGTCCATGCGTTGGACGTAGTCTTTGAGCCGTCCGGCAATCCATCCCGATTTCACCTTCTCGGTTTGGGAGACGCGATGCCCTAACTTGAGGGCCGTGGATGTCTTGCAGGTATTGTCGGCGACGGAGAACTGCAGGCAGTCGGGCTTATTCTCGCAAGCCTGGCGGCACTCCTCGAAGGCACCGACCGTGCCCTCGTCGTGGTCGGAGAGGTTGTCCCAATCGGAATGCTCTGTCGAAATGCGCGGCAGGACGTAGGAGCGGAAGACGTCACGGTGGCGCAAGGGAGAGGTATGCTACCGAAGACCCTGGCTGTTAGCGAATATGTTTCTCCCTTTCGCTACCTCGCAACGAGGAATGCTCACCTCCCGATTCCACACTTCTTCGAACTTGGCGAATTTGGGGTATTCGTCGGGCGGGAGATGGTGGAAGCTCGCGGCGTAATAGCACCACGGCGTCTTGTCTGCGCCCCCGAAGGACGTGTTATAGTCCATGTCCGACGGCTGGTCGCCCACGAGAGTCGGGAAGGACCACAGGAGGTTCACGCCGGCGTCTTTGAGGGCCTTGCCCAGGACGCAGTCGCCGGCCCAGTGGCCGGCGGTGAAGTCGTCGTAGGATTTCAGGTTCGCGCGACGGTGCTCGACAACCTTTTTCAACGCGGGGTTGGAGATGGCGAACCCCGAGCCGCCGTATGCAAAGATGACGTCGCCGATCTGCATCTGCATGCCCAGGTAGTGCGGCTTCGAGGCGTCGAAGTGGGACAGCCATTGCAGCAGGGTCTGCCAGAGCATGTACGAGTCGGACTCGATGAAGATGTACCACTTCGCGTCCGGCTGCTGTCGGAACGCCTTGTCGGCGACCGGGAGGAACTTCCACTTATCCAACCTCCAGCCGGGGGAGTCCCGACCACCGTTCGTATTTTTCGCGGACGCCCATTGTGTCAGCTCCTCGGCCGAGAAGGCTGCCCTGCCTCCCTCCTGCAGGCGACGGTAATATTCAAAATCGGGGTGGGACGCTATGATGTCGGGATCGACCTCGTCGAGGGCGTTGTGGACCTGGTGACCTTCGATGACCTCTTCGTAGTCGGAATAGAGGGCGAAGTGCGGGACGCAGCGGAGGGTGGTGGTGAAGTGGACGGGGAGTTTCTTGGGGGCCTCGGTGGCTCCAGTCCTGAGGATTACGAACAGGTCGTCTAGACCCTTGAGGGAGCCGCACGGGTCGGACTGATCGCCATTAGGAGGACGCTTTCGGCTGGCAGAGGCGGATTCGTGGAAATATAGATACTGCTGGATGAGGAAAAACAGCAATAGCACAGCGATTACCCGATATGCCGAGCGCGAAGATAGTGACGAGACAGGAAATAACATTGTACATGTGTGAACGTTGCACATGTGCAGCGCTCTCGAGGGCAGTGAAGTTATCCAAGGCTTACGCGGGGACGGAGGAGGATGCTCTTTTGGGCACCGGGTGGACGACCCGCGTTTCGAATCCGCGTTGGAACAAAGACGCCTATCAGAACAAAGCCCTCTCTTTTGGGACAAGACACGAATCCAGACGATGGCCGCACCAGGATCGAGAGATAAGCAGATGTGTGGTAGAAAGCTGGGCAGTATTAAAAAGAATGGGCACCCGGTTGGGAAAGGTGCCGTGCCCTCTTCGGTCCCACCAAGCAATGCTCTCAGGGGCAAGAATTTAGGGGCGGTTAAAGGTAATGTACTGCATACCTGAGGTATCCCGGCCCTTGCGCGTCTGGATGGGGCAGCAAGTTGACTTGTCTCTCTCGCGGCGACGGGCTTATGTGGCTGAGCCTAAGGTGCGAGACCCCCGGCTGGACGGCTCCTTTGGTGGTGGCTCAGTCGCCGGCGCTATGCCGCTATGCCGTGCTATTGGTAGCTTTTCTTCTCTCTCGCTTGGATACCTAATGACAAGCCCACCTACTATCCACACGACGTGGTGGTGCTTGAGCGCCCTATTCCGCCCTACGGCTAACCGCCTCCAACTAGACAGGGGCTGCCCAGAGCGAGTGCGGGCTGAGCCCCTCTGTCTTATCGCTAGGGAATTTACACTGCTTGACACAGAGAGTGCGAGATATCAACGAGACAAGTACATGTCTATATATATATATATATATTAGTGTGTGTGTGTGTGTGTGTGTGTGTGTGTGTGATAATTATTTACGTAGGTATTAGAAACACCGACGACTCGCAGGAGATAGCTGCTTACAGTATCTTCCTTCATAAAGGAGATCGCTTCGAGGAGGAGGTGTGTGTACATAGTTATTCGGTGGAGCTACACAGCAGCTATCGAAGAGCACAAATTCGTAGGGCTGGATCGACAATGCTACGTACGACTATATTATATTTCTTCCTTTCTTTTGGTAACTCGTTATGGGGTTCTTTGCAGTCTGTAGACGCGGACTCCATCGGCCCCAGTTTGATAGGCAGCATACCCCGGCAACACCAAGAGCCAACGCCAAAATGGTACCAGTGCTACGCGCGTTGTGATGGCGCTCGCTCTATCGGCTAAAGTACATATGAGTGCACGCTAGGTCCCAGAGACCCCAAGGAAGATCGCGGCTGTGATGAGTGAATTAACGTTGTCATATCGCCAGCTCCAAGAACTAGCAAGCTCTCCCCCCTTAAAATAGAGAAACGCCCGGCTAGTCAAGCATCCGCCTGCGCATGGCTACTGCGCAGTATGATTCTGGAAGAAACCCGACGACCTGGTCGACCTGTGGGAGCGCAACAGCGCCATGCCGAGCCGAGGGCGACCTTCAGGGGACAGGGGGGCGCAAGTCCTAGGACCCGCAGCTCATCGCGAGCCAGGGTCGGAAATATGGATATACCACAGGGCGCTACGCAATAGCAGCAGCCGTCTACGCCGCCGTAAGATCTGCGTCTCATCGCAATAAAAAAGAGGCGTACCCATGAGAAATCCTTCGCGGGAAGTGCGTGCCCACCACTAGCATCATGGCTGGTGTGGTTGGCTCCATTCCGCGTGGGTGGTTGTGCTCCCACTTTTCCTCGCAAGTCTTTTTTCCTTCTTGTTTATATCCGTACTTCGTATACCTTGAGTGATCTTCCCTCTCACCTACCCGTTGACGAAGTCCGATCTGGGGCGGGTTTACTTTTCATCTCGTGGGAAATCGGCTCGTCCGCTCGTTCGTCAGTTATGTGGCTCCTCCGGCTCGCCGCGCTCCTCTGTCTGAGCGCTCTCGCTCTCGGCCAACTCCCCAACCCTGGCGAACCGGCGCTTAAGTACTCGGATGGCGCGTTCATAGAACCGAAGGGGTCTCAGAGCTCGTACCCGATGGGCGCGACGATGAACGTCAGTTGGACGACGACGTACGAAACCTCGAATCTCTGGTTGATCGTCGCTTGGGAATTCAACCAGCCTGTCTTGCTCGCCTGTGAGTCGGGGTTCACAGTACCCTCCGTGTCTCGGGTAGATCGTTGCTAACCTTTTCCACAGCCAACATAGGCCAGACATGGTATGCGTGGGAGGTGTCGACCGACTCGACCAACGCTACGCAAATCTACTCGTTCCGCGTGGTCGATGCCCAGGGCACGGAGGCACAACAGAAAGGCGGTGGTTTCTTGAGCGCGTCCTTTTTCATCAGCGGCTTGCGGGCTACATCGTCGTCGACAACTTCGACGAGTACCTCTTCAGCGTCGTCGTCTACTTTCACTACATCAATAACCAGTACGTGGAAACGCACTCCGGCTTCGCGCCCAAGTCTGCGTAACTAATCCGTCGCGTAGGCACATCCTCAGCTGGGGCCTTTGACGCTACCCTACCTACTACGAGCGTAGAAGTGACCCCGTCTGGCTTAACGGACAGTGCGAAGATCGGGGTTGGCGTCGGAGTAGGCGTTGGAGGTGTCGGCCTCATTGCTCTCATCCTAGGCGTCATATTTTTCCGCCGATCGAGAAATAAGAAAACCCGAGAGGCTGACAGCATGGAGCCGTACTCGCAGCCGTACTCGCAGCCGGGGCAGAGCTTCGCGTCGACGCCGCAGACCTACGTCGGCTCACCCGTGCCTGGACCGTACCCAGAGTATTACAAGCCGGCCGAGATGGAAGCGGCAAACAGAGGTGCCGAGCTGGATGCAGGGCAGGGGCACGGATTTCGACCAGAAATTGCGACAAGCAATACGCAGAGATCACAGGCGGCGGAACTTCAGGGGTGAAGGATGCGGGCGGTTGCGAATTGGACTTGAGTGTTTATGAGATACCCATGATTGAGAAGTAGGACGCGCCCATGTTGATAGGTAATACATTGCCACGGCCACGCTCGAAAGATGACATAACGCCCTCATGTCACGGCGGCGCGTACCATCGTTGCATCTCGGCTCGAACACAATGCCCCCAGAAGACAACATGTTTGTTACGATGTATTGGATATGTTCAGTTGGAAGCAGAGCGACACATCGTCGAGCCTAGCTTCTGACTGGAGGGCAGAGCTGATGGAAGAGCACGGACAAAGAACTTGTATATCGTCAAACACTGGATGTTGGATACAGATGTTGGATACAGATGTTGGACACAATACCCATTGTCCATGGCTACATGAGAAGATATGATGGATACTGTATGAAAGCAAAGTAGATTTATTGTTCTTCGCTGTCCCAGGACGACGTCTGTGTTAACATGTAATATATTATCAGTCGTCTCAAGCGTTCCCCCTAATTTTTTTCTACTTGGGGTCCCAGACATTATCAAATATCTCCTCGGTTCCTCGTCATCTCAGAACACACATTTCTCGTCGTAGCGTGTCGAGTCGACCCTCAATCAGCAAGCATGGCGAACTCAGATAGATCCTGTATGGCATGCGTCAAGCAGGGTATTCTGTGCGAGATGAACCTGGTAATTGACAATCCCCCCGCCGTCGGCTGTACGGAGTGTGCTGATGCGTTCCAGTCTTGCACGATTCCGACGTCTGATGCGACGATGCTTGAGAGCGGCATCCAAACCGCGGGCCCGGGGTTCAGGAAGTGTGTCCGGTGCGCCGTTGCCGGCCATAGCTGCACGTTTCCTCAGGGCTACCGCCCCGAGCCCTGCTTCTCCTGCGTCTGCTCCAGGGCTTTCGGATGCATCCTTCCCCTAGCACCCGCCCCCTTCGCCGACCTCAACACGGCCCTCGATACAGAACCACGCGAACTCCAGGACCTAGCCGTTCGGTGGCCAATGCCCTCTTCAAACATCCCCGCCCTGATTCAGTCTCCGGGGGCAATCTTTCCAGCCAGCGAAGCGCCGCCCGGATACCATGAATACGGGCCTGGGACGGCGCAACCCCTGACCGAAAACGTCTTAGACCTTACAGAACAGGCAAACCAGGGTATTAGTGAAGACTTGGAAAGGCACCTCGATGCGATGATTGCCGAAATCTTCGGCGATGGCGGAAAACAGCAACCGCCTCCTCCAGAGGCTCAGCATGCTTCGCAAGGCCACTGATGTGGTAGTTATCATTTGTCGTATCCGAGCTGCCGGAAGCGCCGTAGTCGGGATTCCCCTGCGCGCATAGCCACATGGGAGCCAGAGGTCTCTGTTGTCGGCAATGAGGTGGTGATGTATCATAGAGTACATTGGCTGGTATCAAATCCTTGTAATAGACTAAGATGTTTGACATAGAATTTTGAAATTAATTGATATTATCTTAAATCCGATATGAGACTATGTGATGGCACCTGAAAACCTAGTGGTGGTGGTGAAATCGGTGGCTTCGTCTAGCTGGTTAAGGTATACCATTCCCACCCTCCTCAGACCGATTCAAGAACGCGTCCACTTATCCTCTTTCCTGTCGTGTGTCTGTTTAAGGACTCGGCGGCCACGTTCACCTTAGAGAAAGGGTCATCCTCGAGTCTCGCGCGAAAATCGGTGATGTCTAGGGGTAGAGAAGCCAGTCTCGGATCGAGGGGCAATCGAGGACGACACACACTTTGTCAACACATTCGATAGAGTCGGGTGCGAGAGCCAGCGCCCCGCCAGTACCTAGGCAGAGGCGGCGCTGTTCCGCGTATACCAGCGCCCTCGCAACAAATTTGGCCTCTGGATGATGTGGCGAGACAGTCTTGGTAGGTATTTAAGCTGCTAGACAAGCTTTTCGCAACCGCTTGGGTGCCCGCTTTCAAAGTTGGCGCCTATTTATCTAGAAAGTACCTGGTATAAAGAGGCAAAATTGTCGCATGGTAGCGCCCGAGCGTACATCTCCAAGGTGTCGTCTTTTCGGGAGCCAGGATGCCGGGTTGGGATGGTGTCCGCCGGAATAACGTTACAGAGCCTCTCGAGTCCGCTCTCCATCACCCTCGTACACGGGCGAGCAGCGGGGCCCGATCGCTCAATGGACGACACGACCATGGTAGCGAGCCGGAGGGCCAATTGGCCAGGCAGGATTTCGTATCGAGTCGCGAAACTGCGACGAGGCAAACGCCGCGAGACTCGGACAGAATTCGCTCAGGCTCCTCGACCGGTCCGGAGCCAAGCTCGGGAACGAGGGATCGGGGGCGCATCTCCGACGAATGGGACGATGCGTATGGTAGCGCAAACGTCGCTATCAAGACTATCAGGCTCGATGGTGACAGGCCGGAGGTGGTTCTGGTCGGGAAGCGGGTCGTACTTGTAGATGATAGTCCCATTTTCTAGTTGACGACTTACTATCACCAACACAGGACAATGTGTGCCGGTGAGGACCAGTCCGAAGCCATCATAGCAAGGAATCAAGAGGTGTTATTCACATCATACCCTGGTGCTACGTATAGGTATATATTTGGGTGACTTACATGGCGTCGTGTGTGCCTGCAATTTAGCCGTGGCTATTAACATAGTCCATACAGACAGCACCCCCAGGACCTGGCGCTTTTGTCTGCGGTACGCCATATTGGTCTCCTCTTGCTCCCCTTGTATACGTAGGTACTAGTGTGTTCAGCAATCGCCGGCGCCTGCTCTCGAGCCTGTGCCTAAGAGAACATAGTAGCGGTATCCATGGTTTCAAGGGAGGGCTAATGCCATAGCCACACCCCGCCGACGACTAGAACGCCCTCGGTCTAGGCGCTGAACTCGCCCGCCATGCCTCTAGCGCGTAGGTGTCGAGACTTCATTTGGGTATAGCCATCGCACTTCACCTTGAACCAGCGGGTGGTCTTGCCTCTCTAGAATAAAATACCACCTATATACAGTGTGTGCTAGGGCTGTCTGCCCATAGGCAGGTACTATTAATATACAGTGTGGAGAGTGGTTGGAGACTAGGTATACAGACATCTGATGGCTTTGGTATGTGCCATATGGAAATACAAACAGTGTACGGTTTCCCATGCGATAGGATGCTCTCCATTTCTGTTTGGCACGTTTGGTGGCGGAAAAAGTTTACTAATATCTCTCTCCTGCCAACAACAATACCCAAACTGTCTAAGCAAACCTGGTGAGTGGTGATGTTGGGGGCATCTGAGAAACTGGCTAGGCAGCGATGTTCCAAATGCTTCAATGCTACAATCAAAAAGGATGGGTACGTACCAAGACTTGTGTGCGCAACTGAACAAAAGAGTTGCAATGGACTGGTAGATGGGGGTGAGCTGTATAGAGAATCCCAATTTACACTTACACCTCCTTCCACACCAAGCCACAGGTGCATACCAAGATACATATTTCGAGCAAGCATTCAGAGCCCATATAACGAAGTACAGGTTGGGTAATACCTTATTAGACACGTTTGGTACCTACTTATCAGGTAGGCAATACATGGGAATCAGTAGGAATTCACACTTATGGTGTGCCGCACCACGTAGGTACGTGCTACCTTGGGAGATGGCTCTCCTTGGTTCTACCAAACAAAACACCCTCTCAACCGGGCCAGCTCTTTCCAAGGGAGATTCGCTTTGTTTCCATGGGGAGATCAGGTGTGCTGGGGACCTAGAGAAGTGGAGAGAATAGGCAATACCTCTCTCCTTGCCTCTCACCTCCCACCCCCTTATCGTGGATTCCCTGCCGTTCACCAGGGGCAACTGCTTTGAAGCTCGTTCTACAGCGTCTGATGGCGCCAGGAGAGGCTCATGACTAGTCAAAGGGAGCGTGGGAGTAGCTGAGTCCACCTGTTGGTCTGGTATGTAAGGAGGGCATTTCGTCATCGGTTTCCTGACACAGCCTGTAGTTACGTAGTTGCTGTCTAAACGATCCAGAGCTGTTATTCAACACCTGCTGCTAAATGGCTTATGAGTCACAGGCTGGCTAGCCAACTGGAACCATACCCGGGGATGCCACTAGTCTCCCCTGACTATAGGGGCGGACACCTCAGATCATGGAGGAAGGCATGTACCGACTCTGACACACAATGACGTCTGAATAGGGAGTTTGCTTGGCTGTGCTGCAGAATCTTGCGTGTTCGTGATTGATATTGAATCATCAGAGTTGTATGTTGGCCCTCTGTTGCTGTCTGCCATCACCGCTGTTACTCCAGAGACTGACATGAACACTGTACTCATACCCGCGCGCACACGGAGCCTAGAGTTCGAACTTTTAGATATAAAAGAATGTCTCCCCTCCCTGTACCAGACCTATTCTCCCTCCCTTCTTTCTTTCACATCCCGTTCACCTCCCACCCCTCCACCATACTTATTTCTCCTCTATCACGATCCTATCTCCCGGTACCAACAACTTGCTTACTTGCCAAGGACGAGAATGTTCTCAAGATGCTGCCTTTCCAAGCAGCTTGAGTGACCTTCTTTGTGGGAAGCGCGTATCTTCCCCGGACACAATATTTCTTCCCACGTGATCTCTCTCTTCCTCTTGCCAGGCACCTAGCGTTTCATACACCTGGCATTTCATATCTTAGATCTCTCTATCCAGAGAGACACTCAGAGACACCCGGATTAAAGTATACCGCCCAAAGTCTCGCGCCAATCAGGACAGGAGGCCTGATTTAGGCAGTGTTGATCCACGCCCATAGGATGGTATGTCCAGGTCTGTTATAGACGTAACAAAACATCGAAAATATCCCTAGCAAGAAGACGCTGTCACATTATTTCCCCTCCAGCCTTCCGTCCTACTATTACTGACAATCTGGGTACCATGTAGTTTCATCTCCATGATGCTGGCTGGGGGGCCCCTTCTCAGATCAGTCAGGATCTTTCTCTCTAGGCAAGTTGAACAACTCCAATGCAGATTTACAAGCCCGAACTGACGAGAAGGTGGTCATCATCTAGGCCTTACCATGCCCAACAATCTGTATTGCCTGTGTAAAGTTCACGAATTCTTATACGATTACAAAACAGTTTCCAACGCCACCGGCAATCTACCTGATGACCGGCGCAACGGCACCTTTGTCCGTGGATAGGCGAGTCCTAATTGGGCTTGAGGTGCTCTCTAGGGAATTTGGAGGGTTCTCCTAGGCTGTCTTTTGTCAACCTGACAATTACCCCTTATCCCTAACCGTGTTTATGAGGCCGCCGTCAAGCTGAGGCCGCCGTCAAGCACGATGGTGCTGCCCATCTGACCGTCCTGAAGGACCACCCGGGAAGGTCTGCATCACTCATCATCTTGAACAACATTCTCGTTCTAATAGTAAGTACATACCTATTATGATTAGAGAGCTAAGGTATCTAAGATTGATCAAGGCTAATGTTATACTTGTTTTTTTGCAATAGGGGATCGTTCAGAGAACCGCCTGCCTGCGATCGTCCTGCTACAATGAGAATACTTCTTGTGGAAAGGGTCATGCTGCAAATTGGTGCATCTTCCCTCTGCAGTGCTAACAAAGAACAAAAAAAAGAAGTTGGCGTCCAAGATGGATTGGGCAGCGTGAACAAGAAAAAGAAAATAAAAAAGATAAGTTTCGTGACAAGAGTGGGACTTGAACCCACGCGGATTGCTCCACCAGGAATACTGCGATCGCTCACAGACTGTTAAGCTGCAACCTTAACCTGGCGCCATAACCAACTCGGCCATCTTGCCTTTCGATGGGTGTCCAGGGCAAGATTAGTGCCTAAATATCTGGCGGGGTCGAATTGAAACCCGCCTTGCCCATCGTGGGGTGCTGGCCAAGGACAGGGACACCATTGCCAGAAGCACAGCCCTGGCCACCAGCTGTAAACAAGGCACCACAGGCGTCAACAGGTGCACGCATGACTTGCGCTGGATGTTGACCCGTCGGAGCGGCAAGGTGCCTTGCATCGAGCGTGTATATTTCCACATACGGACGGGGTTTATGCTGCGGCCCATCATCCTGGCCTACTCAGGAGGCCCAAGTTGAAGGGCCGCAAGCGGACTATGCCGGCTGCTAATCGTGCTCAATCATCAGCCGCATCTAGGTATGTTTTCCTGTTCTCGGGTTCGTGCTGGGGTTATGCATAGGTAACTGACGCGCCCTCGTAGCCCCGGCAAAGAGATAATGTCACGTAGCAGTTGAAGCAGCCCTTATATGCCTGCATACCGCACAGCGTAAATGTAGGCGTCTACGTTTTACGCAACAGATAAGAAGAACAAAGGGGTCGATGCTCCCCGCGCGCCCATATACCGTCTGCTCTGCTCGTTTGAGCGGATGGAAAAGACCCATCGGACCAGTTTTTACCAGAGCCGCTCCAAACGCAGCCGTGCGGTACGTTATCCTCCGAATGCCGACGCGCCGTTGACGCGTCGGCGCTGCCAGCATATCTTGCGTACTGATTTTTGCATAGCGGAATCAAGAATACGAGGGTTAGGTTACCAACCGCCGCAGCCTCCTCATGGCGCACTACCCTCACCTGGGCCCAGAGGCTGTAAGTAATACCTACCTTCCGTCTCCCTTATAACGCATCGTCTGATGGTTACGTATAGAATGAGGCTGCGGTCGCCCGCTGGCAGTACTAGGTGGACTGCCGCCTAATCAGCGGCGATGCCGGGTACTCGGTCTGGCTGACGGCTAAGCGCGCCTTCATGCGCGACTTTGACGCTATCATGGGCGGGCACCTTATTACTCCTCGGCAACGGGGAGGCGCTGGCGGAGGGAGGCAGCGGGTTGGCGTCCGACGATGTTAATTCTCTATAGGAGGAGATCCGACGAGTGGATACAACTCTTGGCTGCAGGCGGCTTCACGGTCTCTTGTCACGAGAACCCTTTCTCCTGGCCCGTCGTGGCGGCGTCGCTGCGGGCGCTGTTTTAGGGGTATGCTCACATATTTTTAAATCGCGTTTTCGAAGTCCAGCTCCGAGGGCTGACCAAACCGTTTTCTAATGCCGGTCTAGTTGCCTTGCGCCGCGGGTCCTCAGATACTACCAACAGATACGACCAACGTCAGCTGGTGGCATATCGAAAAGTCCGGGCTTCGTTATCTAGGTACCTACAGATTGAGGCTCGTCTGCTGCTCCAGCGATTTTTAACAGCAAGGGCCATGGTGGTGGGCGACACAGCTGCTTCGGCTGTCTTTAATCCATCACTCATCTCGCTTTTGTTACATTGGCGAGCGGGTGGCTCTGGTTGCCAATTTAAACAGCCTCCGAACCTTGTGTTGCAGATGGCCTTCATTTGCACTTGTCATTCTCTACCTGGCACTTGTTACTCTGGGCCTCGGTAGCCTCCTGGGTTTCATGGAGATTCCCACTCGCACAAAAGCTCAGAGCGACAACGTCATCTCTTCCTTCCTCGGTTATCAGGAGCGTGCTCGACGCCATAGCCGCTATACCGGTCGTTCACCATATCACGGCCTCTTCCCTGGCTCTTGCCCCTGGCCTCATCTTCTCTCCCCCGGTTCAAGGCGTGGCTCCTGCGACACACCAACGGGTGAGCCGTGGCCGCAACATATCTCGCTTCTCTCTCCTTTTCATGTGTGGTCGCCAGAACTCGAGGCCATATAGAGACCGATAATCTGACGTCCATTCCCCCGAAATGAGCGAGTCGCAGCCAGTGGATCAACCACCAGCGCAGGTTCACCTTAACTCTACAGGCACCACAACGAGATATAACACTTATGTCGGCCCTATATGCGTATAACATCGCAAGAAAGCGTCTACGGGTAAATTTCAACACATGGAAGAGTCGATCCATGCGAAATCTCAAGGCAATTACGCTGCTTCGCTTATATAACAATTACTTATATCGACCTTGTTTTATAGGCACCACGACGGGATATGAAACTCATCTGCGTCAAAATGTGGGTAGACTACGGTGCACCATTAGTGCGTATCCGACAAACCGATTTTCGGAATTTCCCGGTCTGCATTAAGTTACGCGGCCACTTCGGTGGCTCGTGTGCTTGTTATAAGTTCCGGGATCACGCTGCACGGTACTCCGTACGAGACGGCGGTCCCGAGGATCCGCCCCCGGATAACGCCCTTCCGCCGCCCGCACAACCAGCCCAACAAGCCAGTCAGGTGGTAGAACTAAGCTCGTCCGATGAAGAGGGGACGGTGAATCATCCGGTGGTAGTAGATTAGCGTAAGTATATATTTCCTTTATACGAGCCCTTCATACGAGCCCTTTCTATAAGATTTCTAATTTAGTTTTATAGTTTCAACTTTGCTTCATTTTCATTTCGGACGGGAAATTTAATTTTGGACGGGAAAATAAATTGATTTGGCGTTGCGGAGTTCTGGTGTTTTTTTTTTTCAAGGTAAATATTTCCGAAAATTGTTGTCGGATACGCACTAATGGTGCACCGTACCGTAGTCGAGGGTTTCCTTTCCCACGCATGCTGGGTTGCCTGGAGCCAGTAGGAGGGAGGAGAAGACGACGCTGCTTAGCAAAGGCCTTTTCTGGCATCCGGTGACTGTCGGGTTGCTCGTCTTTACGCACCACTACTACTCCATTCTGAACAACGATACGGAGAGACGCGCGCAGGTCAGAGTGCGTGACAGCTGGCGCCTCTCGCTTCTCAGGAAAGGAGCACGATGATCGGCGGGTTCTCTCCTGCCTTGCAGCAGCCTAAGGTCGTCTCAATCGTCACATTACCAGCAGGCGTCTGCTTTCACATTCGGTACCTATGTTCAGGAGGGGAGGTAACGCGCTGCGATCCTTGACTGGTGGGATATCCGCTGGCAACACTATAGTTCAGATCGCCGTACACGAGGCACCCCACACCTGGTGTGCCTCCAGGCGCAAGGTCGCCAAACCCCAAAATTACAGTATCAGCCCCAACTCGCAACCTTCCAACAACACCATATTAAATCCGATAAGAGCACTTCGAACGCGCCTATGGTGGTGCTCACGACCCAAATGCCCACCGTCGAGCGGAGAAGGGTATGGTAGAGGAAGAGATCGATGCCGCCCGGGATTTGCGACGATCAGCCGAAAGGCCAGGAAGAATCGCAGAGGACGTCTGGGGACAGACGAGACGGTCCGTGATCAACACGATTCCAGCCGGGCCCCTATCGTTGTGGGAGACCGGGAGCCCGTGGTTGCTCCCGTGTCAAGGGCCCAAGCCGTCCCCGAGTCAGTGGCTCCTATGGAGACCTTCGGTGGACAAGGTGAGCTTGGAGAGCCATCGCCGCATACGCCTGGAGTTCGCGCTGGAGCTCGTGGTGGCGAGGAAGAATCTCCTGCGGTCGTGACCGCCGTTGCACCTACCCCTATTCGCTCGACTCGAGCCATGGGCTCTCTTCCACTCCCGAGCCATGGACCGCCTGCTCGTCGCTCTTCTTTTGTCGACGGAATGGTCTGCCTAGGCTCTCGAGATCCGGCGCTGGAGCGACGGTGGGGCGTGATAGGACATCTACCTACCCGCCGACTCGTCGGGTGCTACAATTGCACGACAAGAAAACTAGGCGACGACCTGAGCCCTGAGGGGTCGATGCTGAGAAGGATTTCGACAGACCGCATGTCGAGGAGGAGAGTGATGGCCGCGGCATCTAGCTCTAAGGAAGGCCACGTTCATGCACGGGTGCACAGGGTAAGAGGCCCCCCCCACGCCTAGCCTCCACGAATTCCGCACGGTACGCTCATAGCGCTTCCGATGTCCCCCGGTGGGCGACCCTCTCGCCCACACCGAAGACCGTTGGGCCGAGAGGGAAATTTAGGGCTCGTCGAGAGCGGCGAGCGAACAAAGCTCGCCGGGACCACGCCGCTTCCGACCGTGCGTCTGTCGACCAACCCCTCACCCATCGGCGGCCGGTCCCTCGGGCTCGTCCGCAGCATCGTGGACTCCCCCCACCACCGCTCTGCTGGACGCCATTAGACGAGCTATGACGAGAGGAGGCTCGCCTACGTGCTGCTAGCTATAGCGCGCAACGGGGAAACAACCGGGGGCGTGAGGGTCTCGTGTCCGAGTGAACGGGCGTCGCCATAGCCGACTTTCTGCTTTTGGGCAAGTCCAAAAGTTGTGCCGAAATGATGGCACATTACCAACAGGTCCGAAACCACGCCGGAGATGCGCTGGCGTGCCGCTAGGTATGGCATAGAGCCCAGCTGCTCAGCGGCTGCAAAGGCGCTCGCGTCAACGATGGGCGATCGGCAACTTGCGAGCGAGAAACACTGGGTAGCTGGTTGTCTGCAGGGCGGCCCCCCCCCCCCCAACCGCGTGGCTGGGCCGTCCGCGACGGGGTCCGGTCTGCCGCGGACGAGAGTTCGGCTGCCTACATGGTTGCAAAGGCGGCTGTACTGCCGACGGAGAATCGACTGTCTAGGCGTGAGGCTGGCGACGGAGCCGTACGACACGGACCAGACTCTCGCAGGGCACGGCACAGAGCCTTCCTTCTCACTCCCGCGGGCGCAGAGGCGGCTGCAGTCACGCTGGAGCGCCGGCTACGTGAACCAGCGGCCATCCCCCCCCCCCCCCCCCCCTTCCGCGTGGGCTACGGCTATCGCACACGAAAGTGCCTGCGCAGACACTCTCGACGACGACCTGCAGGAATAGACAAGCTCACGGACACGGAATCGCTGTGGGAGGGGCCGGGGGGGGGGGGGGGGGAAGAATACCAGCGCGGTACGGCGGAGGCCTTAGGAACGGGCTGAGAGGTGGAAGCGGTTCCGAACGTGCAGCGCGACGTGCGCGAGGCCTTTAAGAAACCACAGGAACCGGGCTTCGAACGTGTGCGGGGTAATTATGTCCGCCGTGTGATTGTCGAGGGCAGCAGGTCGTCTGCAGGGCAGCTCACGAAGCGGGACGGCGAGGTCCGATGGCAGGCAGGACGGGGAAGCGTGCATTATCTGGCGCTTCACTCCTGGGTAGTAAGCCGAACGGGGAAATGTAGGCGTCTATAGTCTGGCCAGACACGAATGGGTGGCCGCGGGGCGGGGTCCCTGGCGGTAGGATAGGACTGGGAGGGAGGGATGAAGACGTGTATATTAATACGTGTTATTATACAGGCGCTTGGTGCGCGTCCTACGGCCAAGTCAATCATTCTGTGAGGCCGTTCGTATCCAACTAGATAGTGGTCCTGCAAGTGACCCTGATAGCATGAATACAAGGAGGAAAGGGAAACAAGCATATGCTACACATCAAGCCGCGGCGGAACGAAGGCGCGCTGCACGGCTGATAGATGATATATATCCCCCACCAGAGAGAATCCTGGGGCGGGAGAAGACCCGCGTGAGCACCGTCGCTCGCTAGCCCTCCCACCACCCGCTGACGCCCCATCGCAGCCCGTAGCCAGCTCAAACCCTGGTCTACGGGCGGCGGCGGCTGACCTCGATGTCGAGGCCGAGCGGCTTGCGCAGGAAGCCCTCGCGGGTGCGCAGCTCGTCGGCGGGGCGGCGGAGGGCGACGCGGTAGCGGCGGGCCCAGGTGGCGACGATCATCTTCATCTCCATCTCGGCGACGTTGCGGCCGACGCAGGCGCGGGGGCCGTGGCTGAAGGGCACGAAGGCGGCGCGCTGGCGCTCGGTCGGCAGCCCCGGCCCGAGCCAGCGCTCCGGCCGGAACGCGTCCGCGTCCGCGCCCCAGATCGCCCGCGCGTGGTGGATCGAGTACGTCGGCACACTCAGCACCGTCCCCGGCCCGTACCGCCGCCCCCCGATCGTCACCCCCGCCGTCCCCGCCGGCACCGCCCGCGGCAGCCCGATCCCCGACGTGCTGTGCACCCGCAGCGTCTCGTTGATCACCGCCTGCAGGTACGGCAGCTGCCGGATCGCCTCGTACGCCGGCACCTTGGCCTCGTCGTCCTCCTCCTCGTCCGCGCCCGCGCTCGGCACCGCCGCGTCCAGCTCCGCCTGCAGCTTCGCCAGCACGCCCGGCGTCCGCGCGACGTGGTACAGCAGCGCGCAGGACGAGTTCGACGTCGTGTCGGAGCCGGCGATGAGCTGGGTCAGGGCCTCGGCGGCGAGCTCCTCGAAGCCGAGGGGCTCGCCCTTGTCGTCGCGGCCCTCCTGCAGCAGCGCGAGCAGGTCGCGGCGGTGGATGTCGGGCGGGCGCTCGAGGCGGTCCTTGACGCGGGCGATGGCGATGCCGGCGAGGTTCTTCACCGCCGCGAGGCCGCGGCGGAAGAACGGGTCCGGCAGCCAGCGCGCGTACGGCAGCAGCGGCGGCAGGCAGCCCAGCGTCGCCGACACCTCGCCGCGCCGGTTGAGGATCTCGACCGCGGACGCGAAGATGGGCGCCGCGTCGACCGACACCCGCACCTCGGCGATGTCCTCGCCCGCGCGCAGCATCCCGAACGGCGCGCCGAACGCCAGGTCCCCGATCGTGTCGAACGCGACGTAGTTGAACCACTTGAGGCAGTCGAGCCGCGCGACGCCGCCGCCGCGGGCCACGAGCTCGTCCCACCGGTCGACGAACAGCGCCAGGTTCTGGTGGATGTAGGGCTCGAACTGGAGGACGGACTTGGGCGCGAACGTGTTGGAGACGAGCTTGCGCTTGCGCGTGTGCTCGGCGCGGTCCCGGGTGTTGAACAGGCCGCGCCGGATCGACACGAAGGCGTCGTAGAAGTCGGACTTGAGGAGCCCGTTGCCGTGGCCGTAGATGGCCTGGATGGCGTCGTCGTCCGCGATGCTGACGTGGTTCGGCTGGATCCTCACCACCGGCCCCAGCCTCTTGTGGACCTCGTGCACGGTGAGGTAGCGCCGGCCTCGCCTGCAGGCGTAGAGCAGCCAGAGGTTAGTGAACTGGGCGGGGAATGGCGCAGGAATGCCTCGGAGGTCGCTGTACGTCGTGAAGTACGGGTAGACGTAGTAGAAGACGACGGCGGCGAGCCCGAAAGCCAAGGCCCACGGCCAGGTGAGCTGATCGAGGAGTGCCATTTTCGCCGCGGATCGTGCGAGTTTGGCGGGGAGAGAGACTTTACTTTCGGTGATTTGGTGCGTGAGAGCAGCACGGCCGCCTTTTCAACGGTGGCCCCGAACGCCACGGTCTCGCCCCACGACCTTCCAAGAGAGTAAGCTGCCTGCCGCCTCCGTCAGCTTCGCGCTCATAAACCAATTGGCAAAGGCGGGTGCGGAGAGGGAGCCCTTATGAGCTGCTGCCGCTGTTTGATGCCGGCTCTCGTCGGCACCACCGTCGGTAGATCTCTCGTGGCGCAGGGTACGGAAACTAGACGGGGAGGTAGTGAGGGAGGGGGGAGGGAGGGGGGGATACGAGCCCTAGGGCTGGGATGCTCGGGAAACCAATCCGATACGGGTTGCCATTGAGGACGAAACGGGAGTATGACCACAACACCACTTGGAGTTGATACCCCCACTAACGCATCGACGTAGGTCGAGGCGCCTCTGAACAACGGATGCGGGCACCAGCATGCAGTAGTCACACATGCGACTGGTTGTGGGCGACAGGGCGACGACTCATTGGGGATCAGCGCCGTCTCATACGTACGCACACGCAGCCAACGTCCCACAAGCCAAGGGGTATCGGCCAACAGAAGACAGTTATTGAGGGCATAGCGTGACGCTCGCAGCGAAATGGAACGAGAGGATCCGTGGGGAAGCTCGTGGTGGGTGCGGTGCCAACTGCGGAGGTTCCGTCGCAACTGGATTCCCTCATGGGGGAGAACTGGATTCCCTCATGGGGGAGAGCTCGGCGGGAGGGTCAAACATGCGGTGCCAGGGCGGAGCTAGCCGGCTCTTAAGTATGTATCGCCGACGCCTATCTCGGCCGTCGCAGGCTTTTCCGAAGACGACCTTAGGCGTTCGCAGAGATTCCCAACTACCGCTGCGAGCCTAGAGAGGAGGGAGGGGGCAGCTAGGGGTTCCCCGACAGAGAGTGACGGTACCAATAAGCAATAGTTGACATGGCCCACGGACGTCACATACCTCTGCGACTATCAAGATGGGTATACGAGAGAGGCGGCGACCTGTACCTATATGCGTCGCGTGCGCGGTGAGTGAAGGTAGGTGTAGATCGAGTTAGCTCTCGCTGATGTGGGAATCCAGTGGCAACGGAACCTGCAGAATTTGAGAACTGCTAGTACGCGATCTATTTCCAGATGCGGTTTAGGGATGACACCTCTAGAGACCCCATTTCCCCAACACCGCACTCTGACGGTCGGTGATCGACCTCGACCGCCGTAATGGAGACTCTGTAACCCATGGCTCACGATGCGAGGATCCGGCGGGTGGCCCTGGGGATTGGCGACGGAGACGGCGACGCTACTATGCTGGGTTCTTAATCCTATCCGGAGGATAGTTATAATACGTCAAACCCCCTGTCATGCTGATTAATTACAAGGGTAAATTCCCCTGTAAATAACCCTCCTCGTATCAGTTTCTCCCCGTTCAATCAAGAGTCGATTACTAATCAATCCCTTTTCGCAGTTCAATCAAAGCGTCGATTCCTACTTACCCCTTTTCCCTAGCGAGTACGCGCCTCCGGGCGTCGGCGGCGGATTGAGGGGCTGGCTTTACGGCTGGTGAAGGTTCGTGCCGAAGGAGGGAGTTGCGGGTCGTACCTGGTCTTCCTGTATCTAGTCGTTGTTACCGTTAAGTAGTACGCGCTGTGACGTAAAACACACCTCCTCCTCCTCCCCTTTTCCCTAGCCTTCGGAGAGGTCCTAGGTTTTCGGCACGATAACGTGGAGAAGCGCGGAGTGCTTCGACGTATTTTAGCTGTTAAGGTCGGTTAACCTACCTAAATTGAAAGACCGCCCACGGCGCGTCCCAGCGCCGGCCGAGTAAATGCCTACTCGAGCAGAGAAACCAGCCAGGAAAGCAAACTCTTCGTCCGTATACAGGTCGCAATAGCTAGTCGCGTCCATTGACTACGGCGTTCTCCTGATCGATTCCCTACCTCTTAGCATATTCTGCGGGCCTGGATCCCCTCCCCGACGATGGAAGAACCCTAGGCGTCGTCGCTCTCGAGGTCTTGTCTTGGCCTTCCACGACGACGCGACGACGCAGCCACTGAGCCCGGCGGCGTTCCCGCGCACGAGGTTCAGAGAGGCTGCGCGGTAGTAAACAGTTAGTTCGCCGCCCCAACCTCGCCGCCGTGAACGTGAGTGACCTGATAGGCAGTCTGTCGCTCCGGGGCCATCATCGGCCGCAGCAGCCACCCTCCAGCTATACCAGCCGACGCCTTAGGCTGGGCGTACGACTGGCTCGTGGCGGGTACTGCGCGCCGGCGCCCGTTGTTTCGCGGACGCGCGGCGATGTGGAGGGAGAGAGAGGGGGTTTGGATCGGATCCACGAAGGCGTGGTGGATGAAGAGGTTATGCATGCATGCATAACTGCGTATTGCAGCGATTATAGATCCTCAGGCATCCAGAATGGAGGCCTGTGATTAATAGAATTAAAGAAAAACACGCAACAGCTAACTATTCGTAAAACGCTATATTTAAGCCCTTTTAGCAGTTTAGTTTTTATACCTTTAATTAATTAACCAGGTTTACCTTTTAACTCGTCTTACGTGCCTTACGATTAAGGCAGCGAGGCTACGAAAGGAACCGCCACCAAAACGCATACGATTACGAACGAACCGGGCGTAATTGGCTAGGCGGGTATACACCTATCTACACGGGGTAGTCGATAGAATCGCTATAACCCGGGCGGAATGCAGCTACGAGCCCGTATGCACTAAACGAAGCACAGTTATCCCCTCTACAGGTACCTGGGAGGTACATTGCCCTTCCACTAGAAGAGGTACCCTACCTACCCAAGGTCGACACCAGCGTTAACGTAAGGAACCCGTCTCGCCCACGAGTTCGCCTCATACCTACGACGACGAGCAAGCGCCGAGACGCGTGGAGGGAACCTCTGCCTATTTAGACATACCGCGGCATCAACGAGGGCCGACATCCTTTTTTTTTCTTTTTTTGCTCCTTTTTACCAAGGTCAACTGCCGGCATCGCGGGAACGGGATCGCCTCTCCCCTCGGGCGAGAGAGTAGGCGCGTGGAATTTCTTTTTTTCCCGAGGTCACCCGGGCCAATTCGCTCGCGCTCGTCCCGGTTCGAGCCTTGGCCCCATCGCGCGCCATCCCGGCTTTCGGCTATCCGCGCGTTGGCAGCTGAGCAGGAGGAGGAGGCCTTTCGGCTGCGTTACCCCGAGCCGGATGCCCCCTCCCCCCCGCCTCCCACCTCCCACCCTCGTCGAATCCACCCATCGTGACAGCGCCTTGTTAGCACACCTGGGACGCAACGACAAATAATAAGAACGGAATAGCCGCTGCTGGCTGGCTGGCCTGGTTGGGTAGTGTACCATAGCATACACACGCACATAGGCGCTCTCTAAGCAAGGCAAGACGGACGGGAAAGCAGTGGTAGAGGGGAGCGAATGCCGGAGGCAAAAATACCCCCAGACATCGGATCGCAATGCTATTTTAACTATTTTTCTCCTAGAATCTAACCCATTAACACGCACACGCGCACACAAACACAAACACCCCCGGAGCGGAGACCTCGCGAGTCCGGCCAATGCGCTTTGTCCGTAAGACGGTTTTGGTACCTAGGTAGGTAGCAGTCGGGTAGGTTTTCTATAGGGTTCCGGCCGACTTGAAGTCGTTGAAGGCCTCGACGACACGGGCCTTCATCGTCTTCTCGCCCTCGCGCACCCAGACGCGGGGGTCGTACTTCTTCTTGTTGGGCTTGTGGGGGCCCTCGGGGTTGCCGACCTGGGTCCGCAGGTAGTCGATGTTGTTGAGGATGTAGTCGCGGTGGCCGACGAGGTAGGCCCACTGCAGGTCCGTGTCGAGGTTGACCTTGATGACGCCGTGCGAGATGGCCTCGCGGAACTCCTCCTTGCTCGAGCCGGAGCCGCCGTGGAAGACGAAGAAGACGGGCTTGTCCTGGCCGTCGTTCAGCTTCTTGGCCACGTGGGCCTGGTGCTTGCCGAGGAGCTCGGGGTGCAGGCGAACGTTCCCGGGCTGGTAGACGCCGTGGACGTTGCCGAAGCCGGCCGCGATGCTGAAGAGGTTCGAGATGGGGCTGAGGGCCTCGTAGATGGCCAGGATGTCCTCGGGCTGGGTGTAGAGGGAGTTGTTATCCACGTCTTCGTTGTTCACGCCGTCCTCCTCGCCGCCCGTCAGGCCCACCTCCATCTCGAGCCAGAGGCTCAGGGGCTCGGACCGCTTTAGGTATTTGCTCGTCGTCTCGATGTTGTACTTGAGGTCCTCCTCGGACAGGTCGATCATGTGGCTGCTGAACAGCGGGGTGCCGTGCTCCTTGAAGAAGGCCTCGTCGGCGTCGATCATGCCGTCGAGCCAGGGGAGCAGCTTCTTAGCGCAGTGATCGCTGTGCAGGATGACGGGGACGCCGTAGACGGGGGCGATGGAGCGGACGAAGTGGGCGGCGGCGACGGCGCCGATCACCGACGCCTCCTGGTTGGTGTTGGAGATGGACTTGCCGGCAAAGTAAGCGGCACCGCCGTTGGAGACCTGGATGATGACGGGCGATTTCGAGTCCTTGGCGGCCTCGAGCACGGCGACGACAGTCGACGAGGAGGTGACATTGACGGCAGGGAGGGCGAACCCCTTCTTTTTAGCATATTGGAATACCTAGATGCGTGGTAGACGGCGTATTAGCATCGCTCTGCTCAATCAGCAATCCCTTTTCTCGTTTTTCTCTTTGTTTTCCACTGCTTGCCTGCATCGGGGACAAGGGGGAAGAGTGACTGCGGCATGCTGGTTACCTTCAGGACATCCTGGCCGTAGATTACGCCGGGCTTCAGGTTCAGCTCGTCGATTATTCCCATTATGAATGTGAATTAGGAAGAGTGAAGAAACAGGTGACTATGGGGTTTACAAGGACCTAGCAGAGGGCAGCTGGCCGCAAGGGAGGGGACAACAAGGTAGATTCTTTTTTATTACTGATGGTATGAAGAGGGAAGGGCGACGGTGTGAGAAGCAACACTGAGGGAATTAAAGGGACGGCGTTTGGCGGTAGTAGTCGTAGTAGCAATGGTGGTGGTGGTGGTGGTGGTCGATGCAGTAAGAAATAATAGTGGTGACGGTGGCGGGGGAGCGGAGGGAGGGATATTTTTGCAGAGGTTTTTCGTAGGGCAAAAGCCGTTGGGCTAGGCACCTAGGCTTGAGCCGTCCACTGTCTTCCGTATTGGAGGTTCCCCTCCACCCGGACCCTGCCTATAGGTACTTCTTCCTCACCCTCCCCCCGAAGACTACATAGCGAGGTACCTGCTAATATTGATGTTGGTGTATACTGGAAATGCACTCCTTCGGATACCCAACGCGAGGCGGGCCTTCTGCAGTTCGCCACGGCCCGGTTTCTTTCGTAGCATCGATGGGGTCATTCTCAGATGCATTCACGTCTTACACTTCCTTCTTTTTTTCCCTTTCATAGTTGCGAAATATTTTCTCAGAAAAAATAAAGTAGGAAATATTAGAGAGAGCTACCAGGTAGTAAGTGCCTACACACCTAGCCCACCTACGGCTCCTGATGTGCCTCTTTTCCACTCCCCCTCTTCTGTCGCTTTGTTGGGGTCGCGCAACGTACTACGTATACGCTCCCACCTTGGCAACCTCTGCGTTGAAACGGCCTGAAGCACCCAGCGGTAACTAGGCATAAGTAGACATCCACTCTTTACCGACAGCTAGACGTCTGCTTAAGGACCTGAATCCAGCTCTATTGCCGACGTCGATTAATGTCTGGGCGATAATACGCCGACGGACCTGCTCCCCTCCAGTGGCGACGGACTAGTAGTAGTCTAGCCCAGCCACGATCGGGATATCGGGGTGGGGTATTCACTCGACTCAGTCCAGGCCTTATAGTTAAGGACGGCGAATACCTTCTCGTCATCATTACCTCCCAATCTGCAGCACTTGCACGATTCCATCCCGTCTCGCACCAACATAGAAATTATCGCGTAATACTTTCGCCTGTGGTGGCATGTAGAGAGACCGATGCTGTGCTGATACACACGCCTGATTTCCTTATGGACGGGTACGATAAGTAGGCACGATTACTGCTCTACCCCGCTATAGCCCCCGCCGTCGGGTGCTCTGTTATCTTATCAATTAGATGACATCAAGGGGCCCCTGCGAAGTTACATCGATGCCACAGAGAAGGCATATACCGGAGGCACACGTACGCATACCTAAGAGAGGCACATAATGGTGGTGGTGTGGTGGTATCGATTCCCGTTGCGGAACGAAATCGGATGTATGTTATGCGTGTCTGGCCGACGGGCGGTCCATAGGTGTGGGCTAATTCGCCTAAACAACTCCGAATCCGAAGCTTCGATCTGAGCCTGGCGTATCGATGAGAGGCTTGACGGGTTGGCCCGTCTGCCCTACGCGGAGGCCATGGCATGAGCCGCAATACCACCTCCCGACACACTGTACCGGTAGTCCAGTTATTTCGCCCTCATAGTTGCGAGGCGGCTAGCAGAAATCGGCAGTGTTGGCAACGCGAAATTGTTGCTTCTATTCTTACCTAACACCAACAGACGTGTCCTGGGTAGGTTATCGCTGAGTGCTGAAGAGTAAGAGAAGGAGGCAAGTTTAATAGGCGAAAGCCGTCCTATTGCCTGGGCACGTTGTAATAGAACGACTTGGTTATCTTCCCTGACCGGTCGTGACCCGGTAAGGATACTTCCGTCTAGAAACATCACACCATGACCTCATCGCCTCACACCCGCTTTTACTGACGTAGACGGGATACGGGTAGGCTTCGTGTAGTGGCGGAAGAATCTGACTTTAAAGCTGACACCACGGCTTCTACGTCGATTTCGGATGAATACCGGGGGCCGCTTGAGAGGTTTAAATAGGTACATCGGATATATCAAAGAGAGGAACGTTAGGATTGAGTGGAAGTGAGACAACCCTTGGGGTACGCCCGGCGACGAGCCCGAGAACGCCGAAATCTAGACTGCGCCTCCACCGCTCTGCGCCGAGCGGGTTCTGGGGTTGGGCTGAGAACCCAGAGCGTAGGAGGCCCAGGCAGGTCCAACGGTTAGGATCGTGGGTCGTGTAGCCCGAGAAGAGTGCTGTTTCCTGTACTGAAGAGTCTAGCCCGTGCCAGGCTATACCCCGAGAGACCTCCGTATTCGACGCCTTTACTGGCGCCCAATATCAAGAGCGTACTGGTGTACGGTGGTGTTGGAAGCTTGATTTAGCTTGGATATTTGTTGTGTATCAAGGAAAAGCTTTGAGGCGCGATTTCACTAGTGGTCACTCGACTTGAGAGCGAAAATCGCAGTATAGAGAGATTGCTGTTAATAGCGCGCTCGAGGGATATCGGGCCTTACGGCCTACGGAAATAGTGGCTCTCCTGCGTGGGAGGTCATGCAGCCTTATGACACGATCTTATGAACGCTGTTAGAAAGGGCCGAAGCGTCAGGCAAAAGACAGGGGAACGATGGCTTGCGGCGGCGAGAGAACTTCTCCAATCGCCAAAATGGCGATTGGAGCTTCGATCGACTTTGTAAGGGCATTATTCAACCATGATCCCTGTCAAGGTGATGGACGATGCTGACGAAGGTTAACCACCCGCACGTTTCAGGGGGTCAGGAAGCGGGTGAGCCATAAGAGTTGCAACGAATGATATCGGCGCTGGCTCAACCCCATAGACGCATTCCCCGGTCAGTACAGCAGATAAACAGGTGTTCGGGACAGGCCGTCTTGCGCATCCCACGTAAATCCTATTCCATCTTATACCTCACGTGCAGCTCCGATCGATAGAGTCCCAAGGTAATACCCCAATGTGTAGGGCGGCGCACGGTAAATTGCAAAATAAGAGTGCTGTGGTGCTACTGTGACTTCTTCGTAAGAGTGTGGTGTAGCGAAGATGTACGAAGCTGACGGGTCGCTCGTCCACACGATGCGGTCACTTCTCGCAGGCGAAGAGCCTTTGATCAGTGACCTGGGCTTCCAAGCACGGAAAGGCTCGATCCCGGCCGGGTTCCGGGAATTTCTTCAAAGATCCAGAACCGGGGATCCTAGTTCCAAAGGAGGGCCCGAGACCGAGTCACTGGCCGACGTTGCCATCGCGACCACGAGAGTGCGATCGGGTGACGAGAAACCACCCGTGCTGGGTTACGTGCCTCTCAAGATTTGTCTCATAATACGAATGGATTGAAGTCAGATATTTCAAGAGTGCTTGTGGTAGATAATTCCCTAAAGGTCGGGGTTCATTTGGCTGATCAGATCCAGTGAGGGTCATTCGACCCATGTCTCTGGCTCTCCGCGGAGGCCGGCCGGCCGATCGGGCGCCCGGAGGGGGGGGGGGGATATGAAGTCAGCGTAGCACGTCATGCATCCGCCGAAAACACACGCGTATGTCTTTCTAAGGCTTAGCTGGCTGGATGCGGCGCTGATCCTCTAGCCCCTGGGCGGCGGGCGGCTCGGCGTCCGTGTTCTCTCGATAGCCGACGACTACATATTCGGCGGTGCCATGGCTTGCCATCGAGAAAAATATCGATGTCGATATCGCCACGAAGCATTTGAAAGTTGAGAGGCGAGCTCGAAATCCACCTCTCAGCATCTCTCAGGAGCCACTCCACCAACGCCCCCCTGAATACATCCCGACTTTCAACATGGCGATGGTCTCCTTCATCACAGACGTAATCGTGATAGGCGCCGGCCTCAGCGGCCTGCAGACTGCGATAGGCATCCAGGCTGCTGGGCACTCCTGTGTCGTCCTCGAGGCGACGGACCGCGTGGGCGGCAAGACGCTAAGCATTAAGTCGGATCCAAATGATAAGAAGGGGGACGGCGTCGTCGATGTCGGTGCTGCTTGGGTGAACGACTCCAACCAATCTGAAATCTGGAAGCTATTCGATAAGTACGACATCGGGGCCATAATCCAGCGGGCGACCGGGACGAGCTTCCTACAGGCCGACAACGGCATCGTCATACCACACCCCTACCACGAGCAGCCACTGGTAAGATCCTCCATTCCCATTCACTTCACTATTTTGCATCCCCTTACGGACCTTCGGCATACATCTCCAAGGACTTCGAGCCTTTCAGCTGACACTTCACCTCTTCTACTAACACAGGACGACGCCTCAGCCGAGGAACAGCGCCGGGTCTACGAGGCGATACAGACGGAGATAGATGCGATGGACTTGGAGCGGCCGGAAAGGAGCCCGCGAGCGCGCGAGCTCGATAGCGTCACGTTCGCCGATTACGCCCGCAAGATCGGGCCGCATATCGGCGAGCAACTCGCGTCGTCGGCCATGGCGTCGCTGCTCGGCGTCGAGGCGGACGAGGTCAGCGCCCTGTATGCCATCAATTACATCAAGAGCGGTGGCGGTGTGCACATCATCGCGTCGGACGAGAAGGATGGTGCGCAGTATATACGCGGGCGTCGGGGTAAGTTGTACCTTTCTTGAAACTCGGAGCTAGTCCTTTCGGATCTGCTAGCTAGCTAGAGGCTACGCGGAGGCTGACGCTGAGAGCTGGATCTGATCTAGGTATGCAAGCGATAGCGCAGGGCCTTGCGAGCGATCTAGAGCCGGGCACCGTCCGCCTCAACACGGTTGTCAAGTCGGTGCAGCAGACAGCCAAAGGGACCTACAGGGTGACTTCTGCTAAAGGTGCCGTGTTCGAGGCCAAACACGTCGTGGTGTCTGTGCCGACGAGCCTGTACCGGACCATTGATTTTTCGCCGCCGCTTCCGAAATTGAAGCAGAGGCTCAGCGCAAGCACGTCGATGGGTAACTATAACAAGGTTGTCCTCGTGTTCGACCGACCGTGGTGGCGCGAGGCGGGGCTGTCCGGCGTCATGACGACGACGTCGGCGGATCTCGGGCCCATCCTCTTCACGCGCGATACGAGCTCTGAGAAAGATGGGCAGTGGTCCATCAGCTGCTTTATCGCGGGCGACCGCGCGCGCTCCTGGGCCAAGCAGCCGAAGGCGAAGCGGCTCAAGAGCGTGCTGGACCAGTTCCGGGCCGTCTTTTCGACAGCAGCCTCCGTGCCGCAGCCGGTCGCAGTCCACGAGCGCATATGGTCGCACGACCCGTTCTTCCGCGGCGCGCCGTCGCCCGTCATGGGACCTGGTGTGCTGACGACGATCGGGTCCGACACGCTGCGCAAGCCGGTTGGCAAGATCCACTTCGTTGGCACGGAGACCGCAATCGTCTGGAAAGGCTACATGGATGGCGCCATACGCTCCGGATACCGTGGCGCGGAGGAGGTCGTCGCGCGTTTGCGAGCGGAGGAGTGAGCAGGCAGTGGACACCGCTCCGTGGGAGTCACACACCTGTCATGGCCCGTTTTCGTTTGGTGTTGTGCGGAGTGTTGGTGTGCCCTTTTGTCCAGCCGATCGAAATATAGGGATCGTTTGCCGGGTTTGGTTGGCATGTACCTATATATTTACGAGCTGTGGTGACGAGGGGGGGGGGGGGGGTGGGTAGGTAGAGCGTGATCGAAGATATAGAGAGCTACATCTCGTGCCGTAGGAACACGACAGGGTGAAAATTAGCGGTCCCAAGGATCCATTGGTCGGGCCAGTGCCTTACGTGTATTGGTCATGCAGGTAGATGTATGTCTCGTTGGCCGGTAAACCGAAGGCCTATTTTCAGGTTGGCGGACGACAGGTCATCTTCGACCCCTGTCGGGCAGCCAACCGCTCCGCGGCACAGATTCGCGCGGCCGTGGCTGGCTACAGGGATTCTGCTGGCATCAGAACGTGCGAAAATGAGTCGCCGTTGCTGTGTCCGCGAGCCGCTCGAGGCGGCGTGGCCATGGTGGTTGTCGCGAGTGGATCTTGTCGGGGAGCTGGGAAGGAGGCCGTTGTTGGCTGGCTGAGGTAATTTGTTGGTTCTCAAGACATTTATCCTGATTATGGAGTCTCCGATAACGACGCCAACTCCGATAAGCCGATACCTCTACTCTTCCTGCTCCTTTCCCTTTGGGAGAGGTACCGACGGCGTGCATGTGTAAGAATACTGTATGGAATACTGTGTAGTGGCTGTCCCGCATCCATCTCCATCTCGCTCACATATCTTCTCGGCCAATCTCGCTGCCTGAGTGCGTAGGGACATATAATATGCGGCTCACCCCCGCATCAGAGCTGCTCGAGCCAGACCCGTCCTCTTCAACTCGTTTCCTCGCAAAGCGACCACCATCTTCTTACGCGGGTCCGAAAACGACAGCTGCCGCCCTTTCTTAGATGCCTACCTAAGTATTACCTATGTCCAACCTCAAAAGCCCTCTAGCCTTATTACTATCGTAAACTGAATTAATTCCTCCCACCTCCTTTAGTATCCCTCGGAAAGCGCCAGCATGACCGCCGTAAAATTCACCGTTTCCGCTGCCCGAGATGCCCTCGTGGCTTCGGTAGCCGCAGCAAAAGCAGCAGACCTTCGGAGCAAGATAGCCATCGCCGCAGCCGTCGCCGGAGCCGCCACCGGAGCCGCCTTTTCTGCAACGAAGTCCACCGTCGAGTCGGCAGACATACCCAGCCGCGTAGCTGCCGCAGTAGCCGCCGCGAATATACCGGACAAGGCAAGGAGGGGGGCGGAGTGGGTGGCCGAGAACCCAAAGCAGACTGCGCTGCTCGCCGGCGCAGGTCTCGTCACCCTCGTACCGGCCATCATTTCTGGGCCGGCCCTCGGGATCCTGGGATTTGGCGCCCAGGGGGTTATTAAAGGTAAGGAGCGTAAATCGGCTAATCTTGAGAGATATCCATTACTACTAACTCCGTTAACCCTTCCTTAGGTTCTGTCGCAGCGGGCATGCAGAGCGGAATCGGGAACGTAATAGCGCCGAGCATCTTCGCGATGCTGCAGAGCGCCGGCACCGGCGGGTACGGGGTAGCCACCGTGAATACGGTAGTGTCAGCTAGTCCCCTAGTCGCGGGAGCTATGGGTGCTGGAATTTCCCGTCTCAGAGCGAGGGCACGAGGCAATTGATAGTAGTTGACGGGCGAAAGAATTAACGAACCTGGGGTCCCGACTGCATCTACGCAAATATATGTCTCGGGCACGCTTCGCGGTAAGCTTCACTCACTCTTTAAAGGACCTAGGTTGCGAATCCGGGATGGGCATCTCAACAGAACTATGGATTGTTAGAACCCAAGTCAGGTTCCGTGCAGCTATCTTGGTTTTCGAGTCCACGAAAATTCTCCATCAAACAGAAGTTGATCCCGAACAAAAGAACGAAATAACGGAAGAAATAGTATTGTTCTCTAACGGCCGCACCCCTCGTGAGGCGTAATAAACATATAAAACCAGTTTGATCTCTTAATTCTGTGATAGTAGTAGCCGTTTTCGTATTCTTCGTATAACAAGCTCTAGGTGCGCAATCGGAGTTGCGTTTAGGAGTTTGCGCCTGTGCTTCGCGTTGTGGCCTTCCACTGTCCAACCACGCCCTCTAGCGAATCGCCCAAGAACGGGTCCTTCTCCGGCTTCTTGATGTTCCACGCAGCTTCGAAGTTCCCGACATCCTCCCCTCCGACAGAGAAGTCCCAGCTGCCACACCCCTTCGGATAGGCGCCCATCATCGTGAACCCCGAGAGCTGGGTGCCCGCCAATGCTTCTGCCACGTCGTGAGCAGGGATGCTGTGCCCGTCTCCTGGTGAGAGGATGCCGAATTCACCGCTGGGACTGGTATGGTGTGTCTTGTGCGCCACCCCGGCCGGGATCGCGAAGGCGTCGCCAGCTTTCGCCGTGATCTCGATCCCTCCCGCTTCCTTAGCGCCGCCCCAGGTGCTCTTGTCTAGGTCTGAGTCTGTGTCGGCGACGCCAAAGCGGATGGTGGCGGTGCCAGAAAGCACAACCATGGTCTCATGGATTCGTGAATGGTAATGGGATGCCTGGGTTGCGCCGTAGCGAATTATCCACTGTGTCTCCCACCCATTCTCTTCTAAGGTTCGGTGTATCTTTTCAGGCCTCAGTTCAGCTTCGGACAGGAGCCCCCTGTAGTGTAGCAGCGGTTGCGGGGAGTTCGGTACTAGGCCCGTGGGTGGGAGATAGTGCTTGCTGACCTCAACCATCGCAGAGCAGTCTTAGGATCACCTATATCCGTATTTAAAATAAGAGAAAGATTTTTTATCAGTACGCATCATTATCACGTTTCATCTTCCAACAAAGGGCCTTCGGGTGAGGCCATAATGTTATTATGTCGGCACTTTTCCCCGCCCCAGCCGCCTGAGTCGGGGAGGGTAGTACGGAGGGGCGTTGAGTGCAACCCCAGCGCAGGAAGCCCCCACGACAAGATAGAGGAACGCACCAGTTTGGATCGAATAGCATCTCCTATTAATAGCAACTAGGCGTGCGGTATTTGGGACGAGGTGAGCTCCGATACTGCTGACCTTCGGAAGTACAGCTTCGGGGACCCATTGAGGTCAACAGGCAGACTGTTCTTTATATTCCGTTCTCGGCCCCATGACGTCCGAAAATCGAGGTAAGGCTCTCAACCCAACACGAGGATGAAACAGAAATCCCTATACGATAAATGCCATATAATTATACCACTTGAGCCGGCTATTCTAATCGATTTATATGTATCGCGTCTTAGTTTCACTCTATCCTCGTACGAAGGCAAGGCTACTTATCCAGAACACCACGGAAAGGTGCGAGATAATCGCTCTGGATCACTATTAGACTTCTAATAGCGACCCTCCACTATAACTTCCCTTGAAGTGTCTAGCTTCATAGGAAGGCAGGTGAATTAAATGGTGTAGGTTTGTGCAAGAGAAATATATACATACCGGCTAATTCAGCACCACAGGATTATTCTATGTGCCCTCCCCCTCGTCTGAGCTGTCCAGCTCGATGACTTGGGCCGGCGGTGGTGCTAGCGCCGGAAGCGTGTGGCCCGCAGGCGGATCCTCAGGACCGCCGTCCTGTACGGAACACTTTGCAGCGTGATCCTGAAATTTGCAACAAGCACATGAACCACCGAAGTGGCCACGAAGCTTGGTGCAAACCGTGAACGGCCGGCTATACCCGTCCGGATACCGTGCCAGCTGTTCACGACGAGCATGGCATTCCACCGGAACGGGTACGCCTCTACTTGCAATAAGTAGGGCAATCCGGGATGACCTCTATCAGGTAAAAGGGGAAAGGGGATGAAGAACTTCTGGACTTGATAATGGATTTCATTTTCGAGGCCGAACACTAGGGCGAGCATCTGGAGAGGAGACGAGTAAGGAGATTGTATATCATTGTTAGAACCCTTCCGTAAAGTAATAGGCCTTATACTGTCTTCAATTTCTCTTCGACCCTGACGGGTAGCCACACTACCATTGTGCCTGCCGAGTCCTCTCTGCCCCTGGTACTCTGTGTAGTTTGATTCTGGAGCCTGTATTCTAGAGAGCAACAACTGGGACTTGGGTCCCAGGGGCCAAGATTCGGGACTTTTACCCAAGGGGCCAAGTTTGCGATCCCGTTCCCAGAAGAGGGCAAGCCGATGAGGGGCAACCCAAAAGTTCGGGACCTGCAGACGAGCTGAGAGTGGGGTAAGAGCTTCAGCTGATTACTAAGTGAAGCAAACCATCCTCCATATATCATGATAATATTCCTATTCCTAACAACCGGCCCGGTTAGCTCAATCGGTCAGTCACTCACTCGAAATACCTAAAACGGAAAGCTAACTCCAAATAGGTAGAGCGTGAGACTCTTATGTGAGACAATCTCAAGGTTGCGGGTTCGACCCCCGCATCGGGCTCAATTCCCGAAACCTGTTTTTTTTTCCCTCTGGCGCCTTTTATTTTCGTACCCTTGCGTGCTCTTTTTTCCCCCACCAGGGTGAATTGCGACCATCCTTCCTCCGTAGTTTATGTCTCCAAGGTTTCAACACTCGCAAGAGTCATGACTGCTTCGCGGCTTTCAGTGTACCTTTCGTTAATATATTCCACATCGTCGTACCTTCTTATCCAGAACAGATGGATGGAATATGAGTGTATGGCAGTTTCCATCTTGCACGAATGCACTCTCCTATGTACGAATAAGGCTGAGCATAACTAATGCCTTCCTATATTACCTAAGTGCCTTGGGTAGTTATTCTTGGTAAACTATGAAGTGGATAAAATCTGACGATCTGTTCTTGGTCGGCCTGGCGCTGCTGGCTGACCTGGCCCTGGGGATGATCGATATAAATAGGTGACTATTATGCCCCGTTCCTTATCGTCTAGTATTTGCGAACCGTTCAGGCCCGTCACTGACCAGAATGACTTCAGGCATGGCATCGTCGGCAAGTACAATGTCAGGAGAGAGAGAGAGAGAGACAGAGGTTGATCGACGACAATGATACCGCCCTGTTATATGTTGGAAATGGCGATTTTGCCTTCAATGTCGACAACAATGTCGACAACACGGGAATACAGGTAGCCGGGAAATCAACCAACCGAACCGCATAACTACTACTAACATGCACTGGACATTCTTCCCCTTCGACACGCTATCGAGTTGGGCTTGGCACCATGATACCCTGCCCACCAACGGGTATGCTGATTTTGGATCGATACCGCTAATCTCACTGACTGGGTTACCTAGCGAGTTGCTCGACGGTTAATATCAGGGCATGTTGATGTTAACGCGTGGGTGGAACGTCTCCTACGGTAATATCCCAGACCCTGAGCTCCCCTCAATCTCGCAGTGGCTTCTCTCGAATCCGAACCGCCTCGACCTGGGACGCATATTAGGCCTTACATAATACCAAGGATCCACCCTATCCGCCTCGCAGATCACGGATGCGGTTCAGGAGCTAGACCTCTCGAATGGAGTCATAACATCGAATTTTACACTTGCTGGGAAGGGAGTCACCGTAGTTACTCAGGGCGACTTTGGGTCGAATGTAGTAACGTTCCGCATCTAATCTGACCTCTTGGCCTCGGGCGAACCGGAGGCCGAATTCGACTTCCCTTCTCCGCTGATTCACAACACCGAGGACTACAGGTAGGAGGTTTTAGCCGATGTCTACGATTTCCCCCTCAACCACATAACTTCGATCGTTTAAGTCCCACCAGGTGGACGAGGCGCATATCTACTACGAGCTCCAAGTGACCAAGTATTTCGTCATCCTTCGATTGCCTCTCACGAATGCCCCAAAGCTGTCTCGGGTCTAGTCTCTAGGCTCGACTGCTGTCGCAGCCTACTGCCACGTTCTCTCGGTCGAGTCTCGCTATCAACCCAACAGTCTGGGTTAGTTAACAGTGCGGCGACGGGTCGGCCGCCATAGGAGAGCGGCTTGATAAACAACGGGTGTTACGGTGCGTTGGATCTCCTATTTTCCCGTATCGGTTGGAGTTAGACTAGCACGCCGCAGGTAAGCAGCATGCTCTCCCGACGGCATTCCCGCCTGATGCTGAGACAATGGGGACTAGGTGGCCTAAGATGACCCAAGTAAATACTGCATCGAGCGCGCCGGGAGGCGTTAACGACCTTCTCCTATGGCAACAGGTATGTCGAGAGTTGCTCCGAAAATACGAGACAATGCTGAGCGACTCCAGCCGCACCCCGTGTATTACATGGCGTAGCTAGCATATCAAGGCGCGCCCACTAAAGCGAGACTTAACTGATGAGATGTTGTCTTGATCGTTGTAGTGGATTATATGACCTCGTACGCCTGGAAGAACAAGAGCTCGGGCTATTATGACCTCAGCCCGACTAGCTACGGTGTGACCCAGAACATTCCTCCGGCAGTCACGACGAACTTGGTCTACGAGGTCTGTCATTCGGTTTTCTCAACCCACTTTCGCGTCTAGTCGCTAACTCATACCGGTTAGATCACGGACTGGCAATACGGCCTCGGCGTTGCGAGGCAGTGGGAGCAGCGTCTGGGGCAGCGGGTGAAGGCGGAATGGATGACTGTGGCGGCGAGACTCGCGCCGCCAGCGCTGGTCGGCCGCCGGTATGCCGTGGACGCCAGGCTCGCCGCCCACGGCGGCGACGGCGGCGCCTCTCCGCCGTTCATGCCTGGAAGTACGGGCTTCCTCTACGCTAGTGAGTCGTATCTTGAATACCCCCTACTTAGCCTTACCGCGCGTGTTTAACAGTGCCTTAGTTACGTATATAATCGCCGGCCGGTTAGAATGAGTCGAAAGGGAATGCGCCTAGCTTCTCGAAGGACGGGACCTGGACTGTGAAACACGAAGGGTTGTTGAAGACGTTCTAAACACGGGCACGATACCCAAATTCAGAACAGCAGCTATTCTCTACCTACGTAAATACGTCGATCTTAAGCAATGCTAAGCCAAGTAAACATCGTAGACACGGTTATGTAAAGTCTGAAAGCAGTTTGCGGCAGCCTAGTAAAAATCGGAAGCGGATCGGCAGATAGGTAACATGGTGTTTCCCCCTGGTAACAAGGTAACAGGGGCGCCTCCAGGATCGTATCTCAGGGGTTCACATAATTCACTGTCCATATCTTCAGCCCGAATAGAATGTTACTATAAAAGGAGTGTGTAAAGATGGCTGTCTTCTATCTGGCTACTGACACCAAACGGACCAATTTTCGGCAACCTCCATCAAGTTCTCACAGGAACCAACCAATTCCACATTGGTCATCCCGATACCACTTTCTGTAGACCTGCTCGTTCTCAAAGATCTCGTGGTAGCGGAAGTGATTCTCGCCTAGTCACTTCGTGGGATCCAATTCCGTATCTGCTTGGAGGAATAGCTCTCCTTGTACCTGTGGTACTGACGCGCAGGCTTCTCCGGACCTGCCCCGGGCGCGCCCACCAGCCTCTCGCGGTGGCGTTCCGGGATACCCTCGCCGGCCCAGACGGAAATGAAGGTCTTGGGGAATCTGTCGGCTGGCTTCTCGGTGCCGCCGGCCTGGATGAATCTCCAGTGCAGGTGGTTGAACAGGTACTCGTACACCTCTTCTTGGTCCAGCGAGGTGATATACTTGTATTTCTTGTCCAGGGCCTGGAGGATGAGGGGGATCGTGAGCGGCACCTGGCCTCGGGACAGGACTCTCTGCTCTCGCTGCAGCCCGCAGTTGGCGCAGCCGCCGGCGGAACCGGGGGCGGCGGGGTTCAGGCCCCCGAAGACGTACACGTGGCCGACCATGTTTCTCGCCTCGGCGAACGCGCTCGCTGGGTCGTTCGGCTCGCCGCCGAGCCAGAGCTCGATCGAGTACGACCTGCCTTCGAGCGCGTAGCGGTCGTAGTCGATATTGACAATGTAATCGTTCCAATTCCCATCACCCGGGGTCTTGGGCCCGAGGAAATTCTTGTGATTCCTCTTGATGCTGTCGTAGAGTGTCGAGATGTACTGCGGGGTGCTCGGGTAGATGTCCCGGATGTGGTCGCGCAGGTCATGAATGTACTCTCGCTCGTTCAACGTGCCGTCTTCTTCGAGAGCGGAAGCCTTGGGCGCGAGATCGTCGTACTGATACCAGAGTTTCGTCCAGTCGCGCGCATCCTTCGAGGTCCAGAAATCGGCTTTCGGGTCGCCGTTTTCCTTGTTGTGGAAGGGTTTGAGGGGATCGGTCTCGGTCGGATCCTCGACATTTTGTCCGTTGCCATCCGGCTCTTTCCTATCCCACCAAAGATCCCAATTCAGCGATTGCCAGATCGCAAGGAGTCGATCGACATTACTGCCGTTATGTTAGCGGTATCCCAGTGTTGGGGGAACACACATACCAGTGGTGGAGCCAAAACAAGGGGTCAAAAGCTGACACCGACACCTCAGACAGATGCCCAAGCCCAGACCCTACCATATCGGTTCCACCCGCCAGGTTCTTTGCCAGTCAGTAGAGCCGTTGAAAGATGTTGCTCTTGTCCAATACAAGTACTTACATGAATGTTGTTGTGAATGTATTCTAGGGACATATACCTCGTGGGGCGTTTTTCTGCTCCCTCAGCCACCCATTTAGTACTCGCGAATGTTCCCCAGGTGTTATTGTATTCTGGTGAGAGCAAGCGGCCGACGGCATCGGCCAAATCCCCAGGAGCTACCCAGTGGTCATGCTCCCATGTACCTTTCGGGTATGGGTTGTAGGCCTTCGTAGAGAACGAGGCTAGGGAATTGTTGGCGCTCTCGAAGTTATTCCTCCCCTCAAGGCCCTCGTAAGTCTTTCCGCCGTCGCTTGTTCGAATTCCGTAACGGCTCACTCCAGTACATTGACTCCACTGAGGAGGCAGGTCAGCGAGAAGAGATCTCGAGCATGGGGCGCACATGTTCCTACCGGCAATTTAGGTTCATCTTTGGATATGCCGTCGTTAATATTCCACTTCTCCTTTCCAGCCGGCATCTCCCCCATTTTCAATGGCTTTCCGTCATCTCCTTTTTCAGGATTCACAAACCCCCAGAGGGGATTCGGATGGGCGGCGGGTCCGTGAGGCAGAAAGATGTAGACAGTTTCCGTAATGCAGGCAAACGGCAACGAGAACCTGTTGTTGTACGTCTGCTTTTGTGCCCAATCCCAGTAGGGCAACCGCCATGAATCTGCGGAAGTGTTCCATAGATCCGCCCGCTCCTCGTCGAGGTCCCATTCCTTGATGATCTCTTTCATATGCTCCCAAATACGTTTCTGATGATATCAGCACTATCCACCCCGCCCGAAACTCACATTGTGTGACGACATACCTCAAATAGCAGGAGGTAAGGCCGGTGCCACGTTGGAAACGTGATGGTGTTGTGTTGACAGTACCCCCCATACGGATTGTCGCCTGGCTTAGGGTCAGGCTTTTCGTGAGGTGGCGGGTCCGCACCGTCCCAGTCTGTCTCCGGATATCCATGAATTCCGGCGATTCGAAAGTAGGAGAGCTTCTGGTCAACCGGAAGAGCCTTGAATCGTTCCAGTGCGAGAACGAATAGCGTCCACTGCCGTTGTAATTCCGGTTCAAATGAAGGGTACAAGTCAGCAAGGTTACGGCGGTAAGGGATCCCAGGAGCATAGGGGATGTTTTTGGTTTTATACTGGTAATCCTGTATGACCGGGATACCGGTGATATCGTAGGTTCCTGTGTCGTCTGTTGCTAGGCCCGACATCTTGATGGGGATGGTGATAGCACCTTGATTCCTGAGTGAAGATTAGAATTCCTTGATGCTGCTCGAAGACTTTCATCTTGGGTCAGAGAGAGAAAGCGCGCGGGTATTTATAACTTTTATCAGCATGATGATGTGCTTCAGTGCAGATGAGGTCTATTAGGATGCCAACACGAGTAATCTTGATGCGAAAGAGAGCATTCCACCGCCATGAACACGGTTCACTGCCAAAGGCCGGAGCCACAAAGAAGATAGTGAGACAGCCTTGGTTGTCTGCCGAACAACTAGAGAGGCGTCATCACTCGTATAATGATAGGTTCCTTCTATTCGGCTCATGCTACTGGAACGAAAGTATTTTCCCTGCATTCAGCTAACCTCGGGCCACTCTTTGGCGCAAAACTTGCCTGAAACGAGAATTGCTGGCTGCATGATGCAGACATGGCCGGCCAAACATAGGTCTGGTTATATTAGGAGTGGTCTTGGGTTTATTGATTTTGTTCAGCTTACTGCGGCGCACGAGGGGTTGCTTCAGCTACTCCAAGGCCAGGCGTAATAAAAACTGATCAGAACGTGTGGCCCACTCGCATTCGAGGATCATCGTCAACCGACCACTCTTAACTGTGGGTATATACCCGCTGCGGAATCTAGACGGGTTGGCTTGTCCAGACAAGGTATTCATCCTCAAAACTGGACAGGAATTGGGCACAAGCGCTGCAGAAGGATTGAATTATTGAATTATTGCAGCTTCGCCCATCCCCACAAAAACCAGCCAGCAAAATAATTCGTTGCCGGTTTCAAGCACGATAATAGACTACACACGCCCGCTATGTCTAGTAAGGGTAATTGCAATGAATACACTAGGTAGTCATATTGATAGCATGAGCGAAAACAATAAGGAGTAAGGAAAAACAAGGACGAAACTGTATTATTGGCTTGAAGGGGAGCTACCAATATCCCTAGATGCGGGATTCTGTAAGCCAGCGAAGTTGCTTCCTCCTATTGATGGGAATATGATAGGTGAGTATCAGCCACGAAGCTCCAGATATCAGCTCGAATCTCGATCGTCCGAATTCTAAGGCTGACAAGATCGATGGTGCCCGACGCAAGTGTTTGGTAAATGATACTCCTCACGGGTAGTTTCTCCCCGCTGATCATATCCCGAAACATAATATACCTGTCGTGATAAGATGGGAGGATGAGTCAGCTGCTTCCGTAAGCCTCCGTAGAACCTTTAGCCTTTGGCCCTTAGCTTTAGCTTCGCTAGAGAACCTAGAGGAATCAAGCTTTTTCCCACTGAGTTTTTATCTGTCCGAATCGTGAGCCGTGATATGGTAGCTTCACCGCTTCGTACGGAACAAGCCTCCAGGGATAGCTTCAAATGCCTGCTAAGAGACAGCGGGACGCGAAAGGCAGATTCGTTTCTGCCATACAACGACAACCCTCTCCAGCACCACCTCCAACACCGCCAGCACAACCCGAACCACAACCCCCTCCGGCACCACGAAAGAAGATTTCCGAACTAACAATCCTTTCTCAGAGCCAACGCCGTCCCCTTATTACTCCCGCAGATCCCGATCCCGCAGATCCCGATCCGACAACACCTAATAACCCTTCTCTAGACCCCTCCTCCTCCCCATTCCACTCGTCCCCATCCCCTGTCATGGAGGAAGCCTAGTAGATTTAAGCGAGTCACTTGTTGATTAAAGGTATTCCTACGTATTCTTTACGTAGTTGCCTGAAGAACAACTGTATGCTTAGACCAGCGGCGAAGAGACTCAAACTAATAACTAGATAGGAAGAAAACCTATCTGGTTTATATATCCATTCTGTCTCCTAGCAATGAATGTACTCTTAAGGGTCCCTAAGGATCCCCTATCCCCTGATCCTCTTAGATCCCGTATCCTTAGGGATCCCGTTATCCGCGTGGTTTCGGTATCCTGCCGAAGTCACGTCAGGTGACATCTTGTGTTGTCCCGGAGTTTCCCCGCCATTGGAGGGTCCGAGGCCTCCGGGAGGTTGGCTCAAGCGCCCAGGTAGGTAGCATTTACTGCCACCGTCATGGTAGGAGGTCCCGGATTTACGTGCCGCCGACGACATTAAACCTCGATGGCGGGGGAGTCTGTCTAGGTAACACAGGAAGCCTTGACGACTTTTTACTCTCTTGTTTCCGTGCTGTGGACGACAGCAACTATACCATTACCATAGTGACTAAAATCCGGGCCGGCTCTCGTGGGCATACGCCATTCAACCCTTCAAATTGTGTTTGCCCTGAGCCTGTCTATATACCTAAGCGTTGAGTCTGCTCGCGAAGAATCGTCGATGGTTTGGAGGCAGACAGACAAAGATGTTACCTATTCGCGCCCGTCCGCTAGACCGAACCTCGAAACCTTCAATAGATACCCGTTCACTGGTACCTTGCCGGTTCTTCCTCGCGGGGAACTGTCGGAACAATCCTTGTCCGTTTAGGCACGACAAGGACTCGACTCCTCAGGCTCGCCCGATCCCTCGGCACGAGGTGAGTCCGCAGAGCCCTCGAGCGGACTGGGCTATAAAAATGCCTAACGTGTAGCGAAAGACGGAACAGGATGAAGCCGAGACAGAAGATTTCTGCCGCACCATCGCCAGCGCGTATGTTAAATTCCAAGACGGCGGCCGGGTTTCGAAAGTCTCCCTTCTCAGTGACTTCTCGGCTGTGCATCTCACCGGCCTACCCGAGGGTAGTTCTCCCCGAACCGTACGAGCCTTCCTCGCCGAGCACAAATTTGACGTTCCGGAGAAGGATATACGGATCATATATCTGGATCGGTCGTTCAGTGCCAACGTGTCGGCCGAGGATCCCCTATTTTCTAGGAGGGTATGCACGCTTACGCAAACCGGGCTCATGTGGGGGGCCTCCCGGATCCAGGCAACTCCCGTCGCAGCCCGGATGCCATCTGGCCACACCTCGGGACGCGTAGACTGTAAGAAGGTCCACGTGTCGTGGCATAAGGCTGTCCGCACTGCCTGGCTGAACTTTGGAAACAGCGAAATTGCTGGGCGAGTGAGCCGAAAGTTCCAAACTGGTGAATATAAGATCCTGGGTTACAAAGTCGTGGCAGACGCACCGTCCCAAGCTTCGACCGCGGTGTTTAGCTCGCGCGGCCGTAACCCCGTGGACTGGACTGTAAGGCTAACCCAAGTTCCGGGGAACGCTACAAATTCTAATCTATCCCGGGCTATCTCACATCCTTCGGATAAGCCGCGCCACATAGAGCTAGCAGCTCCTGGCTACTCCATCGACGACGACCAAGCTGCAACCATTATTCGATCACTTTTGACCAGAATCGGGCCGGTAGAATATTGGGAGGTAACGCTGGAGTCTACAGCTAAGCGAGCCAAGGCTACCGCACGCTTTCTTGACGAAACTGACGCTAGAGATGCGGCCTCTCAGCTCGATGGGAGCGAGGTTCCGTTCCATAAACAAGGAAAGCTTACCGTTAAGATGGTATACTCCGCCAAATTCAAGGTCAGGAGTGACCTCTACCACGCCGTCGTGTCCCAGGCGAACGCCCACGCCAATGTCTGGAAGGATAAACACGTCTTCCTGCGTGTGTATCCTAGTTCCATGTTGCTCAAGGTCGAGGGAGAATCAGACACGGCAGTGGCCAGTGCCAAGGCCACCCTGGACGGCATCCTCAGTGGTGTTATTGCTAAGAGCGGTCAAGTAAGCCTCTGGGATTCGTCCCTCGGACGGAACGGAAATCTCTGGAGTTCTATAAAGCAGCAGCAGCGAGAGCTTGGAGTCGTCGTGGTCCGCGATAAGGTCAAACAGGAGCTGCGCCTCTTTGGAACTAATATGGAAAAATGTAACGAGGCGCAGAGGCAGCTCGCTAAGCTCTTTAGCAGAGAATCCCATACCATCGAGTTGGACCCTTCCGCATTGTTCTGGGCTTGCCGCGGGGGATTCGAAAAGATTACTAGCAAACTCGGCGCCGACAGGGCGACCTTGGACATCGTTTCGTCTCCCAAGAAGATCGTCATTTCAGGTTCCTTCGAGGACTATGATCTTGCACTTGCGCTTGTGAACGACCGCAACGTCGTGGTCCCGTCTAAATCCGAGGCGCCCTCTATTGACCCCGTCCTCGCGGAAGACTGTTCCGTTTGCTGGACTACTGCGGACGCCCCTCTCCAGACGGCGTGCGGCCATGTTTACTGTCAAGATTGCTTTGAGAATAGTTGCGTCGCCCCATCAGCCTCCGGAACTGACTTTTCTCTTCTCTGCCACGGTAATCGCGGCAAATGTAATCGTGAGCTTAGCCTCGACGACCTCCATAAGCACCTCTCTTCAGCTACCTTCGAGGGCGTGCTAGAGAAGTCCTTCGTGTCCTACGTCCGGCGCCACCCGAACGAACTCCGGTTCTGCCCAACCGCTGATTGCGGGTACGTCTATCGGGTCACGACATCGGCAAAGACGCACACCTGCTCCAACTGCCTGCAGCCGATCTGCACCGCTTGCCGCGAACCTCATGTTAACATGACCTGTGCCGAGTACAAAGACATCCAGTCGGGCGGCTATGTTGCCCTTGAGAAGCTGAAGCAAGCAATTGGAATCAAGGACTGCCCCAAGTGCAAGACCCCGATTGAGAAGGTGTCAGGTTGCAATCACTTGGAGTGCTTGGGATGCAAAATCCATTTCTGCTGGGTGTGCCTGAAGACGTTCTCTGGGGGAGCAGCCGTCTACAGTCACATGGAGAAAATGCATGGAGGTCATATCGACTTTCCTTGAGCGCAGATAAATAGGTATACGTCATGGTCTAAGGGTAGTGTACCCAGCCGTCTGCTCCCCTGCCTTTCTCCTTGTTATCTCCCTCGAAAGGTCTAACGATAGTAGCGTTTTTATCGATAATACGGACAGTTTGTGTTTTCTTCGTCTTGGATAAGTCGACGGCGACGTCTAGAACAACTATGACCCAGTCAAAGCTTCTCTTCGTGCCGTTAGGAAAGTCGGTGGGATCGGAAGAGCAAGAGCCCTTATGGTGCATGGGGATGGGCCCAGCCGACCGGCCGGTGCGCGTTGTGGTCACCTCGGGGCACTTCTTAACATGCTAGGTACATGCAAGAAAGTCGAGACCGTGGGCTTGTCCACGGCGAGCGGGGCGTATTATCTCCCAGTGTCCTAGCAAGCGACCTCGTCGCCACCAACGGATAACAGCAAAGGATCCGACTAAGAGGATTAGACAGGAGGGCCCTTGCTGTAATATCGATTCCTCCTTTGGGATTGGTAGACGAACGATACCAGAATATAAGTCAGACCCGAATCTCTCTAATATTACTGAGAGCATGATACCGTCAAGTCTGCTCGTACGGCATGGTGCTGTTGACACCTCGAGACACCCCTTGGGGAGAGAATTCTATAAGTAAGATGTCGCGTAAAACGTAGACGCCTACATTTACGCTTTGCGGTATGTAGGCATATAAGGGCTGGTTTAATTGCTACGTGACATACCCCCCAGTTATTGGATACGGCGATGAGTAATAACTGCATTGCTTACTGGCGGAATTGAACCCTGGTGGTGCGTGTAACCCCTTGTCGTTGGCGCGCCGCCTTACTGCTAGTTCTAGTCTAGCTCTGGGGAGGCCGCACCGGGGTTAGGGTAGTTGTGGCTGATTGACGGTACGGCAACGAGCGCGGACACCTCGGGAACTACTACCGCGAGGGCGACGAGTAGGGGTCGGAGCTTGACCTCGAGTGGCAGGAGAGCTACCCTCTCGAGCCAGCGCATCTGCTGTGGCCTGGCCACGGATCGATTCAGCGGTGGGTGGCAGGACTGGTTGTCGCTGTTGGTTTGGATGGCGGATTCTAAGAAGCTCTTTCATCTCCCCCCGGAGCACCGCCGTCTAGGGCAATATAGTTAGAAGAGCGATCAATACCACAGGAAGCTCGGGCACTTACCGCATCGGAGTTTGGATCAGTAATTTGAGGGGCGACTAGCCGCTGTGCGGGACAAACAACCTGGGGATGTCTACAACTCGTTAGCTCACCACGCAAACCATATAGCTCCAAGGGATACTCACAGAGCTACACAAGAGTGGCCCCGGGAACAACGCAAACAGCGGTTGGCGGAAGCCAAGGATTGAAAGCATTCGCTAGTCGATCTATGCCAAGCGGCACTACTGACATAAGAATTGACGAAATTTTTGGCCAGCCTCATCGGCGAAACCTAACGATCTTCCGACGAAAAGGTATTCGAACACTTAGACGTCGCTATGATGACGACGGAAAGCGGAGTGGTGATAATGGGATATTAGGGATAGTAAGTTAGCCTGAATTCAATGGCGCCGCAGGATCTGAGCTGACTCTGAAGGCAGATAAAACGGGGACTCTAAGGACTTTTCCATGTTCGCTAAGTCGCTAGGTTAAGAAATGGGGAAGGTGACGATAGGCCAGACGATTAAGTTGTTGGGTACCGTAACGAAACAGATGGCTCACTTCTCCTTCTTAGTGTCCTCCTGTCCCTTTAACTTCGATTGAATAGGTTTTGGGTCGAGGGCTTTGTCAGTCTTCTTAGGATAGGGGTTGGGCTGCTGTTTTCGTGGTATTGTCTTGGGCTTCTTTGAGTGACGGGGCCTTGCGGCTGTCAAGGTTGATGGATGTCGCCATCCCCGAGGTAGATTTTGGTCAATAACGATTGAAAAGGAACGACACCGGGCTCTGCTTATCGGGTGGCGGTGGTAGTGTTGTCGGAGACGGTTCCAGTTTGACGTCGCACCTCATGATTTGACCCGATTTGCTCCTCACTTCAAAGGGTGCCATTGTATCGATCGACCATTTTCTCTCTTCGACCAACTCCTTAGGGATTCAACGACCGTATGATTGGAAGATAGTGAAGTCGTCGTAGCTGCCCCAACCAGGGCCGATACCGATCGGTCGCCTCCGTTGATGGATATGACCGGTTGAGGTCGCTGAACGCGTTTCGGTCATGTCCTCTACCGGAGTGAACGGGGCAAAGGAAGGAGACTTGGCTTGTACCTCCGGGTCGGAACCGCCATCACCAAGTAGCTTGGGCGCCACTCGCCATCGGTCATGTTCGTAACAGGAAAGTCACTGGCTCGCCCGAGGAAGAATGCGGTGTCCGCAACCGGATTGTCGGTGGTGTTGACGTCGAACCAGCGATAAAACACTCGATCATCTTTGTACCCTTTATCGATGTCGAGGGCCGGAGTTGGAGCGTCCCAGAGGGTCCAGCCTTGCTCCTGTAGTTCGCGCACCCTGTGGGTGGCAACGACTATGAACTCTCGTTCCTTGGCCTCTGGCACTGCCTTGCCAGGCACGATCTCCTTTGGCGTTAGATTTATCGGTTCTGGCCGTGTCCCTCGTCACGCACCTACACCCGCACAGGGGTCGTCGTCCTTATGTGGTTTCTGGCTCCGAGGTGGAGGGACCTGGTGATGCTGGGGCTTGAGATTGCCCTCGGCGTCCTTACTAACTTCCGTAGGGGCTGGTATGCCCAACTCCTTCCATTTCCTTCCTACCTTACGTTGGTTAGCGAAGAATAACCCCAAGCAAGCTTCGGGAAATTCCTCGTCGTAGGCCTAGGAGCCGGGGTACTCGCGTATTTCGCTCGTGTTAAGCGACTTTATATTCTAGCTGTAGTGTTGAGATCGGGCTGCTCCGAGTATCGGGAGAGGCCTCCCGATTAACGTTGGATGACATCCTGATTTAAAGTTAGGTACGATGTTGTTGCTAAGAGTTTCTGTTGTCGGACCTTATCTGTTACTTTCTTGCCAAGGCTGGGCGTGAGCGAGGTGACGACGTTTGGGTTTTTGATCGGATTTTATGTTTCGCTGCGATAGTTTGCTATGGGTTAGCAGGAGTGCACCGCCCTTCTGGCTGGTAGGAAAAAAATAAATAAATATCGATTAGAAAATTCGGCATGCTCCCCCATTCTACCCACAGCCCTTTCTTTTCCTTCCACAGCCCTTTCTTTTGTCAGTGCGAGCTGAAATGCGGCCACTGTGACAGTAACTAGGTACCTACCCTCTGCTAAACAGAACCATCAAGATTGTCAAATCTCAGCATACCAAACACCAGAATTCAGAATATCTCCCCTATCGAGTCCAAGAACGAGAATACAATGGACTCTATTGCGCGCAACCAGCTCGCCGCCGCCGACGTCCGGCGCCTAGAGGACGCCCCTCGGAACCCGCTCACCAAAAACCCCTGGCCGTCCAATACAACACAAATGGCTTGTTGATTCGAGGTGTCCCGCGAACCGCGTGCAGACGCGAGAACATCTGCAACACCGGTCGTCTCTGTGTGACATGTCTTCTGCTTTTCGTAGAGGTGCTGGATAGCTGAGATATAGGCTTTGGTAGTATTATATTAGAGCTTAAGTTATAAATAATAAGAGCTTCCCTTTGACAACAAGGTCGTTAGGCGGAGGCTAGCCATCCCAGGGGACCTAGGCCGACCAGCCTGCAGGGTAGGGTAGGGTAGTAAATTTAACGTCTCTTTTTCTACCTATCGTAAGCCTACCTTCTTAAAGGCGGTAACGGGGGGTCGTTGCTCCGTAAAGCAATAAGGGGGGAGGGGAGGGAAACCCCTTCTCCGAGAGCCTTACTTACTACCCCGTAGAAAGCGGGATAGGGAGACGAGGAGGCCGCCTCGAAGATATCCCTCGTAGTAATTACTATCGCCGTTAAGATGGACTTTTAACCGTTTTTCGTAGACTATTAGCCACGCCGAAGGCGTAGAACCGAATGGAAAACGGGACCGAGTTAAGGCGTCCGTTACGCTTCTCGAGAAACTCGAGAACCTTCCCGCGCGCGTCGATAAACGATAGACGAAAGGCAGGACTAGGCCGTTGGCGGAAGATAGGAACGACGAGACGTGATTAGCTAGATTAGTCCTGGGAAAAAGATGTTCGGGGGAAGGTAGCCTGTAGGGATAGGTGGGTGGCGGGCCGCGTACCACTCCCTCCATTCCTGCTGCTTCGGCGTGTAGGTCCTCGCTGTATTCTTGGGCTGGTTGAGCGATTGATCGAGGAGCAGGTCCTCAATCACAGCCCAGACGTGGTCCCACGCGTCCTTTTTAGCCTTGGTGGCCGTAGCTGTAGCCAGCGGGGCGAAGGTCAAGCTAGGCGTCATGGCGCTGGCGCAGGTGTAGACGTGGGCGCGTGCGTAAGCCGGGCTTTTTCGTGGAAGATCTTGAACGTCTGGGCTACTCTCAGAAGGTTGGCTGACACCACATGGTTTTGGTGCTTGGAGGGGATTTGGGGGGGCGGGTTTGCTTGTTTTTAGGTAGGTTAGTTTTAACAAATCTTCGGATGTTGAGGTGAGTCACGTAGCTTCCCTCTCTCATTTTTCTCTCTTATATATTCACTTCTCTCTCTCCTACTTTTCTCTCCCACTTCTCTCTCTCCTACCTTTCTCTCCCACTTCTCTCTCTCCTACCTTTCTCTCCCACACTCTGCCATCTACACACGACCTTTTCACTCGTGCCCAGATTTGATCTCCCTTGCCCATCACCACCACTACCAAGAAAGACGGACCCTCCACACCATGTCAGTTCCGTCCACGCCGCAGCGTACGGCTACTGCCGAGCTGCTGCTCGTATCGCCGATAGCACTCAGCGGCCTGGCCCTCTCCTCTCCAAGACAGCGCAGAATCACGCCGACGGCTGAAGCAACGTCACCGAAGAGAATCGCAGTTATCACCCGCCCTGGCGCCGTGAGCCCCCTCCTCAATAGTATCAGTCGGTCAAGCCTCCCGAATCCACTTCATTGGCCTTGTACGGTCGAGCTGGCTCACATCGGTAAGGACTTGGCATCCCCCCCCTGCAAAATGACAATACTAACCTGACTCTTTAGACCAGAGACTGCCGTTATATAAACGCACCTTCACAAATCCACTTTTCCAAGGCACGCCAGCACAGGGTCTGCAGTGGCCATCGCCAGTGCGACATATCATTTTGCCGTTCGACCTCCGAGACCGGCCCGAAGACGTCCTTGAGCCCGAAAAGCGAGATATGGTGCTAAGCATCTTTCCGGGGACGACCGGTGTTGCGTCCGACGGCTACTTTGTGATCCTCCAGCTACGTTCGCTACCGCCGAAGCCTTGGCCACTTACTATTGGCGGGGCCCCTCTCTATGTGACAAGGGGATATGCTTGGAGTAGGTTTAATTTAACTAATAATTCTATAGGGGGTTTCTTAGGTCCTTGTCCTCTTCCAAGTTCTACGTTCTTTTTTCGTCTTAATATAACCCGGAAGTACCTTTATACTTTTATACCCTTATACCTTAATACCGAAGCTATCCGAAGCTTATCTAGGACTTTCCTTAGTAGGTCGCCGAAATAACGGCTTTAATGCCCGATATTATCCTCTTAACCTTTATGGCTTAATTTATTAGCGTAGGATTCCATCCCCGTGTAATACTATCTCCTTTCTTTGGAATAGCTCGTCTTTAAGCGTAATACCTAGGCCCGATGGTTAATAGGTTTATTAAGGTTCTATAGGTAGAATAATTTAACGGCTCCTTTCGCCCTTTCGGTAGTAAAGTATTCCTACGGTTCTTAAGTCTAGTAGCGCTTAACCGGTTAGCTTTATTACTTTACTAGGTACCTAATAACTTTTCCGGTTCTCGCGGAATCTAGTACCTTATTTACCTCGTAGTCTTTTACCTCGATCGGAGCTACCTTCCGTAAGACCTAGTTAGGGTTAGGTAACTCCTAATTATTAGCGCGGTAAGGTTCGATAAGGGATACGTAAAAGGTATTATAAATCCGCTAGCCTTTCGGAAGTATTAAAGTTACGGCGGTAGGAAAGACGACCTTCTAGACCTTAAAGGAACCGAATATCTTCTTATTTATTTTCTTTATAAGGCGCTTGGTTTTAATGTTACGGATATTTAATATAACGAATTATCCGACTTTTAAAGGGGGTTCCTCCTTTCGGTATTTATTTACTTATCCTTTTATCCGCTACCGTGCTTTTTTTAAATGCTACTTAGCCTCGTTATATATCCGAATTATTTAATAAGTATAGAGGTTACTTCTTAGATTTTTAGGGGTACCTAAAGAGGGGTTATATATTACTAGGTATTACTTATAGTTAGCGTAAAAGGAAGATATACCGGTAGCTATTAAAGCGGTATTATTATAAGTAAATTCGGTAGTAAGTAGTAAGCTTTCCTAGTTACTTATTTCGTAGTTTACGAAAGCGCGTAGGTATACTTTTAGGATTTAATTAAGTCTTTCCGTTTATTTATCCGTTTAAGGGTAAAAGGCGGTACTTATTTTAGGCTTAACGCCGAGGAGCTTTAAGACGCCCTTTTATATATAGGAGGTAAATCGTAAATCTCGGTCGGAAATAATATTTAAGGGGATTCCATATAGCCGCTAATAACTACGTATAAAGATAGGTATTAAGTCTTCGGCCTTTTTACCGTCCTTCTTTAGCGGAATAAAGTACGTTATCTTAGTAAAGAGGTTTATAATAACCTAAATAAAATCGTAGCCGTTAAATATTAATAAGTCCGTAATAAAGTCTATCGCGATCGTTTACTATAGTCGATAATATAGTTCCATAAGCTATAGTAATCCGAACGGGGTATACCGGGGTACCTTATTTTACTAATACTCGCGGTACCTTCTAACGAATTCCTTAACTATTACTTCTAGGTTAGGCTATTAAAAGTTACGAATAATAAGTTCTATGGTTTTATTTATACCTATATGCCCCGCTACTTTAATATCGTATTCCGATTTAACTACTTCCTATTATAGGTTCTTAGGTATCTAGAAACGGTTTCGCCGATAAAAAAGGCCTTCCTAGAGCTTTATCTTCTTACCGAATAATTTAACTAACTAAGCTTAGTACTCCGGGTCCTATGTAGCTACCGTTTTAACTTATTTAACGAACTTTAAGGTTTAAGCGGGTATTAAGATGCTATTTAATCGTACGCTAGAGAGTATTACCGTAGGTAAGCTTAAATTTTTTAAAAAATACTTTTCCTATAGGACCGTTATTATCGGTTAGTCCTTAGCTCCCCTTTTTTTAAGGCGATATTATAATAATTTAAATAGAATATCGGCCTTTTTATTTTACTTTCCTAGGCGATAATATATTATAAAGTAATACGAGGAGAGCTATTAGGCCTAACGGGCTTAGCGTCGATTTAATACTTTTACCGTAGTAAAGTACGTTAAATTCTAATGATCGGAATATACTTCTATTTAATGCTAAGTACCTTCGAAATAATATCGCTACTTTTCGAATATATCGACGATTATTAATAATTCCTTATTATATATTTTATAATTTATTTCCGTTAAGATAAATCGTCGTAAGAAAAAGGCTATTAGTTTTAATCTCCCTTTATTATTCTTCTATAAGAGAACCGCGGAAATAACGAAATCTAAGGCGTTAGTTTCGATAATTAAGACTTAGTTAGGGTCGAAATATATAAGTACCGGGGCCTTCGTAAAGGTTTCTTTTAATTCCTAGAAGGCCTTCTTTATTTCGATTTCCTATTTCCATAGCTTACGATCTCTTTTATTAGCGCTAATAATTAGCCTAGTTATACCCGAGAAATTACGTATAAATTTACGGTAAAAGTTAGCGAACCTAATAAAGCTTTATAAGTCTTTAAATATAGCTAGGATACGTTAGTTAAGGATAGCTTCTACTTTATCTTTAGATATAGTAATACCCTTAGGGCTTATATTATATCCTAAGAATTTAACTTCTTACGTTTACTAGGTATATTTTTTTAGGGCTACCGCTAAATAGTTTTCTATAAGCCGTTTTAAGACTTCTTTAATTAATTTGTTATATTTCTTTAACGTATCCGTATAAATTAGGATATTATCTAGGTAAGCGATAACCCCGGCGTTTAGAAGGTCGCGGAAGATATGGTTTATTATGGCCTAGAAGGTAGCGGAAGCGTTAATTAATTCCATAGGTATAATTATATATTCGTATAACTTATAGCGCGTTCTAAAGGCGGTTTTTTATTCATCGCCTTCCTTAATCCGTACTATATAGAATCCGGATTTTAGATTAATTTTAATAAATTACCGCGCCGTTTAGAATAAGTTCTATAGTTCGTTAATTAGCGGGATCGGATATCGGACGGGTATTATAATTTTATTTAGCCCCCGGTAGTCCGCTACCGGTCTTAAAGCGCCCGGGTCCTTTTTTTTTATAAATATTATAGATACGTTATAAGGGGCCTTAGATTTTCGGATTCTTCCTATGGCTATTATTTCGTCGAGCTAAGGTTTTAAAGCGTTTAATTATCGTTTACTTATAGCATATAAAGGTCCCTACGGGGAAGTAGTTCCTAGTCGGAGCTTAATAATATAGTCCTACGGTTACCGATTAAGGAATCGTTATCCGGCTTCCTTAGTTATAATAGGAACGAAGTCGCGAAATTATTCCGGTATTTATACTAAAGCCTTTACTTCCCGTATTATTCCTACGCGAACTAACCGTAGGCGATAATTCTAATACCGTAGCGAGTTAAAGTATAGCCGTCCGTTTATAAATAATCCTTAAGGAAGGTATTCCTTTATTTATTATTAGGGTAGAATAGTATCGACTTCTTCGTTTAATTTACTAACTTTCCAAGCGATACGGTAGATATATTCGTAGCTACGGAGCTTTATTTCGTTTATATATTAAAGTCCTTCTAACGAGATTTCTAAGCCGTCGAATCTTATTAAGGTCCTAGCCCTAGAGCGTTAATTAATAAGAAGGCGTAATTATTCCACTTTAGCGGCGTTAATTAAGGGTACCTTACTACCGGTATTTAAAAGGATTCGTAGGAGGTATTTCTTTCCTTAATATTTTATCTATATCGTATAAATAAGCCGTTTACCTAACCTTAATTCGTCGGAGTTACGCTAAGGGACTCGTGGTTTCTTCGTTATTAATACCGCTCCTATTACTTCTAGCGTTCTAAGCCGTTTAATAGCCGTAATCTTTACGTTATTTATACCGCCTCTTTTTTCCGTTAACGCTTGCGGGGGGGCATTTAAAAATCCCGTTTTTTATCGGAGTCGAATAGCTCTATAATACGGGGAAGAATTTCCTCCTATCGTATAGTAATATCGATCCTAGTCCTTTTATTAAGTAATAGCTCGGACTTCTTCCTTCTTCTTTTTCCCGATAAGACTTTCTTAGGTAGCGCCGGTAAATCCCGTCCTTTTAAGTCCTTCTTTACGAAGCAAGCTAGGGTTTAGTAATTATCCCTTCCGTATTTTTAATAGGTTTTCTTATCCTTTTTTCGCTAGTCGATAACGGCCTAGTTAATCCTAGCTAAAGCTTCCTTATTACTTATCTATCGTAAGTCCTTAGCCGGTACGGATTTCTTGCTATCCTTTTCCTTACGTTCGTTTACCGGTTAGTTTAAGCGGAAGCGAGTCTCTTTTACGGGTTACCGCTATTATTAATCCGCTTTCGTATACTTTTTCTACGAAGCGGACCCTCCTTTTCCCGAAATCCCTAGGTTAGTTATTATGTTTTCGTAAATTTAACTAGCTTCCTTAATTATTCCGAGGAAGGCTTTATCGCTTTCGGGAATACTATTTAATCGTAAGTAAATTAATTTAATTATTTCGTCGGATAAGGTACGGGCGATATAATTCTAGAAGGTAGTTCCGGATTATTAAACGATATCGTTAAGGTTTATAAACTCGGTAAGGTATTAGGAGATATCTCTTTAATACTTTAATTCCTATATCTTCTTAAAGTTACGATATCGTTCGGCGGGGTCTTTAAACCGTTCTTAAAGTACTTAGGAATATCCCGCTTAAGTATCGACGATTATTAATCTTTTTACTTAAGCTAGCCGTTATTAATACTAAAGTTAGGCCTTTTCGGTAAATATTAATTTTACCTAGTTAATTTTCTAGACGTTCCGGATAAAGCTTTCTTTATACGTTTCGAAATAAGATTTAACCTTAATTTATTATAGTCGGAACTTAGCTAAGTCCTTACCGTTATAAGCCGTAGGCTTAATAAGATATACCGGATTAGTCGTTACCGTAATACTTCGTCGATTATTTATAGCTTTAGTTTAAGCTTTAATTATTCGTTCCTCGGCCGGGTCGAGAGGTTCCTACGGTTTTTTAAAGGCGCCGGGCGGGCGTCGTAACTTCTACGGGTCCCCGGATTCTAAGTCTTCCGAGTCGTCGGAATTTCTTAGGTCTCCTAAGGTATTCCGCGGGATCCGTAGCGGTTACGGTAGTCCTTACCCGGCTCTTCTTAATATAAAGGCGCCTACCGCGGCGTTTTAAAAACGGGCTCTTACGCGCGCGGCGATACGTTTAACCGCGACGTCCTAGAGTACGCCGTCGGAAATAATTTCCCTTATTTTAGCCTCGTTATTAGTATATCTTTCGGTAAACGTTATCGTAATACGGATACCCGGCGCGAGAGTAAGCGTTTTTATTCTCTAACTAGCTCTTACGATAATAAACTTAATATCCGTTAGCTTATTATTTAATCGTCGTTATTAATATTTCTTAATTAAATTAACCGCGTAAGCCTTAAGGTCGTCCTTAATTAGTTAGGTTTTTTCTTCCATAGCCCCGGGGGTAAGGTATTCCTTACTAAGGATTTCGTTAATCTATTTATTCTTTTGCGTAGCCTAAAAGCTAACGTCCGTTACTAACTTATTATATTCCTCGCGTAATTAGGTTAAGGCTCGTTAGTTTTATAGTATAACGTTTCGAAGTTAATTTATTACGGCCGTTCGTACTTTATCCTACCGGATAAATTTAGCTACGGTTTCCTAAACGTTCTAGGTAAAGTAAATACTTTATTCTACGACTTATTTCTAAAACTCGTGGATTTATATCTTCGTAGTTCGGATACCGGTAGCTTATATTACCGTAGCGGTTTAGTAAAGCTATCGTAATTATTCGTATTACTCCTTTAGGATCGTATTTTATCGGTATCTTACGTCGACTTAGTTAACTAGTATTACTAAGCTTTAATATACCTATCTTATTTACTTATATAAATTTACGATCTACTACGGAGGATTACGTATAATTACTCCTAAGTTTACGATTTCCGGAGTATCCGTTATAATTACTTTATATTCCTAGGGTTAATATACGACGAAGGATTTATTAATTAGTTCGGGGGTCGGCTCCGGCTAAGGCGCTAGAGTAATTCGTTCGGCGTCCTTTATCTTTAATTCCGTTATTACGGCTTTTAGTTTATTAATTATAGCTATTATCTAAGCTACCTCCGCTATAAAGATCGGCGCTACCCCCGAAGCGGTTAATCGCGGGAATAGGATAACCTACGGTTCTGGTTCTTTAGTAGAAGGTCGAGGTTAATCCGGTAGTAATAATACCGGGGCCGCGGCTTTAGCGTATATTACCGGCTTAGGCGTAGGCTTTTTTTATTACTAACTTATAATAAAGTTATAAGGGTAAGAGTAATATAAAATTATCTATAATAAAGGGATATACTTAAAATAGGTTTAATTTAACTAATAATTCTATAGGAGGTCTTTTAGGTCCTTATCCTCTTCTAAGTTCTACGTTCCTTTTTCGTCCTAATATAACCCGGAAGTACCTTTATACTTTTATATCCTTATACCTTAATACCGAAGCTATCCGAAGCTTATCTAGGACTTTCCTTAGTAGGTCGCCGAGGTAACGGCCTTAATACCCGATATTATCCTCCTAACCTTTATAGCCTGATTTATTAGCGCAAGGTTCCATCCCCGTGTGACACTCTACCTCACGTTGAACATGGGTTCAAGAACCCCCCTTCCTATGCTCCCTAGGAGGATCGTCAGCTTGAGAAACGGCGTCATTGCTAAAGACCAGAATGGCCGAGACACGAAAGACTGGAAGCCGCTCTTCCACATCATCAAGGGTCACTTTGAAAGCCTTGGGGTTCCGATTACCGAGGTCATGTGTATGGACAGCTGTGTCATCGTCGTCCTGAAACGCCGCGATACTGATATGGGCAAAGTCCCATGCCAGGCCGCCAACATCATTTGTTTCTACTTGTTCGATGATGAGATGGGAAGACCGCCAGCACCACAAGCTCGCCGCCTCACCGATCCTACTCCGGGAAATCCCGACAATAGCCAGTACGACGCTCTGCAACCAGGGCTGAGGGTGACGTCTTCTTACCTACCAAGCCACCCCGATATGTTCCTCTCGACGACGTCCGGGGTTTTGCTGAAGGACCACCTAGTCGGTAATAAATACATGACGGTAGCCTCGCATGGATTCCCCGCTGAATGTGGCACCCAGGTCTTTCACGCACTACCCGGCAACGGCCGCGTGATTGGCGAGCTCGTTACGAAGAGCACGCACGCAGACGTCGCGCTCGTCAAGCTGTGCGATGCGGAAACGTTCTCCAACGTGACGTTCCATAACGACGACGGCATGATGCCGCAGAATATCCAGCTCAAAAGATTAGTCCAAGTCGAGGGCCGTCAACGTTCCGAACTAGCTTACCTCGATTCGCCCGATACGGGTCTCATCCAGGGAACATACATGTTCACGTCATTCGCGGCAATCCCCAGCGACGATAACTCACCAGAACAGCAATGGATCTTTACAATATGGCTCTACAGGGGCCAAGACTCGGCAATCAGCCTTCCTGGAGGAATGTGCGGTAGTGCTATCTGGAACGAGGACGGAGACGTTTTGGGCTTTTTCAGATACGCTCCAACGGAAGGGGTGATGAAGGATTGGTGCGCCGGAATTGCTGCTGATGAGCTCATTGATCGAGGGTTTACGCTCGCCAATACAAGCGATAGAACTTGAGGATGCCTCCGGGCACTGGCAGCCGTAAGGCCTTGTTACCCGTAATAAGAGGATGTGCTTGGAGTGGTTTAGTTGAACTTATGGGCGCGCCAGTACGGTCACGGATAGCTGTAGGGATAAGCCCTACTGCCATAACCTAAATAGCTTAGATAAACGACTCGAGCCACAACGCACGAAAAACCTAAGTAGCTGTAATTGACACCTTTTCAGAGCCACGTTTCCCGGACTGCTTTTCCATAGTAGCTCGTATATCCTTTACTTATCCCCTTCCTATTACGTAGATCGGGAGAGCTATATATGGGGCTAAGGTTACTCAACTATTGGAGCAATGGAATTTGGGATAAAGAGGTTGAATTAACTGGCTGGCTTATTAGGAAGGAAATAAATAAAAGAGCTGCGAGTTGTATTAAATAATTGAGTAACGAGCTGGGTGTAGGTGGCTCTTTACGCGATACTTCCTAATTAACTACTTCTACGGCGGAGCAACCTCAGCCCTATACGTAGCTCTTCCTATCTACGTGATATTATCTATTTTCTACCTTGGGAGTACCTGACCCCCTGGAATTGATATTGGTTCTTTTTCCTTCGATTGGTTTGTTATATGATCATTTTGTGTCCCGCATTCTTAGGTATCCCATAGCTGCATAGCTACGGCATCCGGCCGCACCTATGACAAGGGGATATACTTGGAATAGATTTAATTCAGTTAGTAATTCTATAGGGGGTCTCTTAGGTCCTTGATTCTTTTTAAGTTCCCGTGTCCTTCCTTTGTCTTAATATATCTCGGAGGTATCCTTATATTAAGGTACCTTTATACCTTAGTACCGAAGCTATCCGAAGCTTATTTAGGACTTTTTTTAATAGGTCGCCGAAGCGCTAGCCTTACTACTCGATATTATCCTTTTAATCCTTATAGCTTAATTATTAGCGTAGGGTTTTATTCCCGTATAATATTATCCCTCCTCTTCGGAGAAGCTCGTTTTTAACCGCGGGTTAGGTACCTAGGCTCGTTAGTTAGTAGGCTTATTAGGGTTTTATTATTGGAATAACTTAACGGCTTTTTTCGCCCCTTCGGTAGTAAAGTATTCCTATAGTTCCTAAGTTTAATAGCGCTTAATCGGTTAGCTTTTTTATTTTACTAAGTACCTAATAACCTTACCGGTTCTAACGGAATTTAATACCTTATTTACCTCGTAATCTTCTGCCTTAATCGGGGCTACCTTTCGTAAGACCTAATTAGGGTTAAGTAGTTCTTAATTATTAACGCGATAGGGTTCGATAAAGGATACGTAGAAGGTACTATATATACGCTAGCCTTTCGGGAATATTAAGGTTACGGTTATTAGGGAAACGATCTTTTAAACCTTAAAGGAACCGAATATCTTCTTATTTAATTTCTTAGCGGGGCGTTTGGTTTTAATATTACGGGCGTTTAGTATAACGAATTACCTTACTTTTAGGGGAGGTTTCTCTTTTCTATATTTATTTACTTATCCTTTTATTCGTTATCGTACTTTCTTTAAATGTTGTTTTACTTCGTTATATACCTTAGTTATTTAATAAGTATAGAGGTTATTTCCTAGATTCTTAGGGATACTTAATAAGAGGTTATATACGACTAGGTATTATTCGTAATTAGCGTAAAAGGGTAATATACCGGTGGCTATTAAAGTAATATTATTATAAGTAAATTCGGTAGTAAGGAGTAAGCTTTTCTAGTCGCTTATTTCGTAGTTTACGAAGGCGTATAAGTATACTTCTAGGATTTAGTTAAATCTTTTCGTTTATTTATCCGTCTAGGGGTAGAAAGTAGTACTTATTCTAGGCTTAACTCTTAGGAGCTTTAAAATATCCTTCCATATATAGGAGGTAAACCGTAAGTCCCGGTCGGAGATAATATCTAAGGGGATTTTATATAGCCGCTAATAATTACGGATAAAGATAGGTATTAGGTCTTCGGCTTTTTTACCTTCCTTTCTTAGCGGGATAAAGTACGTTATTTTAATAAAGGGATTTATAATAACCTATATAGAGTTATAATTATTAGATATTAATAAGTTTATAATGAAATTTATTATTATTATTTACTATGGTCGATAGTATAATTTTATAAGTTATAGTAATCCGAACGGGGTATATCGGGGTACCTTATTTTATTAATACTCGCGATATCTCCTTACGAATTTCCTAACTATTATTTCTAGGTTAGGTTATTAAAAGTTATAGATAATAAGCTTTATGATTTTATTTATACTTATCTGTCCCGTTACTTTAATATCGTACTCCGATTTAATTACTTCTTATTATAGGTCCTTTGGTACCTATAGACGGTTTCGTCGGTAGAGGAAGCTATCTTTAAGCTTTACTTCCTTACCGGGTTATTTTATTAGTTAGCTTTAGTATTCCGAGTTTTATTTAGCCACTTTTTTAACTTATTCCGCGAACTCTTAGGTTTAGGCGTGTATCGGGATATTACTTAATTATACGCTAAAAAGTATTACTATTAATAAACCTGGATTTTTTAAAAAATGCTTTTCTTATAGGACCGTTATTATCGGTTAACCTTTAGCTCTTCCTTTTTTAGGGCGATATTATAATAGTTTAAATAAAATATCGGCCTTTTCGTTTTACTTCCTTAGGCGGTAGTATATTATAAAGTAATACGAGGAAAGTTATTAGGCCTAGCGGGCTTATCGTTAGTTTAGTACCTTTATTATAGTAAAGTACGTTAGATTTTAATGGTCTAAGTATACTTCTATTTAATACTAAGCGCCTTCGAGGTAATATTGCTACTTTTCGAAGGCGTCGACGATCGCTAATAGTTTCTTATTATATATTTCATAATTTATTTCCGCTAGGGTAAGTCGTTTTAAGAAAAAGGCTACTGAATAGGAGCAGCGTGGGCACGCTAACGGAGGCACGAAAAGGCTACCTAACTGCCAATAACTGGCCTAGTGCCGATTAACCAAGATTATAGCTATAAATAGCTGTAATCGGTTGATCGGCTAGCTGAAAACGGCAGCTGGGAAAGGGGGGACTAGAAAGGGTAAAGGAGGATGGCTAGAAAGGCATGGTAAAAGGAGTGAATGGCTATAGGCTGTAATGTCTATAGGTCTAAGTCTGGCTAATGAAAATATGAGTACGCGACCCATATAAATATACATCGAAAAGGCTACGTAGCTTAGATCTACCGCACTACTATAGCCTCCCTAGTTTAATTAATCCGTAAGGAGTAATTGAACTCCTAATAGTAATAGGTGCGGTGGCTCTCGTTTCTGTTAAACCTGATTAACCTGATCCCGATTAACCCTGATTAATTAAAAGCTAGCTAGTTTAATTAAAGGTTAATAGGATAAGTTAGGAAGAAACAGGTTAACTAGGCGATTGTAATAGTAATAAGTGGGTGGTGGGGTGGGTGACTGACTGTAACCGTACCTGATCCTGAACCTGAACTTGATTAATCCCGAACCTATTTAATCGCTGCTAACTGGGAGCTGAGCTAGTTTAATTAACGATTAATAGGAAATAGGAAAGATCTGATAATAAGAATAACTGGGCTGGCGGAGCTGTAACCTGTAAACTGACCTGATCGACCTGTTTCTGATTAATCCTGATTAACTGGGAGCAAGCTAGTTCTATTAAAGGCTACTAAGAAATAATAGGGATTAATAGTTAGGAAATAGGAACTGTAACGGGGTAGGTAAAATAAGCGTAGCTCCCGAAAGAAACGAAAGAAATAATCCCATACGATGTAACGTGATCTCCGTCCTTCTCGTTTATGGCTATTGCCGATCTTTTTTAACTGATCCTGATCCTGTAAACTGACTGATATATCCTGTTTAATGCCCGTTTTTATGACTCGTTTTTGGCTGTTCTCGTGTGACCGTTTTTCGTTCGGTAGTATCTACCGGGCTTTCCTTGACCCTCGATCCCTTCCCTGTACGTGGTTCTAGGGGCTTTCTGGGCTCTTCCTACTAACTATATATCGGTAAGGGCGATAAGAGGGGTTTCTGGGTAATCCTAACTATTCTGTGATTGTTTCTGGGCTGTTTTGTTTAATATCTGTTTAATCCGTTCGTATCGGTATCGTTTGTAGGTCTATCGCGCTGATCGGTAGGTTCCCCGATTAGGTTCGTGGGTATAAGGTCTGTCGGTATCTTCGTGTGGTAATTGAGGGCATCGTGGTACCTTATCGGTTGAGGAGAAACCTCCCTAGGTGCCGTAACTGGTTAGAAGGGATAAAATAAGGGCGATCGGATGGTAAGCCTCTTGCGGTTGAAATAGATCGATCGGTAAATGAATGGATGCCTTTAAGCGCGTGTTGTAAAAAAAAGGAGGTGGTGGCGGTAACGGTGTTAGATTAACTGATTGAAAACGGCTATTTAGGCACTGGTAAAAAACGAAGGCGAAACCGGGTAAAAACGGGTATAGCTCCTTTAAAAGAGATAATTGAGAAACGAGAATAGGGATTCTTATTGATCGGCGAACGAGCTTTTAGGTAAGCTGATTAAAAGCTAATGGGAGGGCGTGGTTGTTGATGGTCGCTATGGTTGTTTGCCCTCCCTGTTAATCTAGCTACCTGAAAATTCAGGCTGTGGCCTAAAAAGGCTTAATCTAAAAGCTACGAAAACGGCTCTGGAGTTACGAAAATAGCTCCTGATTAATTGAAAAATAGGGAATCTCCTGATCGTCGTATCCTGAACCTATTAACTATAAAACGGTCGATTAAAAGGTCGCTCTTAAGGCTGAGGTAAGGACGAGCTACTGGGTGGTCGCCACTGAATAGGAGTAGCGTAGGTACGCTAACGGAGGCACGAAAAGGCTACCTAACTACTAATAACTAGCCTAGTGCCGATTAACTAAGATCATAGCTATAAATAGCTGTAATCGGTTAATCGGCTAGCTAAAAACGGTAGCTAGGAAAGGGGGGACTAGAAAGGGTAAAGGAGGATGGCTAGAAAGGTATAGTAAAAGGAGTAAATAGCTATAGGTTATGATATCTATAGGTCTAAGTCTGGCTAATGAAAATATAAGTACGCGACCTATATAAATATACATCGAAAAGGCTACGTAGCCTAGATCTACCGTACTACTATACTACTAATCTTAGTCTTTCTTTATCGTCTTTTTATAAGAGGATAGCCGAGATAGCAAAGTCCGACGCGTCGGCTTTAATTATTAGGACTCGATTAGAATCGAAGTATACGAATACCGGG